ATAAATGCATTTTTCTTCGAACACGTACGTTGTTGAGGATTTACGTAATTTCTATGCTGTTTTTATTTGATATGACAGTTGGTTGGGTTCGAAGAGCAATACTTCATATCAATTGCCCTTTTTCGAAGATCATAATAACCTCGTTTACATTGTGCCTGACCGTAATAGCGGTAAACGGCTTTGTTGTTGAAAAGTCTTATGACACGTGAATGATTAACAATGGGCCGCTTCACGCCGTTGATTAGATTCCCACTTATCAATTAACATTTATTGCTCTACTACCAGACACTCATCATTAATTATCAACACAACACTCAGTATAATCTGTTGACGACTATATATACAACTCTATAACACCAATCACGAGATTGGCTTCTAGACGATGTGCCTTCTTGTATAGTTACACAGTGAAGGTCGATCGTAGTCATGTTTGAAATTTTTTTTTTTTAAAAAAAGACCCTCTTTCCGGCGTGCAAAATGACCGTTAGGTCAGATCTAGGAACGGTCATTTTCCATAGCCGTAGGTCTCGACCGGCATATACGGCCGACGTGGAACCCATGGTACACAGGAATTCTGAACCAAATAATATATAAATAAATAATAATCATAAACCTTCAGAGTTTTTCATGAGTTAAGATATTAAAATATAGTTCTATTTGTCAAAACTGAATTAAAATCCCATTTAATATTTATTTTAGAGGGAATAAAATTATAAGTATATCTATATGTACCCTACTTACTTTATCACAGATGTCTTTTATATCAGAAACCCGAATACACTCATATTGGTCCTCCCGTTTCCAGTAGTCTATATAATGTCCCATAGATAGGTTCTGCTCCATAGACATAGCAGATGAATGCATCAAAACTACAATAAATAAATAATACAACCAATAATTAAAATGCTGATGAAAGAGAGAGAATGTGGTTTACCCTCCACTCGACACAACTAGGTCATTTCAGGACTAACACATGGTTCAACTTTATTTCAATAACTTGCTTGTGTGTAGGGGTCTATAGCAGTGGAAGGAAACCTGAGGACCCTGAGGACCCAGAGAAAACCCACAAGCTTGGACAGGCGACCCTACTCCTTGTTACGTACAAGGGGGGAATCGAAACCACACCACTTGAGTCAATGACAGACCTTCTGATCCAATGCGCACATTAACAATTCGGACACCCAACCTCACAATGCTGACATGATAGAAGTGACACCATAGGCCTGATGGACTAATAGGTGGTGTTTTATTCACAACTTATGTCATTTCTGTTGTTGTACCCACCTGGTTGACACTGACAATATTTATCTGGTGATTCAGCTATCAGTTTTTGTATGATGGCATCACTAAGAGGAGCTAAGAGAACCACAGGACGAACCATATTAGCTACAAAGAAAATAAACATGTTGATATAAAATAAGATAAATATATCACAATCAGCATATTTATATATCATGTATTCCACCACATATTTAAATATCTTGTATTACTGACACATGTTCATGTATTATACTGACACATATTTATGTATCATGTATTACTGACACAAGTTTATGTATCATATATTACTGACACATATTTTGGACATTCCAACTTGCTCTTTTCTTATTTAAGCTCAATCTACAAACAGAGAAATATTTACTATGAGAATAGATCTCATCCATGAATGGCCAACATATTGAAAATGTAGTGTACTATTTTGATATGTGGTTCTAATTAATTCACAGGGTACACATTTCAAACACGCAAAGACTAAATTAACATTTTATGAAATACAACCTGTGATTACTTTGAATGTATGAAAACTCTGTCCATGTCAAACTTCAAGTTAAAGGATCTCAAAATGACAAAGTATATTTGATTTCCCATTCACAAAACAATCTAATCTGTTATTCATATGACTAAAGATTTACTTACATTCCTGCTTTTCAATTTTTGTGTAACCAAAAACGGAATCTGGAAGAAAGAAAGAAGAATATTGGCATGGTACCAAAAACAATTAAACATTTTTATGGATCTATGGTATCAAGAAACTTCATTTCTAAGAATTATTGTGGATTTGAGTAATTTCTATGATATCTACACTAAACAGTTACTTTAAGTTAGCAAAAATGAAATGGGGTTTAACGTCCTACTGTTCTGCTCCTAACCTGGGCTAATGAAGACGGGCATACGCCATACAGAGTGCTATGAGGGAAATTTTGCCTGGGCAGCAGCGCTACGGCCTACTCTTATATCGAATTCCAACTGCCAAGGGATCTTTTACGTGCACGCCAATGTGTACATGGGACCTCGGTTTTTCGTCCCATCCGAACGACTAGACAGCTGTACTTGTCAGGCCCTCCATCCTGCATCACTGACAAGGGGGAAACCACGCCGGAAAATCTGAATGAACTTTCTCGGCCAATGCAGGGATCGAACACCCAACCTCCAGTCTAGCGAGCCAGCGTCTTACCCACTTAGCCACGTGATCCCCCTACTTTAAGTTAGCAAGTCTTTGATTTGTACATGTAGTTGCTTTCCTTTATTCAAAGTAATGTCTTTGAGAATGTACTGGTGTGCATCTTTCTTACACTTGTACATATTCTGTGCAATAAGTTGTGCAAATGAATTTTGAGAACCTTTTTTGTAGATTACAAGAGGCAGTCTTCATATTTCATGGTCGGTCAAATAAAAAAGCATCTCCCTCTTTCTTTATGGTCTTAAATAAAGTTTTTTTTAAAAAGTTTACCATCAAGAATTGGAACAGAATCACTATTCAAAGACGCATCTGAGAAAGAATTGAATTCTCTGCTGTCTTTTGAATTGTTGCGATGATGTCTTCTTCTTCGAAAGAAACTTCTTCTAGCTGATCCTGATCCTCTGCGGGAACCATCGGCATCATGAAGACTGAAATTCTCTGAAAGACTTCTTCGCAATGATATATCATCTTCCAATCTAAAACATAAAATAAGAATTTCTTCAAAAATGCCATGGTGGCTCAGTGTGTAAGGCACTAGCTCACTAACCAGGTTGTCCCACGATCAATCCCAGTGTTTTTTTTATTTGGATTTTCCATTGTCAGTGGTCCTATATACATGTTGGTGGGTACTCAGAAGAAACCTTGGCAGTTAAAAATTGAATTCATTCACAAAACGCCATTTTTTAAATACCAACATTCAAGGCTGTTTTACATGCCCACTAATTGAAGTGTAGTCTTTATTTGTCCCATGAAAGACACATTTTGTCATGATAAAAGACACATCTTGTCATGCTAAGACACATTTTGTCATGATAAAAGACACACATGATAAAAGACACATCTTGCCATGATAAAAGACACACATGATAAAAGACACATCTTGTCATGATAAAAGACACACATGATAAAAGACACATTTTGTCATGATAAAAGACACATCTTGTCATGATAAAAGACACATCTTGTCATGATAAAAGACACACATGATAAAAGACACATCTTTTCATGATAAAAGACAAAATGATTTGTTATAATAGAACAAGGCTGATTTGTCATATAAAATATAATAGAACAATGCTGATTTGTCATATAAAATATAATAGAACAATGCTGATTTGTCATATAAAATATAATAGAACAATGCTGATTTGTCATATGAGATATTTTGAAGAAAGACTGAGTACATACCTGATTCTACTAGGGATAGTTCCACCACAGATTCGTTTAGCTTCATTATCTACCAACCACGCAAACCACAGACCAACATTACCTTGATATAATGTATTCTCTACTAGGAGTATATCATCTTTATGAAATGTTAATTCTGTCTCTACTTCACCTATTCTCTCAAAGTTTGCTCGGATATAAAAACTATCTCCGGGCACATTTAAAATCTTGTTATATTCTGAGAAAAAAAAAGTTAAATAAATATTAAATATTAGTACCGGTAATAAACTGTAGATTAACAGATTATGTAGGATTTCATAATTTGCATAATAATTATTACAATTAATATATTTACATTTACTAGTTTTCTAAGGTTGAAAAGTTCGTTAATTTCATTAAAAAATTCTATCAAACATTCAAATGGACATTTACGAAGTAATTCCAAATCAACATTCTAATTGAGATTTCAGTAGTCTGCATGTTATATGGATCAAGTCTAGTAAATCAATCATGAGGAAACTAAAATTTGATCTGTATCTACCCATAATATATATTTAGGCTGAATTTCAAGCATTACAGAAAAAAAGTTGTGAAAATTGTTTTGTACAAACAAGCTGAAAGATTGAATGAATGGAAACTTATACAACATTAACTTACTAATAAGGTTGTAATGTACGAGAAGTCTTAAAACACAACATGGTCGAGTAAGTTCTGCCGAGGCTTGTTCAGCTGTTACAGATCGAAAATCAACTGAATTATACTGAAAAAAAACCCAACAATTGTAGAGTACAAGTCTAGTGTTGATTTATTTTTTTGAAGAAAAACAACATTATAAGTATTACATTGATGTCATTTTGTATTTGTGGCAAGAAAAGTCTGAAATAATCTTTTATTGAAATTTGATTTTGAAAAAAACTGAAATATTCTAGCCAATAGGAACCTTCAAATATTTTGGCCAACAGGAACGTTCAAATATTTGTCTCAGGAATACACGAAAATAATTCTTCTTGTTAGAAATTCAATTTTGATTATAAGGAAAAGATTCACGTGACCATGTTCCTAGTCAAATATTTACATATACATATGTGTGAATGTAATTGATGTTTACCTCTAAGATATGATCACCTTGTTGTAGACCTTGTGGTGGATCAGGTATGCTGTCACTCTCTATCTCGTGTACAAAGATACCTGTAGCATTACCACCAACTATAGTAAAACCCGGTGATTCTCCATTACCTCTTTCTATAGTAACTCTTCTTAATCTTTCATATGCACTATCTACTGATCCAAAACTACAATTAACAAAATAGTACATTGATATTTCACTATTAAATGGCAATACGTGTCCATCAATCTATCTATCAATTAATTACTATGGATAAGATGTTCTGAACACTGATGCCAGTAAAGGTGGGAGATTAGCACTATCTACTGATCCAAAACTACAATTAATAAAACAGTACATTGATATTCCACTATTAAATGGCAATACGTGTCCATCAATATATCAATTAACTATTACGGATTAGATGTTCTGAACATTGATGCCATTAGAGGTGGGAACTTAGCAGCTTGATAAATCGTTACAATTAAAGTGACTCAATATCACTTTGATCACAGACGGAACTCCAATCAGTAGTCGTTTTCGTGAGTTAGAAATACAACGAAGTAGTCATTTACAGCTGATCCAAAAGTAAAAAATATTCATATTAAAAAGGGCTTTGTTTTCGTCTTTCATGTGGTTAGCATGTGTCCTGTGAGTGACGGACAACAGTTACAATATACATTACATAAACATTAAATATTGGCATATAAGAACTGATAAATTAATATTCAAACAGAATTTTACCTCGACTTTTTACGTCTGTTATGACCACTTGTATGTCGTGTTTTTGGACTGTTTTCATTATCAGAGAGTGGAGAGGAAAAACCAGAAGAATTAGGAACAGATGACAGAGATCCATTACTTGATGACTCCGGATGATCTCTATATTCTAAATAAATAACAAAAAAATGATTTTTGTATACAAACAAAAATTCAATTCAGTCAGGATACAGGGATCTTAATCAACTGATTATAGTCATCTACAGCTGTTTGATGTTTTAAAAAAGCTGATTGAATTTGGATAAAACAATGAACTTGCCATTATTGAATCATAAATCAATCTACTTTCAACTCAATTGAAAAGAAATTGTTTTAAAAAATATTTTGAACACATTTGTTTTTACAGGTTATTCATCCACAGATATTAAAATATATATGTACATTTAATAATCTGCTTGATAATAAAGGGTTTCTATTGAGAAATAAAAAAGTTAGTGCTGGGCGACAATTATTACGTAGATTTAATGGTTGATGTCTATAAAATACTTACTATCCGGATTAAAGTCAACTTTCATGGTTAAATTATTACCACATTGACGTAATACTGTTACAGCATGTTCATATGTAGCATTTCTCATATTGATCCCACAAACCTGAAATCACAGGATTATTTACTTCAAATAATCAGACAAAAAGAACATTATCTAAAAGTTTTTTGAGAAATATTGATACAGGTAACGTAGAGAAAGGTAATATTTATGCTCAGGTACTGAAAGTTACCTCAAAATAACACATACATTCAAGTTAATCACCTCAATTATTTTGGTTTAATTATAGACAGACTTTCCTCAATATACTTCAATCCTTCAATTCACCAACGAGATTCAAATTTCTCTCATTCTCAAAAGAAATGTTTTAATCAAATTATGTAATTATTAATTACCTCTAATAACTGATCACCAACAACTATACCAGCATCAGATGCTAAACTATTTTCTCCAACTGAAGATACAAATATACCTCCTTCTGGTCCTCGTTGTATCTGAAAACCTACTGGTTCGGCTGATTTCTCTATATGTATTGTTCTTATCTCACGAAGTTGAGGTCTACATAAAAAAAAAAAAAACGCCCAAAAAACCCACTATCAATTTTTAAAACCGATTATGAGATTAGATTTTTTAAGTTAAAGGTTACATCAATTTGATTTTCTGTTCTTCAGGAACACATATAAAATGTTTCCTTCTTATTACTTCAGGGGAAAAAGTATTTAGTTGTGCAAAAACATCTTTCACATGATTTAAGCATATTCCTGAAGCAATGGCCCGAGAAATCCCTCTCTAGCCATTGCTGGATTGACTTTTGATACTTGAGCTTTTGAGGCAGTGTGTCTATTCTTCCCATTCAATCAAATCTCTCCTAAGTACAGCAGCATGAAAGCTCTTCGTTTAATATGGGGTATTCCTTAAAACTGTGGACAGATTTTTAAGGTATTAAAAACGGTGAAAGTATTGTTCATCTCCAAACAGTATTGTTTACATTGTAGCCTTTTTGATAGCCTCGTTTGTCACGCAATTAGTATTTCTGCAATATTCTGCTATGCACTTGTTAATTGGGTTTAATAAATTTCTTGTGTCATGACGCATTGTTATGTAAACATATTTGGAGCTCTGTTTAAACCTGAATGATATTGTTATGCAGTTAGGTATTGGTTGTTAATCGGACTATTGACCAGTTCTAACTTGGAACAGAAATTTGCTTTCATTATGGCAGTGTTGAGTGGGATTGGTTCTAATCAAACGAAACACTGTAAGGAGTATGCATTTAAGTGGCTATATATTTATTAAGACCCTGAAGAACAGGAATCTAAATTGAGGTACCTAAGATATAATTGATCATACATGTACTTGAACTTACTAAGATAGTTTTAACATGCTCAATTCTGAAGATCTCAGTCGCAGAATGGAAGAAATGAATTCTACAATATAGTTATTTGATTCAGCTTTTCTATCAGTTTTAGATTGGAAGGAAATTCATCTCTTGTGAGTCAAAATGAACCACAAACAAGAATGAGGTAGCCAAATCAAATTCAAATTTATAAAAGATAGGTTGCCAGGCAACAAAACATATGCCCACAGCAGCTAAATCGTCCGAGCGGTCGTCAAGGGTTGTCGCATATTTATTCCTTTGCAGGTAATTGGGGGCCTTTACAAGACAGTTCCATACAGATCAGATTATAAATTTTGTTGTTTGAGGGTTTACAAGGTTCTACAAACTGAAACAATGAAAATATGACAGGACAATATATACATGGAGTATGGAGATGTGGCAGTCAAACTCATTGATCAGATACGAAGAACAGAAGGAAAATATGTACATGTATGTAATAATCTTACTTTCTTGATGCGATGCAGGGATGCCGATATAGTAAGTTACATCCCTGGTTTGTCAGCATTAACTAAGCATTGTGGTGTACATGTATATATTGTCCTGTCATATTTTCATTTTTTATCATAGCTTGATAATGACTAGAGAAGCCTAGTCGAAACGTCGCTCAGTAAAAAGCAGTAATTGTATTCCATAGAATTGTGACCTGTATACTCTAGTTCAATTACTAAATGCCATTGAAACAGTTTAAACTGAAACAAGGGTCTCAACTCTGAAGGTAATCTACAGAAATTGTTGAAATTTGACAGGCTTTTTCGTTTTACTAATTTAAATAATGCATATAAATTTCATACAGATCACATGATGACTTTTGTCATTCAAACGTTCACAATCGCCATAACTCTAGAAATTATTGATGGAAATTGCTGAAATTCAATAGACCTGTTTCACAAATTTAAATGATGCATATAAATTTCATACATATCGGATGATAACTATCATCAATCGAGCATTAACAAGGTTTAACAAAGTGAAACAAGGGCAATAACTCTAGAAGTAATTATTGTAAATTGCTAAAAATTCAATAGGCTTTTTCGTTTCACTAATTTAAATCATTAAATTTCACAAAGATCGGGTGATAACTTTTCTGGTTAGAGCGTTCAAAAGGATCAATAAAGTGAAACAAGGGCCATAACTCTAGACGTAATGAACGGAAATTGCTGAAATTCAATAGGCTTCTCTGTTTCACTAATCTAAATAATGCATATAAATTTCTTAAAGATCGAATGATAACTTTTGGCGTTGGACTGTTCACAAGGTTCAATAACGTGAAACAAGGGCCATAACTCTAGACGTAATAAACGGGAATTGCTGAAATTCAATAGGCTTCTTCATTTCAGCAATCTAAATAATTCATATAAATTTCAGAAAGATCGGATGATAACTTTTGACGTGAGAGAGTTCACAAGGTTCAATAACGTGAAACAAGGGCCATAACTCTAGACGTAATAAACGGGAATTGCTGAAATTCAATAAGCTTCTTCATTTCAGCAATCTAAATAATGCATATAAATTTCAGAAAGATCGGATGATAACTTTTGACGTGAGAGAGTTCACAAGGATCAATAAAGTGAAACAAGGGCCATAACTCTAGACGTAATAAACGGAAATTGCCGAAATTCAATAGGCTTCTTCGTTTCAGTAAATAAATAATGCATATAATTTCCAGAAAGATCGGATGATAACTTTTGGCGTTAGAGCGTTCACAAGGTTCAATAAAGTGAAACAAGGGCCATAACTCTAGACGTAACTAACAGAAATTGTTGAAATTAAACAGGCTTCTTCATCTCACTAATGTAAACAACATATATCAATTTTAAAACAATTGGATGATAACTTTTGGCGTAAGAGCGTTCACAAGAAATTGTGGACGATGGACGGACTAACGGACCGACGGACGGACCGACAAACGGACGGACGGGGGCGACGGCAATATACGTCCACATTTCAATGTGGGCGTATAAAAATGATTTGAATGAAGGTAAAAGATAGACATACTTTCTAGACCGACTGTATTCTTCATGTGGAAAAACAAATAAAGGTGAACTGGCACTGCTTCTGTCAGAAACTGTAAGAAATTTATTCTCTTTATAAGTCAAAATAAAAGTGTTTTTAAATTTAATTACAGTTGGTTTACTGCTTGACACTACAATATTTAAGTCAATGATTTTAAAGTTTTAGACATACATCACTGAATAAAAGGGAGTAGTTTTGTGCGAAAAACTTTATTCTAGCTCTTTGAGGCACTACTGTGATACTCTTTTAAAGAAATAAAAACTTTCAGTTTGAGTAAGCCTGTCTACTCTCACATCATATAAGTGCCCGGATAATCCTATCTATATATACTTGGCGAGGGAAAATATTCTTGTGGTAAATGATTGTTGCATTTATCAAATCAATTATATGACAGAATCAAAAAATTCTTATGTAACACCAGCCACAATCATTTCCACAATGACTCAGTATTTTGATTTGAAACTTCCAGACATGATAATTGGGTCATTTCTTTGCACTGTGGCATTTGATTTGCTTACTTATATTCATTTATAATAAGGCTGGCCTGTGAAATCTGAGATAGCCCATTTAAAACAATGTTCTTTGAGATAGATGCCAGAAGATTGTTAACAAAGCAAATATCTGAGAACTGAGAATCAAGTATCAGTACCTATTTCTACAGAACCAGATTTTGTTGCCACACTTGTATTAGATGGAATCCGTATTCTCTCTAAAGCTAATGGACGTTTATGGAATGTTGGATAACTTGTATTGAAGTCAATCTCTGATAAAGGTCGACCACCATATGGTGAAATAGAATGAGCTTTAGGAAACATATCATCACTTGGTGTAGGTGTTGTTCGATCAAGATTTATACTACTCTGTAAAAAAAATATAACATATTCAAATATATATGTAATTAAATGTAGCACAATGTCTAGCCATAACAGCATTTATTTAATCAAAATTCAATTTGATATCTTGTGATATTCTAAGGCAACATTTTATATACTGTAACCAAGTCAATCTGTTTGGCACTACAAACAACTATGAAAAATATGTAACCATAGTTTCATTTCTGTTGGGATGTATTACTGTTCATTAAGAGGATATTGCCAGAAACATCCATGTTTATCATGGAGACAAAGGCTGGCGCTGAGAGCCTCAAATATAGAAAGCTGCACATGTATGTATCTCTAGGTTATTCATGCCTGTTACGATTGAAGTGCATTTTCAAGAGCTATTTGAGGACGTGCATCAGGTCAAGTGTCTTTCTTTCTCCATTTTTAGGCCTTGGGAAACAGAGTCACAAAGATTCAGTCTTGTGCAAAACTTGTCAGTCATAATTTAAACAATTTATAAAAATTCTCTGAATGAAATTAATTCAGAAAGAAGATTTAATGGAGAATATGAGATTTCATTATTCTACCATTGCTTGTACATATATCTTATTTTTTCTGCTCTATCTGTGGGCCTATACCTTGGAAATATATTGATAATGAGCTCCGCAATAATAAAATCAAATTTTAAATTAGTATTTCATAAGTTACCAATACTTTTTGTTTCATTATTTCTCAAAATTAATGTAGATATACATGTACAGTGTATGAACAAGTACTTACATGTTGAGAAGGACTAGGAGTACTCAGTCTATCAAAGTTAAAGGGCAGTTTTTCTAGATCAAAATCCGATCTAGGAGATACAATATGATGACTAGGTCTATAATAACCACTAGTAGTAGGTGATGTTGTAACATTATTACACCATACAGACTGGCTATGTGTTGATGCACTACAAACAATAAAATAATATCAAATTAAAGATACATTATGGGAGATTAGATAATCAGCTGGCAGTTAAAAACTAGATAATGTAAAGGGAATTTACTGAAAATTTCAGTCAAATTGATCCACTCTAAACCGAGAATTTAGCGATTGAATTTTGGGCCTAGCCTCGATCATCATTACTAAAGTCGGTACGATAAAAAACAGTCTCGAATATCAATTTTTTGATTTAATCATGTATGAGCGTTGAGCATTAGATCAGATTACAATCCAGTCAATAACGCAGGCTAGCAATTACATCGAGAGTTGATTATGGTCTGGATAAGTTAATTAATGTCTAATTAATAATTTAGATAACATTTCAGGCCTAAAGATAGACCTGCAATAGGCAGATTTAGCTCTTGTATAATGTATGTTTAATGACAAAATATATTTCACACGATAAATATCTGACGAAATCTTTAAATACCATTTGTTTACCATTATCAATAAAACCTAGTTCATATTCTATAAATAATTTCTCATAATAATGGCTGCTAGTTCTTTATCTGTTACATGCACTGGTACATGTACATGCACTGCTTCACCATTTCCACGTTTACCCAATCAAGAAGTACAAGAATAGACAGTAGTTGAAAATAGTGTTCGATTATTATAAATTTGTGTCAGATGTCGCAGGAAATGATTCCTATTGGCGAACACAGAAGAATCACGGCAGAAAAGAGAATTAAGCCTTTAAACAGAGAGAGAGAGAGAGAGAGGGGGGGGGAGGGTTTAACGTCCACTCGATACAAACTAGGTCCTTTCGGGACTAACCATGATTTAATTTTATTTCAATAATTTGCTTGCGCGTAGGGGTCTTTAGCAGTGGGAGGAAACCGGAGGACCTGGAGAAAACCCACGAGGTTGGACAGGCAACCCTACTCCTTGTCACGTACAACTGGGGATTCGAAACCATGCCAGTTGACTCAATGACAGGCCTTATGATGCAGCGCGCACATGCTAACCATTCGGCCATCCAACCCCCAGCCTTAACAGAGATGGGGTAGAGCAATATTTCTATATTAAAACCTAACAAGGACGGACAGGAGCGGTCAGAAAATTGTACGTTTAGAGATCATTCCGAAATCAACTATAAAAAAAGATGCTACCTGGATTTGTCAACCTGAAGAAGGGAATATAACTTTTGAGGGTTTCCAAAAACAATAAATCTGCTAGCTACCATATGAAAAGTCTTTAATTTGTTTTATCATATGACTAAAACAATAACTGCACATTTTGTCAGATTTATTATTGAAATATGTGTAAATGAACCTTGCAAATGACAATAAAGTGGTTTTGTATGACATTTTAAGGTCATCGGAAACTTATAATAGAAATAGTTCCTTGTATGTCATACATTTCTATCTCTTAACATACACAAATATAGGAGCAACAAGGTTAAATTACTATCATGATAAACATACCTTGTATGTTGAAAGGAATTGGGTCTTCCTACCATTCGATTAGAGTGAGATGGAATGGAGTTCTCGACAAAATTTGTTGAAGCACTCAGTTTGTCTGGTGGAATGTCAACAATTCTTTTTAGTGAAGTTACTTCTGCTGAGACTGGACGAAATTCCCGAATATGATGGCCATTTGAATGATGACTAGGTAAGGCAGAATGTCGATTTTGAGGATTGTTTTTATGAGTGCCAGAAGATGGACGAAGCCTTGCAGGTTTATCGGCATAGGATGGCAGATTATATATGTCACTGGATGGATGAGTTGATAAGTTTTTTGAATAATGATTATTAGAGAAAGTACCATAGGGTATGTAAGGCTTATCTTTGGTATTCACAATATTAGTCGGTGGTGGCAAGGAACTAACAGGAATGTAAGGCGGTAATTCCTCAAAGTCCCATGGCATCGTCTCATGTTTTGATACACGCCCGTCAGAACTCATTGATGTATTTTGCAAGTCATTTGTCATTGGATGATCAGGAATGGGATCAAATTGGATATTTCTGATCGAAGGTCGCTCTTTAGTTCGTTTTTGAGGCATGATGACAGTTGCTGCACCGGACATATTTATCATATGCTGTCCACGTGTTTTGGGCCATGTTCCACTGTTGCTCTCTTGTTCACCTTCATGGCTTCTTTTTCTTTTTATTTCCTTTCCTTCCTCTTTCTCATAAACTGGACCAAACTCGGCAATCACATTTTCACTTCTTCCTTTACTATTAACTTTTTTATGTGTTTTTTCCTCACCATCACTATTCTTGTCATGAGCATGATTGCGGGGCCGGAATATTTTTTCGAAGGCTTTACCTATCACATGAACACTGTGTCTAGATTTTTCTGTGTCAGGATTGCGTTCTTTATGGCGACGCACTGGACCTATACTGTCTAAACTGTCCGTTTGAGAACCACTACTCCTTAAAATTTTACTTCCAGTTCCTTGAATTCCATCTAAAGACGTATCCCAGTGAGAGCCATGGGAAGGCAAAGACTCTGATTTACTCATCTTGGATGCTGGTTGTTCTGCTAATGAAGATATCACAGATTGACTGATAGGAGTTGGTGAGGAACCAGTCGAACTAATAGGTGAAGCTTGTCGTCTCACATCAAGTTGAACTGGTTCTGTGGATTTTTCTAGAAGTTTCATGGCTTCCCTGGCTGTTAGAGAATCAGCTGATTTACCATTTATCTAAGGAAGACAATGTATACTCTTAAACAAACTTATTACTAATATAGTTATCTTAATGGAATGGGCCAACATTTTACTTCGTTAAAGACTAATATCTATTAAATTATGGGCAATGCCAGAAATTAGAGCAGAGTTTATGTTTATTTAAACTGTCCCATCCAAATAGTTACACTGTATTTGTTATACCTGAATGCATCCATCATGGCAAAAAAAGGTACAGATCAAAGCGAGAATTTCATATTTTCTAAGAAAGTCAAAACATAATTATTTCTATGTCTTTTGCTCAATAGGTTGTCAACACACAAATAAGATCATAGGTATCATTCTCACACTTAAAAACAATTCACCCAGGAAATAATAACACAATTACCTCCCTTGTTTTTCTATTCCCCTCATGGAATAGCTATCTTCAAAAGTTTGAATTTGATGTTGAAAATGATATTTTTGCCAATTTCTCAACTGGCAATAGTGAATTATAGGATTAATAGGATTATTCTTTAACAAGGTAGAGAAGGACTGTTTATAGATACCATCTATTTTAAAGGCTTTATTTTAATTCATTTTAAAAATATAACTTAAAAAAGTCAAAACATAATTATTTCTATGTCTTTTGCTCAATAGGTTGTCAACACACAAATAAGATCATAGGTATCATTCTCACACTTAAAAACAATTCACCCAGGAAATAATAACACAATTACCTCCCTTGTTTTTCTATTCCCCTCATGGAATAGCTATCTTCAAAAGTTTGAATTTGATGTTGAAAATGATATTTTTGCCAATTTCTCAACTGGCAATAGTGAATTATAGGATTAATAGGATTATTCTTTAACAAGGTAGAGAAGGACTGTTTATAGATACCATCTATTTTAAAGGCTTTATTTTAATTCATTTTAAAAATATAACTTAAAAATATGAAATTATCGCTTTAATGTTTGAAACAGGTAATTTATATAACTAATTGTATATTTACTTACATGTATAATTCTATCACCTACACTAGGTAACATACCATCTTTAGCTATAATACCTCCAGTATATACACCACATATAAATAAACCTTGTTCTATATGTATACCACATTCTGTAATAACATTTATTATAATTACCAGTCATCTTCTACAGCTATATATATATACCAAACAACATCAGCTTTACTACAAACAATATCTCCAGGGTTTTTATTTCTGTCTCAGAATCTATGCAACTCTCATTACAATAAACATAGAGAAAATACTGATAGACTAGAAGACATGATGGTTTTCTGTCAGCCAGGGGACAAATTTGTTTTAATTCTGTATTAGACTGAAGAATTGTATTATCTTGAAACAAGTGTTCTTTTTCTATTCTGTACTAGTTAAACAGTATGTTTTCCCTTGTTTTTTTATTTTCTAAGTAAATTTGGAAAGAAAAAATACTGTGATATGTATCGTATCGTATCGTATCGTGAGGTCGATACCGTGATACGTATTGTATCGTGAGGTTTTGTCTGCAGTACCATAACTAACCTTTTTGACATGAAAGAAGAAGTTGTAATGGTTGCCAAATTCTAGCACTTGTTGATTTCCTTCTTCTCACAACCTATTAAAGAGAAAAATATGAATAAATTCAAATTGTGTTGAACATAAATAAATACTGTGGTGCCCCCATTTACCAATTTTAGGTGCTGTACTCCAAGAAACCTAATTTTGAGGACAGAGTGTCATAAAGAAGGTATATTCCATCCAAGTTTTATCAATATCAAAAGATCAACCAGTCAGATTACAGTAGACCAATCAAGTTAGCACAGATAGAGAGAGAGAGAGAAATGGGGTTTAACGGCCACTCGACACAAACTAGGTCATTTCGGGACTAACACATGGTTTAATTTTATTTCAATAATTTGCTTGCGCGTAGGGGTCTTTAGCAGTGGGAGGAAACCAGAGAACCCGGAGAAAACCCACGAGGTTGGACAGGCGACCCTACTCCTTGTCACGTACAACTAGGGATTCGAAACCACGCCAGTCGACTCAATGACAGACTTTATGATATACAGCGCGCGCACGCTAACCATTCAGCAAGCCATCCCCCCCCCCCACCCCCGTGTTAGCACAGATAGTGTGATGTTCAAACTTAAGTCAGTGACTCTTATAATTAAAAAAAAATATTTCAAGTATTATCAAAATCTCAATAAGGCAGGGAATAAAAATGTAATATAACATCACATCACAAGATGTCAATTGAAACTTTTTAAATCAATAATCTTTGGCACGGCTTTACCAACTGTACACTATAATACTCACCATATTTAATCTTCCTGTACTTTTATGCATAGCTCGGACAGCTACTCGTTTTTCTATATTACTAACATCTATATTGTTAACCTTTAGCACTGTATCATTTACCCTAGAAAATCAGAGAATTAATTAGCTACTTACTATCAACAGAAATTAAGTTATTAGAACAATTCAATGCAAAAAATTAAATCAACTTCTGTATCTTTTTGTCCCTTGACTGTTGGAATTCAATTCCTAACAAACTTTCCCCCATTAGTCCAGTTGTTGCAGAACATAGAAAGTAAAACCCCATTTCATTTCATTTTGTATCATTTTGTTACTGTAAATATTCCAATATGCCACTGTGTTTTGAAACATTTTATCTGGTTCTACCAGTTTGAGTGTATCATGTTTTCGTAGATATACTTGAATAAATAATATCAATCCATGCACAGAATTTACACCTAAAAATTAAGTTGAAAAGATGGTAAATTTGTTGATGGTGATCAACGACAGACAACATCATAAATTAGATTTATTTATAAAAAAAGCTATAAATACTTACTTGAGTTTACCGTCTGCTATACTACCTTTAGTGATATGTGAGACATAGACAGACGTATCATTAGTGAACTGTGGATCATCTTTACCACCTGTTAATTCTACACCAATTTCTTCTCCTTCAACAGATTGCTACAATAAAACAACTGACCAATTAAATTCTGTCACATTAATCTCTAAAAGAATAATTTTATTAAAGATACATTATGGGTGATTCGATAACGAGTTGGCAGTTCTCACTATAATAGTTAAAAACTAGATAATGTAAAGGCAATTTGCTGAAAAATTCATTCAAATTGATCCACTATGAACCGAGAACTAAGAGGTTGAAATTTCCGGTGTACGATAAACAGCATAGTCTTGATTTTCCATTTAATTGTTAAATGGTGAAGGAAAGTTACGCAGTAAATCGGCTCACAATCCACTACAGATCGCAGGCTAGCGATGCAATCTAGAGTTGATTATGATCTGGATAGGTTAATGTCTAATTAATAGTTTAGATAACATTTCAGGCCTAAAGAAAGACCTGCACTAGGCAGATTTAGCTCTTGCATAATGCATGTTTAAAGATATATCATGGGAGGTAAGATAAAGAGATGGCAGTTCTCGCTATAATAGTTAAAAACTAGATAGTGTAAAGGTAATTTGCTGAAAATTTCAGTCAAATTGATCCACTATAAGCCGAGAAAGAAGCGGGTGAAATTTTTGCATAGTCTCGGTCATCATTACTAAAATCATTAATATAAACAGCATAGTCTTGATTATCCACTTTTATTGATCTAATTATCAATAGCCGTTAGCGGCATATAGGAATCTAATCCACCCAACATCGAAGGCTAGCCTTGACATCGAGAGTTTATTATGGTCTGGATAAGTTAATTAATGTCTAATTGATAATTTAGATAACATTTCAGGCCTAAAGAAAGACTTGTAATAAGCAGATTTTGCTCTTGCATAATGCATGTTTAAATATGTCTTCAATTGTTTTATGAAAGGGATTTAATGTCTGTTCACTCATTTTGTCATTTATTTTAAAACTAGAAATTATCCTGCTTTTCTCTATGGCTACCAGTGACATGCTAAGCAGAAATTTTTGCACAGATAGTGGCACTTAGACCTGTTTTTCTTCAGATTACATATCTTTTCAGTGGACTACTGATTTGCATAATGGGCCTTGGCTATTTATCTCATTAGAATAACTAGATCCACTTTTTTTGAAAGCCTGGTCAGTTCTGCTCCTGGTAGTGGGAACCAAGCTGAAGATTCTTTTCAATTCACACAGGTCATGAAATCAATGAATTAATACTACAGAAAGTAAGTACGAGCTTTAATTTTTTACTACGTACCAAATCAATATCCAATGTTTCCATTTCCCACTCTTGTAAATCAGCATCTATGGCTGAATCCCGACTATGGTTGTGACCTATGGAATTGAGTTGCGTTTTTCTGGTTTCTTTTTCAACAATAACTTCAAACCTTTCTCTGTAAAATACAATCAAAATACACAATTCAAAATGAAATCATTGCATCATCAAATTGATGTCAATTTGTGTTACATATTTAATAATATGACTGTCAATATGATTAAAACACAGATCCTATTTCATTTCATTTTTTATAGTTCAAAATTTTGTTTTATTTGTCTGTACTACACTAGGATCTGGAAGAGTTGTTATATAACCTGCGTTCTGGATGGTGTGAGGGATTAGCCAAAGAAACCATCTGTTACGGCGACTTTCTTGCGTGCAATGCATGAACCTGTGGGTAACCCACTAGAAACGTCAACGCTGATTGATTAATCAAATGTCTGACATCATAGGGTTCAAAGTCGCTCATACGAACCCTGACATGACCTCCCAGTACAACTGGTCAAATCTTCATGTAGTGTAGGCCATTGAAAGTATAAAAAAACGAAACAAAATATAGATCTGTATTTTAATCAGATTGTTTATTGACTGTAAGACAAGGCATACAATCCTACTTATATACCTATAAATTCTTTATCAATTTATGTAGGCCTTTCATAGTTTTCGCATCAGCTTAATGCACAAAATATATAAAAGCTCTGATGTCACGGACGTGATACTCTCTATATGTCTATCGAATAATGAAGCATTGAAACCAGCGGCTGTCAGGCAGGATACGCCCACATTTTCGAGAGATGGATAGAGAACAAGCTAAAAAGAAAATGATTTTTCGTACAATCAGGGGCCATAATTCAGGAAGTTACGGTCCGATATGCTATTTGAGAACGTAGGGCGGCCATTTTGTCTGTCAATTTTGGGCCGATTTGCATGAAATTGGAACTCAGTCATTCATAGGGTGTAACGGTGATATAATAATATGTTTTTTTAATCGGATAAAAATTATGACCTCTATGGGGTCCACAAGCTAAAATCACGATTTTTCGTACAATCAGGGGCCATAATTCAGGAAGTTACGTTCCGATATGCGCGAATATCGAAAGGAACAGAGATCTTTGGGTTATAAACTTACATTTCAAGTTTCATCAAAATAGGATAAAAATTGTGACCTCTATAGGGTCCACAACCTTGATATACCATATTTTTACGCTATTTGAGAATGAAGGGTGGCCATTTTGTCTGTCAGTTTTAGGCCAACTCTCACGAAATTCGAACTCAACCGTCCATAGTGTGTAACGGTGTTATAATAATACGTTTTTTTTAAATCGGATAAAAATTATGACCTCTATAGGGTCAACAAGCTAAAAACGCGATTTTTCGTACAATCAGGGGCCATAATTCAGGAAGTTACGGTCTTTGGGTTATAAACTTACATTTCAAGTTTCAAAAAAATCGGATAAAAATTGTGACCTCTATAGGGTCCACAACCTTGATATACCATATTTTTACGCTATTTGAGAACGAGGGGCGGCCATTTTATCTGTCAGTTTTGGGCTGATTTTCACGAAATTCGAACTCAGTCGTCCTTTGGGTGTAACGGTGATATAATAATACCTTTTTTTAAATCGAATAAAAATTATGACCTCTATAGGGTCCACAAGCTAAAAATGCAATTTTTCGTACAATCAGGGGCCATAATTCACGAAGTTACGGTCCGATATGCGAGAATATGGAAAGGAACCAAGATCTTTGGGATATAAACTTACATTTCAAGTTTCAACAAAATCAGATAAAAATCGTGACCTCTATAGGGCCCACAACCTTGATATACCATATTTTTACGCTATTTGAGAACGAACGGCGGCCATTTTGTCTGTCAGTTTTGGGCCGATTTTCACAAAATTCGAACTCAGCCGTCCGTAGGGTTTAACGGTAATATAATAACAAGGTTTTTTAAATCGGATAAAAATTATGACCTCTATAGGGTCCACAAGCTAAAAACGCGATTTTTCGTACAATCAGGGGCCATAATTCAGGAAGTTACAGTCCGATATGCGCGAATATCGAAAGGAACCGAGATCTTTGGGTTATAATCATACATTTCAAGTTTAAAATAAATCGGATAAAAATTGTGACCTCTACAGTGTTCACAAACTAAAAACATGATTTTTCGTACAATCAGGGGCCATAATCCATGAAGTTACAGTCCGATACATACCAATATCAAAAGGAACCGAGATCTTAGGGTGATAAACCTATATTTCAAGTTTCATAGAAATCTGATAAAAATTGTGACCTGTAGACTGTTCAGAAACAATTGTGGACGGATGGACAGACAGGGCGTATAAAAATATCTAATATCAGTAGTGACAACAAATTCGGAAAATTTTACTTTGCAATTGGCTAAACTATTAACTTTTAACGTTAGGAGCTGTATTTTTTTAGTTAAGCAGAATTTATATCTCAGACGATAATAGCGTAGGCAAGAATAGAATACTAGTCGTATTTTCCTTTTGCTAATAAAAGGTTCTTAAAACAATCGTTGAGTTGTCTGGCTCGCAATCTTATGGATTAGAAATTCTGTCTTGATAATCAAGATCCGTCAATCAACCGGGGAACATGTACTGATGTTGAAAAAACCCAAACAAATATGTTGGTCCCCCTGAACAAAAGCAGTATATTTTAACATATTCTAATGGATATATCTTATGAAATAGAGCCCGATAGGACAATATTCAAATGATCAACACTTTCGTGGTTAGTGCTAAATGGTAAGGCCAGCTCAAGGTCACGAGATGTAAACAGGGGTAGAGCTTATCCCAACCCTAACCCTAACCATGGACCTAGCCCCAGTGCTTACCCGAACCTACAATCTTACCAACAATCACATGCTCTAACCCTATTTACATCTCAACGACCTTGACAAAAATTGAGCTGGCCTTAACCAATAGATTTAGCCCACTTCTACCGCTAATATGTAGCTCTCCATTTTCGTGATTTTTTTCAGCATGGGCTAACCTACCAAACCAACCTTGGTTCTAACGTAATTTAGATGAAGAAATTTTTGTGAAATAATTTTTATCTATTTTCTATCATTTATCAATAACAAATATACGTCAAAATATAGTAACACTTACTTCACATCTTTGAGTTCTTTAAAAGCTTCATTTTTCTGTTTTTTGATTTCATCTGAGTCTCTAAGAGCTTGAGCTAGAGCACTAACAGCTCTGTCTCTATCGCGTCTTAAATTATCACATAATGTACGTATACTTTCTCTCTCTTGCACAATCTTATCTCTTTCACTAAAAGCCCAATCTCGACGCTTCTTTGCAATATCAGCTTCAGAGAAGGAATCTAGAAAAGAAAAAGTTCCAATAAATACTGTGATAAAGTAATGAATAGATGATGGTGTACATATTGGCAAAAGTTTTGACAAGGACAGCTGACTAGGACAGCCGACACTTGGTGTGCACGTAAAAGATCCTTTGACAGTTGGAAATCGATGTAAGAGTAGACCGTAGTGCCGCTGTCCGGGCAAAATTTTGCTTGCAGCACACTGTATGGCGTATGCCCATCATTATTAACCCACTTTGGAGTAGAACAGTAGGATGTTAAACTCCATTACATTTTTCATTTCATTTTATTTCAGATGATGGTGTGATCTTTATCATTGATGTGGATAACATAACAATGAAGTAAATATCTAATAATTGGGTTTGTACTGCATTTTTAAAGTGACAAGTCGAAAATCCATCATCAGTTAAGAATAGAGTAGGAAACGTTAATGTCAATCATAAAGGCTAGATAATGCCATCAAAATGGAATCGATCTTATGACGTCTGAGTTTCCATCTCTTGTAATTTCCCGTGAGAGTTCTATTTTAAGCTTCAGTTAAATTAACTAATCAAAATAACCTACCTGAGAGATCTTGTTTCATTTTCTCCATCTGTTTTCTTAGAATTTCTGTTTCTTTTGAAGCATTATTAATTTCTTCTGCCTTTTCTTTCTGAGATTTTTCATAGGTTTCTTTAATAATCATATCTATATGTTCCAAAGCTTCATGACGCTCTTTTTTCGCTATGTCTCTTTCTCTCGCCATGGAATCAAACTCTTTCCAGAATTCATCCCTTTCATGTTCCAATTCCTGTTTACGCCCACAGATATCATTACGCTCCTTATTAGCCTTATCACGTTCTTGAAGAGCTGATCGAATCTCACGTCGCAAAGTTTCTACCTCATTTTCAGTCTCACGCTTATTTTTTTCTAATAGCTCCACTTTTTGAGAAGCGATTTTAAGTTTTTCGTGTAATTGTTCTATCTCCTTATGCACAACATCACGTTCGGACATAACCAATTGATATTCTTTACGCGAGTTATCACGATCATGAATAATATTTTCAACTTCTTTCTTCATACCAATTTGTTTAGCTAAGGATTGATGAATCTCTACACGTAAATCATCTCTCTGCTTTTGAGCCATTAACTGTGCCTCTTTAAGAGCTTTATTTTCATGAAGAGCTTTGTTCCAATTCCGAATGGCTGAAGTGCACTGTTGTTTTATTCCATCACTTTCACTTAAAATTGTACTATTTTCCTTACTTAATTCGTCACATCGTTTCTTTAAACGAAGGTTTTCTTCAGTCAAAATTTCCATTTGATTTTCTGTGGTAATTTCGGTAGCAGACGTCTGCTCACAACGCTCTCTTAAAGCATCATAGTCTCTTTTTAATGTATCATACCTCTGCATGGCTGTATCATACATTTCATTTAAAACTTCATTTGATCCACTGGAATTCACTACTTTTCTCTGCTGTTTTCGCATTTCTTCCATTTCTTGTTTATCCTCTTCTCTCAGTTGTTGTAATCTGTCTATCTCGTGTTCTAGTCGTTGTTTAATTGAACTAAACTCATTATTCTGAGATTCTACCATCTTTTTATCTTCAGATATTTTACTAAGTTTACTTAATAAGGACTTATTCTGACCACGATAATGCTCCGCTTCTTTGACGGCTTGATCACAGCGCTTCATAGTCTCTGCATATTGTTGTTTCATTGACTGTAGTTCATTTATAGCATGTTCACATTGAGATCTAAGCCATTCATAGTTTTTGGACTGTTCAGGTTTAAGGGAATCTTTAGTGAAACGTGAGAAGGAAGATTGTATATCTTTCGTTGATGACTGATTGTGATGATCTGCTGAGGCATGGAAATTCTCTAAATGTGGTTCAAATTGTACAGTAGATATCACAGCTCCTGGTTTCCAATGGTCTCGGAATTCTTGTGAGCTGGAATCTGTAAAGAAAATAATGGGAATGGATCATATCATCAAAAGTAATCCCTGTTAACAAAATTCAACTGATGTAAAACAACCTGTACAGGATTCTCAGCAATACAATGTACTCTGTAATTGGTTAAATAAAAGGGTTTATAAATAACACTGGTGAGAATGAATATAAATCTTTCATACATGTACATGTAATCTCCTTCAATAAAATGTATGAAATAAATGAAATGGGGTTTAACGTCCTAATGCTCAGCTCCGACTGGGCTAATGAAGACTGGCATATGCCATACCGTGTGCTATGAGGGAAATTTTGCCCGGGCAGCGTCACTATTACCTACTCGTAAATCGAATTCCACCTGCCAAGGGATCTTTTACGTGCAAAACAATGTATACATGGGACTTGGTTTTTCTCCCATCCAAATGACTAGACAACTGTCCTTGTCAGGCCCTCCTTCCTGAACCACTGACAATAGGAAACCATGTCGGAAAATCCCGATGAACAATGAATATTAATACATTGTAATGAAACATATCATTAAATCTTGCCTAAATCTACACTAGCCTCTGTTCTTCTTGGGTTACAAGATCCTTAACTTACTTATTCTTAATATAAATCTATCCTAGATGTAATCTCCCTCAACAAAATGTACATAAATTAGTGATTTTCAAAATCTATATTTTAGCCAAAAAATACACATGGTGTCCCGGTAGTGTTAAACAAGCCAAATGCGTGACTGAAATTAAATTAAAGAGATGAAATGCATTAAATTACTTGTACATTTATCGATTAATAAAGCATCGAGCAATTTAACTGTTTATCACTCTGAGCAAAAAATGCTTAACGAATTTGGTCAAGGTATTGTTGTAACATACTACTCTTCAATTAGACACAGAGTTATTGTGTTCCAAAGCATCAACAAATTTGAAGTGAAATGAAATGGGGTTTAAAGTTCCATTCTTCTACACCAACCCGGCTAACGAGGACAGGCATACATGTATGGCATGCAGTGTGCTATGAGGGGAAATGTCTTGCAAAACTGACAAGGGGAATCCACACTTAAAATAATGAGGAACTTTCTCTGTGTCCTATTCCCACCACCAACATGTAAACTGCTGACATAAAATCACTTAAATAGTACTTCAAAAAAGAAGTCAAAGACATATGCTAGATTTGATAGACATAAGTCCTTTGACCCAGGTAAATATCTATGTGAAGTTTACAACCTCTACATCACCTGACAATCTCTTACCTTGTAATATTGGTCGTCTAACACTGTCTTCTTCTGAATCAGACATTGTTGATCTTTGATCTGAAAAATAAATATTTACAATTTAGCTGTATTTTGTCAATGTGTAGCCTTATGATAGACACATAACATACACTACACTACAAAGTAAAAAAACAAAACAAAAAACAAAATGAATACCTAAGTACGGAATAAGCCCAGATAAATGATTTTTATTCATAATGTATCAAATGACAAGTACTGTAAACTTAGGCAGTGGATCGATCTGCTTCATACAATACAAAACTGTAACTAAGGCTGATGAATCAACCAGCTCTACATGTATCTTTATATTTATTTGGAAAAAAAGATAACTACTCAAGTCTTCTATAATCACAATCTAAATTGAAGTCATGACTCATATCTATAAACATTGTAAAATCAGTAGATGTGTTAACTATATTATTAGTTTTAATTAATCATTAACCTGGCAGAACAACTATTATTTTGTATGTTGATAATTGAAACAATATAAGATATTGTGCTATTGATATTAAGACATTTTATGAGAGTTAAAATCAGTAATTATCATATCCAGTAAGTCAGAGATAGAAATGGGTCTTAACATCCACAAACTAGGTCATCTTGAAGATTAACATGTGGTTTACACCTAAATATCAAAAGACAGGCACTATTTTGTTAACCGGACAGACCATGTGCCTAGGACTAGTCATGCAACCTACAATTCGTTTCTGAATATTTACTCTATACGAAATATTGGCTGGCATAATTATTTGTTTATGTCGAATGCTCCAGTATATTATATATTTTTTTTTTATATTGAGTGTTTTAAATGGTTATATACACCAAGAAATGTTCTGCGGGCATTTTAAATACAGCAAAGTGCTTGTAAACATGATTTATGTTCTAACATCTCTAGCTTAATTACTGTTTAAGATATTAAAATAATGCCATAGCTTAATAACTGAATAAGATTTTTGGAAAATAATGCCAAATCACACTGCTGTAGGTAAATACTGAAATTTCAGCGTTAGAAGTTGCCTGCAGGAAACGAAAGGAAGACTGATTTATAGGACCTGTCATGAAGGTTATGTAATGAGGAAAAATAATTTCGAGTCAGCGATTTTGACTCTATGAAACAAGGTCAGTTGGGTAATCAAAATCACAGGTATTTTTTTTTTTTTTTTTCTGGGGGGGGGGGGGGGGGAATGTAACGTAATGCAAGGACATGATATATACTCAATTAAAATGCCTGATCTCGACGACTGGAACTGTCAAATAGAAATTATTGTGTTTCTTAAAATATCTAATGATTAGACAACCAGCATGTGATTCAATGAATTTTAATTGTACTTTAGAAAGCAAAAACTTTTGATAAGAGAATCCCTTCCACCATCCTTTCAACACTGAACATTATGTACATGTACAGTAGGGTGTGGCATAATGGATGGTTGTATATACTAAGTCTATATCTAAACAGCCAATTAGCCATCTCTGTACAGAACACAGATATAAAGAATTTTCATCTATATGTAGCTATATTGATTCACATATACTGACAATACCATACCTATTTTGAGTCTTCATCAATCTGATGCTGATAGATACATTTTATATAACCAATTTCAATTTAAGGTAATTTATAAATTGCAATAACAATCAACCAGACAACCACTATACATTTATAGTAGGCTAATAAAATGAATAATTCATAATATATCCACAGGTCATATGTTACATATACCTCACTACACCAACTACATGTACTTTTTATTTTGAAAATATAATGAAAATATATGCATCGACATACATATATGTATATGCACACCTGGTCAATATTACTATTTTCAATATAACTCAACATGTGAACCTAGTAGAAGATAATTACCGAAATAATATATACATGTACATGTAAAGTGTAACTGTTGTGTTTGCTCCAGTAGATAAAATGGTATGTAAAAATATTGATCTTTAACATATTTGTATTAATATTTTAACATGACAACCATTAATGTCTGGTTACCATACAGTTCATTGATTGAAATGTTTCTACTAGCGTGTACACTGCTAGAATATTAACATACACTACAATACTCTTTTCAATTTCTATATGTAACAATGAAATAAATGTGGGAAATAGTATCCATTTGAAAACATATGACTTCTTTGAATTTAATGTAAAGTGGCAATTTGACGACTCTGATGTCAATATTTTTATCCCAGATGACACTTTAATCTAAAGATCAGATAGGTCGCAGGAAACAAAACAGACCCACCACCAACAAAGTTGATTCACTTGACTGAGCTGTTTAGAATATAAAGTCTGTCAATGTTTGGATCTTTTTAAGCTTTGAAAAACAATTTAGTAAAAACTTTTAATTATGATCCTAGTTCTGAATGACACCCATAGACATGAGAATTTATTAAATATTAGTTACATCTATATGGACTATATAATTGTTGTACATTAATATGTACCATACATGTATGTCATAAAACTACAAATACATTTTAAGGTCAACAAGAATTTATTGTTAATTAAAGGAATGTAATCTAATTCTTAATCATGTTGGGCCTCAATCTGTACATGTATTTCCATCCCCTAAAATAGGAACTAAATGTGACAATGTAGCCAACTTCTATTCACTACAAATATCTTTTCAGAAGCCCTGTGACAGCGTGAGAGTACAGATATTTCAGACTTCGAAATCACAGATTTCATAGGATGACATCATTATTGACATTTCTAAAATAAGAAAACCTCTCACAGAATATGAAATGCTACTTTATTTTTTAGATAAATTTGACCAACAAAAACTTTGGCATTCCTGTGTCAGTCACTGTGTCAGTAGATTATTGTTTTAAGTGCATGCATTCCATTGCTGTTACATTTTTATCAAATTAATGTTAAATCTAAGTTCTCTGAATGGGTTGATATGGAGCTACAAAATATTAATTTATTGCAGATCTTAATTTGATGGGATGGACTAAAAGAAGTCATCATTTATTTAGGGCACTAGGCATGGATTTATGGAAATTTTTCACACCACATCTGAAAATCAGACTGGTTTTGTCTCTGACATATATTCAGTGAGATGTGTACAAAAATAATGAAATTTATGAAGATAATTTTGCGGATGTTGCAAGAGAGATCTTTTTAATTATGGTATGGTAACAGTTTGAGAATTCAATTGTTCATTGCTTAGTTTTTGTGTAAATGCATCAAACAGTAGTACTTGTACATGTACAGGTCTATTTGCAAATTCATTTCATGTGAGCCCATCATTGTGAGTAATAATTAGTGTTAAGTATTAAAATTCTGGAATTCACACCTTTGACGAAACAAAACAAAATAAACTTTTGATTTGCAGTTACTTTTCATAAGATTGCATGCAAACTTTGAGCCAATATAAGCACCTTAATTTTACATGTAATTATATACATGCTAATATGACATTGTATGGAATTTATTACATTTAATTTCTTGTTGATTCTTCTAATGCCTATGTAAGGGAATCAGTGACATGGTGATATTCTAGTTAATCGGGGTTTGTTTTTTGTTTTGTTTTGGGGTTTTTTTTGGGGGGGAGGGGTAAGTAGATCCTTTAATATTTTTTTTTCTAATTTATAATCAAGATGTTACACTTGACAACTGAAAGGAAAAACCAGGCTTGAAAAACGTTTCCATTTACCACTTTGCCAGGATGTTCAAGCCACACAGCTGCTACATGTAGGCAGTCTTCTTGGAACTATTATAAATAGTGGGCAAATATAACATGCGAAGTGTTACAGTGTACAAACTATACTTTAATTAATAATTGCTGAACAATTACTGAATTAACAATATTACCTGGTGCCAGTCTATGGCTACTTCCTAAAAACATCACTGTCAATAAGTGGGGATAGGTTGTCTCCAATGCTAAACACAAACTTTGGAACGCAAGATTTCCTTTAGAAGGCAACATACTCAACAGTTTTTCAACTTTGTCTTCTCTAGAAGAGTGTTTATTAATTTCTGCTATGTCAGTTGGTGATAATCCATCAGATCCACCATGCAAAATTGGATAGAGTCTTTCAACCTCAACTAATTGGACAAACTTTGTCCTGTGAAGTTCTAATAGTTCTCTATATCTGGTCTCCATTTTACTACTTACTCCAAGAAACCACAATAAGATATAAAACTAATCAAAATGATAAAGGATCTTCGTTGACGTGTCAACTATAAAAGTCATAATAGTTTGTAAAATTATTGAAGTGTCGGCCATATTTGATTTCAACAATCAAAACAAAACAAAGTTGGATGTTATCACACAGAACTTCCGTGTATCAAATGATTTGTGAGTTATAAAAAGTTGTTTTAAATTTGCATATATAGTGACGGAATGCCACTCCCTGAATGGACAAGCCATCTTGAATCACAATAGCGAGGCCTTGGAATTCATAATGTTTCTCTTCTCCGACTCAATCGACATCGTCACTTTCACAAGCGCCATGTTGGACTCGGTACGGTCCAAAAATGGAAACAAAACTTCGATCATAAACTTTCATAAGATTTTAATTGTGACTGTTCTCTTGCATGTATTTTCATATCTAATACAAAATAAAATTAATTAAAGTCAAAATAAACAACTAATTTGATAACTGAAGTGACCTTGAATGAAGAAAAACAAACTTTAGCAAAATATCCAATACGGTTGAAGGGAGACAACTCTGATATTATTCAGGCAGGTACCCGTCGAAATATAATTGATATTGCAACCAACACGTAGACGTATTATCAGTCAGTATTTTTGAATACTGAGGGTTTAACAAACAAAAAGTCAAGGTATCAGTTAGTAAGTGTATTATTTCCATTTCAGATCTGTAAAATAGCCTATTGAAGTGGCAATATTATTATCAATGACAATACCGGGTTAGGCCGAGGCCTACCACTAGTACCTGAGTGGCAGTATCATTGGCTGAATATGAACTTCTTCATAAAGTTTAAAAAAATGGGTGTGACGTCAAACATGAATTCCTAGTTATCAAGAGGCTGGATTAAGAAAGTGCATGATTAGGGATGCAGAAAATTGGGACATTTTAAAAAAATTTTTGTCAATATCAAGACTGGTAGAACTGGTTCTTTTAAGGGCTCAATCCACTCTTGTTGTAACTGAATAATATGTCCCAATCTTTATTCTGGTCAACAAATTGTACTATTTTAGAATATTTCAATTAATTGATGAAACAAATTTCATCTTAACACACCTTATTTAAAATTTTTGAAAAAATCAACATAATGGTTTGAAACGTCTAACGTAAACCTTTTCAAATGAAACTTCGATTTAAAAATATTTTCGAACCCTCTGGACAAGGAAAATAGGATGTAATGGATAATTTACACAACAGGTAGGACACTTAAACATCTAGTACTTAGATAGAGATATTATTTATGTGCTAAAAGTTAGGCCCTACCGACCTGCGTCGAATTTATCTTTCATTTTGAAAATTATAGAAAACATTGTCCTCAATCGTTTTAAATATCATTTGTGTGAAAATAATCTCCAAGAAAAATTTCATTCAGCATACAAAAAATGGCACAGTATGGAATCTGCCTTACTTCGTGTTCACAATGATATCGTATGCACCTTGGATCAGAAGAAACCGGTGTCGCTAGTTTTATTGGACTTGAGTGCGGCATTTGATACGATAGATCAATCAATCCTACTCGGGAGACTTGAAACTCGATACGGTATATTCGTAGTCGCACTGAAGTCCTATCTGAGTGGAAGACAGCAGAGTATTGTTATTGACGCATATTGATCAATGCCTAAAGTTTTTGATTTTGGTGTTCCCCAGGGATCCGTATATTGGAACCGATTTTGTTCACAGCATACACTGCACCAATTGGAGATATCATCCGTGAGATGGGTCTTAATTACCACCTCTTTAAGGATGATACCCAGTTATAAACTTGATCCTTCACCAGATACCACTACATCAGAACTTGAAGCATGCATTGAACGAATTAGAATCTGAATGCACTGCATTTTTTTAAATTAAACGATGACAAAACAGAAAATATAATAATCTGGAATAAAAAGATCATTGACAGCAACCATGTGACTATTGGAAGCACAGCCATAACCCCATCCAACTGTGTCAGGAATCTTGGTGTGTTCTTTGACTCGTCCTTCGATATGAAAACCCATGTATCCAGGCTGTGCAAAAAGGCGAACTTTCACGTGTATAACATTGATGCCACTAAAATGTTAATAAATACTTTTGTTATGTCATCTTTCGATTATTGTAATTCATTATTGTATTCTCTTCCTAAAACTCTTGTAAGTCAGCTACAGAAAATCCAAAATAAAGCAGCTCAAATTGTATCTCCCACCAAACTTTCTGACCATATTAGCAGAACAGTAGGACGTTAAACCCATTTCATTTCATTTGATTTCTGACCATATTACGCCTGTTCTGAAACAGTTACATTGGCTACCAGTTAATCAACGCATCATTTTCAAAATTAATACAATCACTTTCAACTGTTTAAACAATCCTTTGGCACTATCCTATTTATCAGATTTGATTAAACAATATGTACCTTCTAGTTCCTTCTATTCATCTCATAAAAACAAACTTGTATGTCCAGTACAAAAGTCAAAATTTGGCAAGAGAGCTTTTGCATACGCAGCACCAAAAGAATGAAACTTGGCTATATTTAAACAATGTCTAAAACCCCTGTTTTTTACCCAAATTTTTGAACTATAATTTAAATGCTTCACTTTCCATTTGTATATTGTAACTCCTTTGTATTCAATTGAGTCAACTGGCGTGGTTTCGATTCCCGGGTTGTACGTGACAAGGAGTGGGGTCGTCTGTCCAACCTCGTGGGTTTTCTCCGGGTCCTCCAGTTTCCTCCCACTGCTAAAGACCTGTACACGCAAGCAAATTATTGAAATAAAATTGATCCATGTGTTGGTCCCAAAATTACCTGGTTTGTGTCGAGTGGATGTTAAACCCCATTTCTCACTCTCTCATATCTTAAAAATAGAACTATTCCGACAGTCATTCTGTTAATGACTTTAATGACATTGTAATTTACAACAATGGGCAGTCATTTGGTTGGAATTCCAGCGCTATATAAGATGATTATTATTATTATTACTGGGAAACCTGTCTATTATGTTTTAAGGGTGTTTATTACATTTCAGTTGGATATAAAATGTCAGGAAAAATCAAACTCCTGATATTTTTATTCTTAATAATACTGCTATTTCTTCTACGAGCTATTACCAATATGATTGATTTGAAAGTTAATAACCAAAGTACAGCAAAGCTAAAATCTTCATCATCATATGATTCAGAATTTGTTGTTTTACCCCAAAGTATGATATCACCACGAAAAGCATATTGTATTGATGGTTCTCCACCTGCATATAATATAAAACTCAGTAAGTATGAATAACTGTTCATTGTAAAATATATATCCCAAGAAAAAAGACAACTCATCCCAACTTTAAAAGAAAAAAACACTCATCCCAAAATAAGTTTGTTTGGTCTTCAAAGAAATCGATTGTATTAAAACATTTATAACTAGCACTTATATTTGTTGGAATGAGTTGTCTTATATCTCTACTCATGTTTGAAAGTTGGGATGAGTTGTCTTTTATTTTGGGATGAGTTGTCTTCTAACTTGGTATTAGTTGTCTTCTAACTTGGGATGAGTTGTCTTATATTGGGATGAGTTGACTTGGGATGAGTTGTCTTTGGGATAAGTTATCTGTATACCGATTTTACTATGATTTGTATACCGATTTAATGTAGGGTACACTTGTAAAATGATGTAATTTGTAAACCTAACTAATTTAGCACATAAATTTATTTTAAATTTTCAAATATTTAACTTTATGTATATAATGCTAGTTCAAGTTAATTAGAATGAGCTTTTATGGCAAATAAATAAAATATGAATGTGTGGACGTAGTCTCGCATTTTAAAATTGCAAACTTATATTAAACATACATTATGCAAGAGCTAAATCTGCCTATTGCAGGTCTTTCTTTAGACCTGATATGTTATGTAAACTATTAATTAGACATTTATTAACTATACAAGACCATAATCAACTCTCGATGGCATCGGATACTTGAGATTTTAAATAGATTAGAACGGTTTGCCATTTAAATATTTAATTTAAAAATGGGAAAGTGAGGCTAAGCCGTGAATATATCAGTGCCCTGGTATACCACTATCAACACATATTGTCAAAACTACTAACAGCGATAATTTGGTTCAGAATGAAGTAATTGGAATGAAATTTTCAATATTCTCTTTTTTTTATCATCTATTTTTGAATTATTATAGCAAGAATGACCAACTCTTTATTAAACTCTTAACTAATGCATCTTTAAAAGGCCAAGTGTCAACAATGAAGAAATGGATCCTACATTTAGAAAGTGGTGCATGGTGTAGTTCTGTCCGTGCTTGTGAGTCAAGGTACCAGTATAATTTTTATTGTAGACCAACCTTTCATCCACAGAAATTAAATAGGCTTAAGATTAGTGTTTAAAAGGGCTAAATCGCTAATATTTGGGACCTAGAAATTGACACAAACGGGTCGCAACACATATAATAATGTAATATGAATGTATATAAACTGATTTACATTCAATCATTTCAGTTTTTGCTGTAATTTCTAATCAGTTATGTTTGGTGAAATACGCCAGAAGTCTCAATCGAATTTAAATCTCTAGCGTCTGGTTATTCCATTGTACACCGTGTATTTATTGCACATGCTTTCCAGATAAGAATATGTCGTCACCGTTTGACGTGACTTGTGGAATATGTCTAGCCTCTTTCTTTGAGTCCCTTGTTACAAATGGCACCAAAACACATTATGGTAAAATGTTTATTTTGTCTTAAATATTGGATATCAGAAGTCCATCTTTTCCTGGTAAGATTACAACATCAATGTTGATTTCAATTGACAAATAATTCGTCGAAGACTTGGAGTGATATTTAATTATACTTAGCTACTTTAAAACCACTATGGCTGAAACAGAAGTGGCTGAAATGTTGTACATTCAATTTTTATGTACCTGCCAATCTAATGATATGTGGCCTTCCATTAACAATTTTTGTAGACAACCAAACCGTATGAATTTATTGACTGATTTGAATGAAATTTGCAGGGTTGTACTATTACAACATTAAGGTGTGCCCTATTTTAATTTATTAGATAGATATTGCCTTTTGCAAATTTGTGAGATACAGAATTTGTTTTAATTACTTATGTCGTTTTGATTATAAAATAATGTCATTTGCATTACATCATATGCATTTTTTCTGTGTAATTTCAGAAGTAAAACACGTCTTGGTTCCTCAAAGTTTGAAGCTAAAACCAGAAGACTTGAAGGTTTAATGTCTTCTAATCCTAAAATAAATCCTGATTTTTATCAGTGGAACATTGTGGAATTTCTCTATTGTGATGGATCTTCTTTTTTGGGTTTGTTCATTACTTTAACATACTATCAATACAGTATTACAAATCGATTAGAAATATCAGAATGTACAATACAATATCAAGTCAGTATTTCCTTCATTCTACAAGTTCAACAATACCAGTTCTAAAGATCCATTTCAGTTATATACTTTTACAGGGGGTTGGATGGCCGAATGGTTAACATGTGCATGCTGTATTATAAGGCCTGTCATTGAGTCAACTGGCATGGTTTCGAATCCCCGGTTGTACGTGACAAGGAGAACTGAGAAGGGTTTCCTCCTACTGCTAAAGACCCCTACGCGCAAGCGAATTATTGAAATAAAAAAAATTTAAAACCATATGTTAGTCCCGAAGTGACCTAGTTTGTGTCGAGTGGACGTTAAACAATATTTCTCTCTCTCTCTCTCTATATATATATATATATACACTTTTACCCCTGGTGATATTTATTTTAGCATTCAAATGTACAATGGGCATTCTATATAACGCTACAGAATAAAGTGGCATCCATCAAAGACTTAAACAAACCATCTCCACTATAAAAGCATGCATTTGGAAATATATTTAGCCATGCAGATGTACAGTTTGTCAGCAATAGATTGTCTGCTAGTAGCACACTCATATAGTAGACAAAACGTCATGGACAATCTTCACGGCTGTATTATTTACCACAAATTAATGACTTTAAACATACATTATGCAAGAGCTAAATCTGCCAATTGCAGGTCTTTCTTTAGGCCTGAAATGTTATCTAAATTATTAATTAAACATTAATTAACTTACCCAGACCATAATCAACTCTCGATGGCATCGCTAGCCTGCGATATATTTACTGGATTATGACCCCATTTGCTGCTCGACTTCCATTCATAATTTAATCATGAAATGGATGATCGAGACTATGTTTTTTATTCTACAGACTTTAGTAATGATGATTGAGGCTAGGCCGAAATTTCAATCGCTTAATTCCCGGTTCATAGTGGATCAATTTGACTTAAATTTTCAGCAAATTGCCTTTACATTATCTAGTTTTTAACTATTATAGTGAGAACTGCCAGCTCTTTATGTGATCTCCCATAATGTATCTTTAAATAATCCTTGGTGTATGCAGCCACTACATGCCTTTGGTTTTTACATGAAGTACATGATGATACATAATACATAATGACATGTTTTTACAGGTAATCTCAGTAAACCAATAAATTATCATGGTAAAGAACTGTATTTGAGTGGTGCTGTTATTTTTGAGATTATTGTAGAACATTTATTAAAGAATACTAATATAGGGATGGCAGATTTGGTACTGTTGACAGGTTCTTCAGGTTAGTAACGGGTAGTTAAACATACATTATACAAGAGCTAAATCTACCTATTGCAGGTCTTTTTTTAGGCCTGAAATGTTTTCTAAATTATTAATTAGACATTAATTAACTTATCCAGACCATAATTAACTCTCGATGGCATCGCTAGCCTGCGATGTTTATTGGATTTGGTTCCGATTTACTGTTCAACTCCCATTCATAATATAATCATTAAATGGATAATCAAGACTATGTTTTTTATCCTACCAACTTTAGCAATGATGATCGAGGCTAGGCCGAAAATTCAATCTTTAAAATCTTGTTCATAGTGGATCATATTTTCAGCAAACCCCCTTTACATTATCTAGTTGTAACTATTATAGTGAGAACTGCCAGCTCTTTATCTAATCTCCAATAATGTATCTTTAAGTTTTTATAGATGGTTACCTCGCAAAAAGCTTTAACTTCTTCTGGCAAATTTGAGATTTAAGTAAATGAGACTACAGGTACTTCAATCTGATTTTACTCAATTATCTCATTCAATAAAAAAAAACAGTTTAAGTTTGTTATTGCAAAGCACTTCCAAATGTTTTTCATGCTGCCTGAAAAAGAGGCATTTAAAATTCACTATTCTTCTTCAATGTACTTGATTACAAATTGGTCATTGAAATGCAGTATTAACATATTATTATGTAAACATAAATACTAATACATGTACATACCTTGTCTACTGAAATGGGTGTTCGTTTCCATATGCTGTTCCCAATGTAAACAAGCCCACCAGTCACCACCATCTTTGCGTTTCTAAGTGATGGGCCGGTTCTTAATCCAATTGAATCTGAGTCAGGAGATTATTTAGCTTTGTATTTTGATTTTGTTCCTTAATTAAATGTAAAATAATCAATCTGAGCTCATATTAGTCAGGAGATTATTTAGCTTTGATATTTTGATATTTTCCCATAATTAAATGTTAAATAATCAATCTGAGCACATATTAGAGTAGATAAAGCTGTGATTAATTTGATATTTTACGAAAAATGCAAACCAATAAATTATCATGCTAAAGATCTGTATTAACATGGTGCTGCTATTTTCGAGATTATTGTAGAATTTGATATTTTACGAAAAAAACAAATTTACTTTAGATAACACTTGAGGTTTTGTTTTTGGAAAATGATCCCATGGATGCTAGGTATTGATACCCTCCAGTTTATTGTATATTACAGCAGGTGGACTGGCATCTTTAATTCACGCTGATCATCTACGACAAACTTTACCTAAAACAGTGACGACAGTAAAGAATGTAGTTGATGGTAGTTTATTCCTTGACCAAAAGTCAACTACAGATGAACATTTGATGAAAAATATGCTGAAAGAGACATTTGAACTTCATAATATTAAAGGTGAATTATTTGTTGTAGCAAATAAGATGTTTCTTTAGGTGCGATTGATCAAAAAAATTGAATGTTATTGATTATTTGCACGTTTGTCTAAATCTGTTATCAATTATCATCACTACTTGGACTTTCTATCCTAGTAAAAAAATATTGTAAATGTTATATTTGAAATTCTAAAATATACCCATTCTACCTGTGGTCTACCAGACGGGCTATAATTCCACAATCTGTGCAGGGTAGAAATTAATGGGTTTGAATTTCTGTGTTTTTTTAATTTTTTTTTAAGTCTTTCCAGATTACCCATGTTTCCAAATGACTATATTATTATTATTATTATTGTTCGATTTATATAGCGCTTCATTACACGTGAAGTGTTTCTAAGCGCATATCACCAACGTATACTACAAACACACAGAAACAATCAAAATCAGGAAAACATAATTAAACACAGCTGCCTGTTAGGCGCTATTATTCAAAGGTTTATATCAACAAATCAACCGGCTAATCTCTATATTGAACTCAGTCGAGGTATTACCTGATGAACACCTACACCTAGTAGAGTTCAAAAATAAAAACGAAGTTTAAAAGAATCAACTTCATTAACAAAAATTAAACAATCAAAAAACTAAACAAATAAATCAAATTCAAATAAAACAAAGAAAATGAAAAGAGCAGTTCATTACCATGCTACATTAACAAAATAAAGGAAGTCAACTTGTGAAAATTTTTTCAAAAAAATAAGAGCAAAGTAACACTAATAATATAGAAAGACACAAAGGTTTAAAGATTCTATTAAAGAATACATTATTGTTATGAGCAAAGTGCTATTTCTGTATTTATTGTGAAATTGATTATGTATAAACTCACTAGTCATCTGGAAATCTGGAAATGAAATGAAATGGGGTTTAACGTCCTACTGTTCTGCTCCTAACCTGGGCTATTGAAGACGGGCATACGCCATACAGTGTGCTATGAGGTAAATTTTGCCTGGGCAGCGGCGCTACGGCCTACTCTTATATTGAATTCCAACTGCCAAGGGATCTTTTACGTGCACGCCAATGTGTACACGGGACCTTGGTTTTTCGTCCCATCCGAACGACTAGACAGCTGTCCTTGTCAGGCCCTCCGTCCTGCATCACTGACAAGGGGAAACCACGCTGGAAAATCTGGATGAACTTTCTCTGCCAATGGAAATCTGGAAATATGACACTGCAAGTATAACATAATGAGAACATAACAATCTGATTAAAATACAGATCTATATTTAGTTTCGTTTTTTTATACTTTTGATGGCCTATACTACATGAAGATCTGACCAGTTGTACTGACAGGTCGTATCAGGTGTCGTACGAGCGGCTTTCAACCCTATGACATCAGACATTTGATTAACCAAATAGCGTTGATGTTTCTAGCAGGATACCCAGTCCCGTGCATCGCATGCCAAGAAGGTTTCATTGGTTAATCCCTCACTTCAACTAGAAACGCCGGTAATATAACAACTCTTCCAGATCCTAGTGTAGTAGGGGTGTTGGATGGCCGAATGGTTAGCGTGTAAGCATTGTGTCATAAGGTCTGTCATTGAGTCAACAGGTGTGGTTTTGATCACCCGGTTGTACGTGACAAGGAGTAGGGTCGCCTGTCCATATCCAACCTCGTGGGTTTTCTCTGGTTCCTCCGGTTTCCTCCCACTGTTAAAGATCCCTATGCGCAAGCGAATTATTAAAATACAATTAAGCCACATGTTAATCCCAAAATGACCTAGTTTGTGTTGAGTGGACGTTAAACTCAATTTCTCTCACTCTCCCCTAGTGTAGTAAAGACAAGTAAAACAAAATTTTGAACTATAGAAAACGAAACAAAATAGAATCTGTGTTTTAATCAGATTGGGAACATGAATTACAATGTTTTAAATCTTTATTTCAGATTCATTGATTTTGAGAAAATGCACAGATCAAAGAGCAGAAACAGATAAATGGCAATGTTTTATGCCTGAAGTATTTATGAAATATACACAAACACCCACCTTTTATTTCAATTCCTACTTTGACACATGGTATGGAAGATCCCCTTTAAAGTTGGGATGCTGGTTTTCAAACCTTCCATGCAGTTCAAAGGAAAACGATGTGACAAAAGACTTACAAACAGCATTAATGCAAGTAACACATAAGATTTTGGAAAAAGATAGTAATGGAATATTTTTAACCTCTTGTATATGCCACACAATCATGAATAATTATAGATTTGCCCGTGTAGTAAGTCAAGGTATTACTGGAAGTACAGCTTTGAAATGGTGGTTAAACAATGAACCAAGGGGGAAAAAAATAATTGATGTGTTAGAGAATCAAAACTCATGGAAAAATTGCTTTTGATTTATATTGTCAAAACTGTCGGACCATAACTTCCTGGATTATGGCCCCTGATTGAACAATAAAATGTGTTTTTAGCTTGTGGAACCCTCCAGAGGATAAAAATTTTGACCTCTTGAGGGTTCACAAGTACAATCGGGGACCATAATCCATGAAGTTACTCTCCAACATGTGCCAATATCGAAAGGAACCAAGATCTTTGGGATATTATAAACCTATATTTCAAGTTTCGTCAAAATTGGATAAAAATTGTGACCTGTAGAGGGTCCACAAATGTGAACAGATGACACAGGGGCGACAACATAATACGTATAAAAATTTATATACATTTGTGATAATAATGAAAACTATTGAAACACTGTATCTTACAACATGAGGATTACATCTACTAACCATCTTCATTAGCCCATGTTAGGAGCAGAATAGTAGGACGTTAAAGCTGAACTCTGATTACAAAACTACAGAAATAATTAAATAAAAAAAATGAACGCCCTAAATAATCGCCATACTTGTTTTCAAGTTGTAGAACAATCATGCCGATTGTAGGGCGTACAAAAACAGAGGCAGGCCATTCCCACATCCAGTTCACACCTTGTCAACCACACTGTCCACATCCGGCTAGCAATATTTCAGCTTACTGATTGACGTTTTTTCACTATCAGTTTACTGAAAATATTATTGCTACACAATTATTATGTCTGATCAGTCACATATTATTTTACTAATTAGACGAAATAAGTAAACCACGGTGTACTTTTGCTCTAAAAATATGAGAACAACTGCCTTACCCCAAACAATAACAATTCTACCAACACCAACAATTTTTTTCTTATTTCTTGAAATGTTTTGTATTATTATCAAGACTAGTATTATCGTTCCAAAATATATCCATAGCAGCAATAAAACTGTTTTTTCACTTCAAAATATTCACCATCTTGTGAAGTAGTTATGTCCCTTGATGTAATGTCAACAACATAGCATTGGTTGGTGTTCATAGATTTGTTATTGTTTCGGGTAAGCCAGTTGTTTCTTATTTTTAGAGCAAAAGTACACAGAGGTTTTACTTATTTCGTCTAATTAGTAAATATGATCAGATATAATAATTGTGTAGCAATAATACTTTCAGTAAACTGTTAGTGAAAAACCGTCAATCAGTCAGGAGGTCATTTGTAGTTGAAATATTGCTAGCCAGATGTGGACAGTGTGGTTAACAAGGCGTGAACTGGATGTAGGCGTGGTCTGCCTCTGTTTTTATACGCCGTACAATCCTCATGATTGTTCTACAACTTGAAAACAAGTATAGCGATTATTTAGGATGTTGATTTTTTTTATTTAATTATTTCTGTAGTTTTGAAATCGAAGTTCAGCTTTAAACCCCATTTCATTTCACATCTAGTAAATTCACCGAGAGTGAGAGTTATTTTGTTAATACACAGTACACTGGAGAATATTAAGATATTATATTAAACAATGTATATTTTGATCATGATCCATTGTCCCCAATTCGGACTAGTTCCCTAAAACTATGCAATAGTCTTGGCCAATAAGGATATTATTTTTAAAACTGTATGACAGACTATAATGGTAAATCTTGAATTGGTTTTTAACTGATTGGGATGAGTAGTATCGGTTTTCCATGTTCTACGACCATCTATTACAAAATGTGGGTGTATCTTGTATGGCAACCATTTGTTAATACATTTACTAATGTTTTATCATATTATCTGTGTATAACAAAAGTTTTTTTTAATTTTGTTAATATTTAACATGGTATTTTGAGTGACGCCTGTATCACTATATGGCCTTATGGTTGTTTATTGCTTACAATGACTGTGTAGTTTCTGTGTACAGGTTTCTCTTATGGGTTTTGTTTGTGTGTGGGGAGGTCTTCATGTACTTATTGTTATAATCTGTTTTAAGATATGAACAAAATTTGTTGAGTTTGATAGATAATTTATTTACTGATATTTTTAATTTATATTTTTAATACATTTATTACTGCTTTATCATATGATCTGTATATAAGAAAAGTTGTTTCATTTTGTTAATATTTTACACACTTTTTTGAGTAAAGCTGGCTGCGTCCCAGGATCCATTCACTTGTTATTTATTGATTGTATTGTCTTTGTACAGTAGTTTGTGTGTCCATGGGTTTGTCTTATGGGTTTTGTTGTGAATGTGATGTTGTCCTTCTGCATTGTAATCATGTGTTTGGTATTTTTGGAGTAAATTTAATGGTTTTCGATGCATATTATTACATCAGATGGACATCCAGAGGCATAATATAGGCAGGGTTGTGCAAAGGATGTGATATTTTTTAAACATTCCTAATAATGATCTGTTTTAAAATATATACTGGGTATTAATTTAATGGGGGCTCTTTTGATAGTATTTCTTAAAATATTTTTTTTTTAACATGCCAATATGTTAATCCTTGAAAAGATACCTGGTATAATTTAGTGAATAAAACTGATTAAAACTTATTGTAACATTTTTCAAAGCCCCTAACTATCTGAAGATCTACAGATATTTCATGTGGAGTTGGCCATAAGTCTCTATATTCCACCATCCATATTACAATTACAATACTGCCTGTATAACCATGTTTAAATACTTTCTAAAGTTGTAGTGGTAAGTGATTGCCATGATTGTCATGTCATTCCTGCAATTGTAGAGTGAAATTCCTTAGATGAGTATCATAAACCTATAATAAAATCTAGCCTTCATTTCCAAACAATTTAATATTTTGATTTGAAACTCAAGACAAGATAAAGAGGCTATTTTGTCACTTTCTGGTTTTTGATTTGCATACTGTACTTAATCCTGTGAAATCTGGGAGCATGCTACTGGGACTGCTCCTTTAATACTTAAATTTTACTTATATCTCTTCTGGCGTGTGTCAAAGATAACCTCACAAAGTGTGGGATATGCCCACACAGCAGCTTTGTCTTGAAGAAAAGATTGTAGCCTCTATCACTTTCACAAGCAATTCCGAAAAGGGGACATAACTTTGGAAAAGAATGGGCCGCAATGCTGAATATCATATGGGTTCAAACTATATGCTCTATCAGGTTCACAGGTTTTCGGAAAAGTTTGACAAAAGCAATAGCTTTAAGTTTCAGAAATGTCTGATTAAAACTCTGTCCTCTATCGTGCTGACATGCATTACAAGCAAATCCAATGTGGATAGGTTTTGGCAAAAAGGGGAATATCTCTAAAAATATTACTCCGATTTTGACACAAAAACTGTGTAGCCTCTAGAGCACTGGCAAGAAAGTGTGGATGGACGGAGGCTATAACAATATAAGTTTAAAGGGCTACTATTTCCCTGTGCTCATGGCCCTTGGTACATGTATGTCAACTCTCCATAGGACCATCCATCACACATAAGCGGAGATCTCTTGGTCTTGACCCAGCAATGGGTGATAGATGGCCCTATAAAAAGTTGACATACCAAGGGCCATCAGCACAAAGACAACTTTGTAGAATTGTTTGCCCTTTAAACAATTTTGAAGTTTATTCCTGGGCCCAGGTGCTAAGACATAGAAATTCTCGATTATGGGTGATAGTGGGCCCTGTAAGAACTGACGTGTACCATACTTTGTAGAAATGGCGGCCCCTTTAAACTTAGATTCTTGGATGAACAAAATTTGAAGATTAGTCATCTATTGCTGCATGGGCTCAGGGGCTAAGACCCAGGAATTCAGTGATAGTGGGCCCTATGGAGAGCTGACATACCAAGGACCTTAACCACAGAGATAACTTAGGGAAATGGCTGTCCTTTAAACTTAGGTTCAGGGATGAAAAAATTAGAAGTTCAGCCATCTATTGCTGGACCCAGGGGCTAAGACCCAGAGGTTCACGCCTAGGGAGAGCTGACATACCAAGGGCCATCAACACAGAAATGACCACCGTTTAAACTTAGGTTCTGGGATGAAAGAAATCGAATTTGTGAGATACTAACGTTTTGCTAGAGATAATAACTGATACTAGCTAGTTTGACTCAGTCTGGAGTTATTTTCAAAGGCCGAAAGGGTTGAAATAGCAGACGTCTCGTCTAGTCCATATTTTATCAAAAAACATTCAATAGAAATATGCCCTACCGCCAAATTTGGTTGAAATGTATAAATAAGTCCAAGAGTAGAGCCCAGTTAGCTAATATAGTGATCTTAATCCGTGTTGAGTAGGGCACAGCAAAAGCCTTTTGTTGAAATTTTATAATCTTAAAGCGATAATTTCATATTTCCTAAGAAAGTCAAAACATAATTATTTCTATGTCTTTTGGCTTGCTCAATACGTTGTCAACTCACTATTATACGATCATAGGTATTATTCTCCCACTTAAAAATCCTTTGACCTCGGAAATAATAACACAATTACCTCCCTTGTTTTCCTATCCTCCCCCCCCCCCATGGAATAGCTATCTTCAAACGTTTGAATTTTAAGTTGAAAATGATATTTTTGCCAATTTCTCAACTGGCAATAGTGAATTATACTATTATAGGATTAATAGGATTATTCTTTAACACGGTAGGACTGTTTATAGATACCATCTATTTTAAGGCTTTATTTTAATAAATTTTAAAAATATAACTCAAAAATATGAAATTGCAACTTTGAATCAGGGCCGTCAGAACAGCCCCCTCCCTCAGCCTGAGTTTGACTATATTATTATTATTTTTAGCCTGTTACTTAGTCTGTAAATATCATTATGCTTTGCGTTCCGGCGGGCTACGGACGTGTATTCAAAAGTACGGTAACGATGACAGCCTACAATAATGCTATCATATCTACACCGAAAGCAGAAGAAAGCAATTTAAAGTTTATTGATTACTCCGATATGTATTTAAAAACCAATCCATAAAAAAAGAACCGAACTGCTTCTATATGATTTTCAGCAATGACGTCTATCATTGGTTTTAAGCCCATAGGCATAGAGTTATCCCCCTTTCCACAATGGCAGCCCAGAAAAGAGCCTTAATGACTTACAAGTGCATTTTAGTAGAAAACGGAGATTCAACTCATACAGAAATAAGCTACTGCTGAAATAATGGGTTAAGGATGAAGGACATACAATACTACAATAGCAATATCGATATGTAGACTTATTCAAAGTCACGGTGGTTGTGGCTGGAGTCATTTTCCGTCTTCCCCAGCCGGTCCAGCAGAGCAGGACGTTAACGCCACCCTTATCCATTACAGGATATCTATGGTTAATCCCCCACCCCTATTTCATTTGTCCGTTTTCATTATCCCGGTTGGTGTAAAAATTTAGGATTTTTAACCGAATTTCATTGGGTCATGAACCATTATCGATGACATAATTCTTTCATACATTTAATGTTCAGCTAGCTGTCCCGTTAATTAAATTACACAGACACTGTAGTAAAACTAAAAGCCTACTGTTAAACTGGGTTAATCTGCTAGGTTACCGCAATCTAATTAAAATTAGTAACCTGAACAGTTGTTTGTGCCTTTTCTTACATGGGTTAGGGCAGTGGTTCTCAACCTTTTTTTTTGCCAACGGCACACTTTGGAAAACATAAAAAAATAGCGGCACATCTGGCTAAATATATGTATGTACCGGTATATGAAAAATATCTGAATTTTGCAAAATAAAAACATGATAAGTCAGACGGTATACAACCGTAGACAGAAACTAGTCATAGACACATAGAAAGACTGCAACTAAATAAAGAAAAACACGGCTATAAACACCAGTGAATACTCAATTGCGATTACGTAGGACTAATTTTTCGCATTTTCTTAGTGTGCCGTTCAAAATTTCGCGGCACACTTATTATTAGGAAGATCTTGGGGCACACTGGGTTGGAGGGGGCTTTTGATAATTATTACTAGGGTAGTACTATTTAATAATAATTATATTTTATTCTTTCCAGATAGAACTTTTATTCAAGCTTTCAAGACAGCGACTGCGCTGTCAATCATAAAAAGCAAGCCACCTGATACAACATTAACAACATTTGAATATGCTGAACAGATTTGTTTTAATTACAAAAAATCTCAATACTTCTGGAAAACAAAATATAAAAAGGCCGAAGAAGAGATACTAAATCTAAGACAACAGATAATTTTATCCAAAAATTCAGCTCACGCTGACGAGAATTTGATGCTTTCGTCGACTCTCAATGGTAATTTCAAATGGTGTTGGTGTCTGCATCCATGTATTTCGATCGTCACCTTTGCACAAATGCGTGTGCACGTATTCTTTGAAAATTATTTTCCAAGTCCCCGCGCATTGGACAACATATGGTATCAGAATGAAAGTTACATGTGCACATAAAATGTTTCTATGCATTAATTTATTTAAAAATGGAGAAACGATAATAAACAATCAATGCACACATCTTGTCAAAACTACAAACAGTGGTAACTAGGTTCAGAATAAAGTAATTTGAATGAAAATTTCAATATATTCATTTTGCATTATCTATTTTTTTTTTTAACTATTAGGGTCAGCTCTTTATCTAAATCTTACATAACGTATCTTTAATTTTTAAAGGCGTGTCACAGAGAAGGCCTACTCTTCCAATAATACGATAGGATTCTTTATTTGGTTATAATAAAGAACTATATAAATTCAAAATTTTCGATCGCATGTCGAGAATTCTCCACGTTCACGTTCAAACTGTTGCTGGTGGACATAAAAAAGAAGCACGACAATTAACCCTTGTATTTTGCAGACCCATGATGTAAAATTATTTATCTACTGATATTTATATGTTTTTTATCTTTACAGTACCCGATATTTCGGTACCAGCATATAGTGAGCCCCTGTTCCCGACACCACCGTTGTCGCATGAAAGCAAAGCTAATACAAAATCAGTTTTCTTCCACAATAATACAACGTTCCTTCAAAGTATTATACGAATAAGACAAAGTCTAAAAGACAACGACAAAGAAAATATTCAACGGACTACTAAAGAAACAATTATATCTAATTTACAAATTTTACAAGAAATGTTATTTAAAGATGATCTACATATATCCCAGCATAATTTGATGGAGAGTATGAAATGTGTGAAAGAATTGAGTAGTATATTTTATGGAACGGATTATAAAGAAATAAATACCAACATGTTAAATATTGTGGAAGGACTTGTTTCTAAACAACTCAAAGTAGATGGTTTAGATAAGGTATGCCGAGAGCACTATTTGAACAGAAATTTAGTCCTAAAGCCTTTATGTTTATACAAACTAATAGTATGATAATTAATCACTGACAGGGGTGTCAATAGCGCCAAAAATATTTAGAGGACTATATTTTCTAATTTTACACATTTACAAAAATTGAAATCACTCTTCCTAAGTGCATTATATGAGTTCTCGCAGGAACTCCGGTGAACACACGCTTACTTTTCTATGGTTTCTAATTTCAGGCTTCTACGGTCGCAAAAGAAAATATACAAAAGTTAATTATTATATTCGCGGATGGCAAATATCTCACCTATTGGGCATTTACCATAAATATATTGATGACTCATTGTGAACAGTTCTGTAATAAATTAAGAAAAGCACAAGGCCAATATCAAGCGCTTACCTGCATGGATTATGAAAATATTATTTATATAATTGAAAGCATTGTTATTGGTTTGAAGGGTAATAGTGAATTTCTGTGTAGTGCGGAGGGTAATAATTTATGTTCCAGCGTTCAAATACATGTTGACAAATCTCTGTTACATATCAGTGATAGATATCCTTTGGTAACCCACAGTTTGTGGAAAATTAGCGGGATTCTACAGAAGTATCTACAATAAACTATTTAATGGGCAGATAAATCAGATATTCTTACAACGAACTTCTAACCTGATGAACACAGAACAGTCACCAATATATTTTAGTGAATAAAAGTGGTTTAAAGACTTTTAGAAACGTGTTTTATCCTCGTCTCAAACCTATTTGAGGTATTAAATAGTCATCATATAGGGATAACCCTTATTCAATGAATATATTATTAAAGGAGTTATTAAACCATGTAAGCGTATTAGAGAGAATTATACCTGTAACGGTAAATCTCCTTGGGGTATATTCTATGCCCGGAATAATTTGAGGTCTGAAAGTCGGGGGCGGCTTTGGATAAATACAGGGGAATTTGGGGTTATTCTTCTGAAAGATTTTCTTTAAAGGGACTATCCCTTATTTGAACAGAGTCTCAAAAATAAAAGTCTGAGTATGTATGAAATTTAAATGCCAAAATATAGAGGAATGGTGTATTGACGTTATCTCAAAATTTCAGCTCAAAATATTGAGTCGTTTTGACATGACTGCCAAAACTGCTTATCCGGACACGTAACCCTTTTAAGATTTTGGGTCAATTTTTTCATTGGGTGACCATATAATTGATTCCCGTTCATTGAGAGATCTATACAGTGAATGACCCAAATGCTGTACTTGATAATGAAAGGTAAATTTCACCTACACATTATTTTTATACAAAAAATGTCTGGTTTTATCCAGACACCGCATAATACAGCTTGGGACACCGGTCTCCATTTCCCGATGAAGACTGACGGGTTTCAGTTATTTGAAAACTTATCACAAATATTGAGTTACTTGCTCGGCCCTTAGGTAGAGGATTTTAAGGGATTTTAAAACAAAATTAAACAGTTTTATTCTCCAAAAAATTATCAGGATTAGCCCTTTAAACCTGTAACAGGTTATTCTTCCAGGGTAGGGTTTTTTTTTTCCATGAGTAAACATGATCTAAGGTTTTTTCTTATGGTAGGGTGACCCACCATAAATATATATCTCCATATATCTCGACAATTACGCCACAATATTTATATATATGCCAAGCCTCAAATCAGTTCCACACAATTATAGTCACTAAAAAAACGATCATGTTGTACTTAATAAGCTATGCCCATTAATCATGTATAAATAATTGACTGAAAACTGGTTCCAAGAGTCGTCCATGAGATCCAGACACTTTTGAGTAAAAGATAGGTTACGTGCCCTTGTTTTGAAATTAGTCTCGCTTAACCAGCCTATCGACCATTCTACGTCTGATTGACAGGTCGGGATAATCAAGACTACTTTTTTACGAAACATAACAGAAAGCTAGAACAAGAAATTGAATTTAGAAATAAGCACGTTAGGTAGCTCAACAATCGTTTTAAGAAGCTTGTAAAAGTAAAATGAAACTACTGCTAGTATCATGTTCCTGTCTAACCCGAGTGATTCAGAGATATTATTTGTACTAAACCAAAAGATGCCGCTCTTAACGGTACAGTTAATGATAAAGCGATTTCAAAAATGAAACGAACGTAATTTCTAAATCTGCTGTAATAACCAAGAAGCTTAATTTTACTGCTATTCAAAATCGTCAACAATAAATTTTTTATGGCTGTAATAGTTGATAGATTTGTAGAGAATTGCACGTGCCATGGCTATTTATAGTATCATACTGTCAGAAAGTTGGTCTCGGCACGGCGAATGTGCACGCTTCAGTGGTAGTCTCGAACTATCAGCGGTGGACTGTATTTCTGTGAGTACATTTTGCGTACATGTAAACACAGACGGTTTATAAGCAAGATAAAGTCCTCGACTTCGGTTATGCTGGGGAAGAAAGACTTGAAAAAAACCCTCGAAAGGCAAACCTAGGCCTCGGTTTTTCTTTTTCTCAGGTTATTTTCTTCAATCTTTTCCTTAGTGCTTTATCCTACGCATATCGATTCAATCTTGCCTCACAAGGATGGGTGGAAAAACCAAAGGTCCAGTGTATACATTGGCGTGCACGTAAAAGAACCCATGAAGTTTGGAATTTTAAGAGTAGGCCGTAGCGCTACTGCCAGTCAGAGGGGTCAAAACCAAAAGTATGACACAGATGTAAGTAGCGCGTGTGTCCTCCAAGAGCTCTTACGTACGCTGTGCAGCGACGTCGTATGGAATTTACCAATGTTTGAAAGAAGGCCTGGGGAAAATTGTTCCATTCTTGGACAAGAGCAGCTTCTAAAGCAGCAATGGTGTGCATCTGTGGTCTCCGATACAGACGGCGTCCAATCTCATCCCAGACATGTTCTATCGGTGCCATATCCGGAGACATGGCTGGCCAGTAGTCCAAGACATTGATGTTGTTAGCAGCCAGGTTGTCCATACTAAAACGGGCGGTATGCGGACGTGCATTATCCTGTTGGAAGTGCTGAAGTTGTGGGTGCGCTCGAAACATCGGAACAATTGGTTGCAAGACATCATCACGGTAGGCTACAGCATTAACGCGACCCATGCAAATGTGTAGGGCGGTCCGGTGATGAAATGTGAAGCCTCCCCACACCATTACACTTCCCCCACCCATCGATTCGTTTCAAAGACGCAGCAGTCTGCAAGACGTTCCCCAAAACGTCTCCACACACGTTGACAGCAATCAGCGTTATAAAGATGAAAGCGACTCGCATCATTGAAGAGCACACTTTGCCAGTCTACTCTTCTCCATGTCTGGTGTCCTTGAGCCCATATCAAACGCCGCTGACGGTGATGATCCCTGAGGATAGCGCCAACATAAGGTCGTCGTGCACGGATTTCTACTTCTCTTAGACGACGTCTTACGGTGTTGACACTTACTGGTCCTTGTCTTCCGACGACTGCTGCACCTGTTCGAGTCGCTGGGCGGAATCTGTCACGCATGTAGCGGTCGTGAGCCTGGGTTGTAACGCGTTGTGGACCAGGACGTTGACGGTCACGTGTTGATCCAGTAACTCGAACACGTTCCACCAACCTTACAATAGTGGACTGATGACAATTGTAGTGTCTGGCAATAGCACGTGTAGACATGCCAGCCCTGGACATTCCCATGGCTTCATTCCGTTATTTTCAGTAAGTCTCGGCATCTCTAGCTCTATTCCTTCACACGTCCAACAACAAATTACGACCTATTGACGTTTCAGTTCATGTACTGCACATTAAGCTGAAAACATGCTTTTACAGGGCTCAGACACAATGCACACGGGCCGATATTTTTTGCGTTTGGGAACATTGTGTGAAACAATAGTTCATAGTATTGCATATTATACATACAAAACCACCTAGTAATAAAATATTTGGGAAAAAAAGTGATGCGTTTTCCATGGCGCTCAGTATATATAGACTGAGATCGATGACCCCAATGCTTCAAGCCAAATATGAAAAAGATTACGGCAATTCAAACCTATAGCCTTTATCGCGTTCACAATGTTTTTTAGGAAACGGACCGGAAATTCACAGAACGCCGAATATCGATTGGGTTGAATATCCTCTCAGGATACCAATGCTTTCCATCAAATTAGAAATATCCGTTAAAAACTATAGCCTATATCGCGTTCGCAAGGTTTTCGTCGGGGGGGGGGGGGTAAATCCGGAACGGAGGGTCATGGTACACTGGATTTCATTAGGGTTAGTCCTCACCAAATTTTGAGAAAATGCACCTAAAACTAGTGTCTATAGCGGTCACAGTTTTTGACAAGGGAGGGGGGGGGAGTGTTAAATCTGAAACGGCAAGTGTCGCAGAATGCGGACTATCGATAGGGTTGTCTTCGCAGGACCCCAATGCTTCAAACTTTATTTGATAAAAAATTGTTGAACTAGGCAATATCGAACTCGCAAGGTTTTCGGCAAAAGGGGGGGGGGGGTACCTTCTGGAAAGTTGATAGGGTTAATTGTTTCGATTGTCAAGTACCGTTCTACGATAATAAACAATATACTCTTCATTTTGCATCCTCTATTTTAGAACAATTATATAAGAATGACCAGCTTTTTTATCTAAATCTTACATATCTATCTCTAAGGGAAAAACAATGTTCAATTTTAATTCAATAATAGGCTTGCGTGTAAGGGTCTTTTGACAGTGGGAGGAAACCGGAGTGCCTGGAGAAAAACACACGATGTTTGACAGACAATCTCAGGCAGTGATTCTCAACCAGTTTACCACGCGAGATCTTCCTAAGTGTGCCGCGAACGGCACACTACGAAAATGCGAAAAACCACTTGATCCGAAATGAGTATTCACTGGTGTCTACTGGTACGTTCATAGCTGTGTGTTTCTTTATTTAGTTTGAGTCATTCTATGTTTCTATGACCAGTCCGAGTCTACGGTTATATGCCGTCTATGACATTTTTATTTTGCAAAATTCAGATATTTCATATATATTTAGCCAACTATTTTTCATGTGTTCCAGGGTGTGCCCTTGCCCAAAAAAGGTCGAGAACCACTGATATATGGGAAGACATCAATACAGGCATAAAAAATCAGTGCGCAGTTCCAGTTCAATGAAAAGACAACATATAGCATAATTTCTTTTATTACTGATTTTCTTTTTTACATCTTGCAGTTTATGATGTAGCAGCAGCGGCAGCTGCAAGAATTCTTTTATCTCTTTCTTCAGTAATTGATAATTTGATACCTTTACCCTTAGGTAAGGAAATCCATGGTTTACTGCCTTTACCAACTACAAATACATAGTTCATTCTGAAAAATAAAATACATAAATATAATTTAGCTGCAAGGATCGTCACTCAACATTTGTCTAATAAACTATTGCCGTGATATAACAGTCTCTACAAAACAACTGACAGTGATATAACAGTCTATACAAAACAACTGACAAAGGGAAATATTTTAATTGAAATGTTTTACCATGTAGTTTGAAGTTCGAACTTTCAACATAGTGACTTGGGAATATTGTATTGAACCAGTGTTGGTGACATGGGCTGTTGATCAACAATACAAAATGTCGAAGTGCAAATATTTCTTTATCAAAAAACATTTTGATTAAAATTTTTATGAAAATATCTGGACAATATTGATTGTATTTTTGTGTCACACTTATATATAGCGACACCATGACCCAATTCCATGCTACCAGTACTAGATTTGTCTTCCATTGTAAGGTCTACAATTGCTTCAGTAAATACCAAGCAAACCTAGATTTGTAACCTACTTTTTCTACTGTACTGACATTTGGTAATGCTATAAAGTTAGAAAACTAAACAGCGACCGTCTGAAAGATTTTCTATTGGCTTACTTTTGACCACTCAAAGTCAAGTAGACAATAAGTGACTTCGATAAAGCCTAAAATGGGCTAACAAATTTAGACATTTTTCTAATGTAAATTGTATTCAATACTCTACCTTGTAGCAAAGGTATGTCCTTGAGAATCTTTAATGTGTACAATATCAAAAGAACCCGGATGACGTTCTTTAGATTGAATTGTTCCAACTCTTCCCAAGTTATGACCTCCAGTTAACATACAAACATTGCCTGTGAAAAACAAAAATTATAAACGTCTTGTTTCCAATAAGCAATATCATTTAGTTTAAACATAAGGACAAGTAAAAAAAATATGCCCAAAACATTCGTCATCCAAGTAGATCACAATGATTGTCATAATTACACGATTTTTTTATACTAAAGCAGTGTGCTATGAAGGAAACTTAGCCTGGAGAGCGTCACTATGGGCTTCTCTTGTATCAAATTCCAACTGTCAAGGGATCTTTTACCTCCACGTCAATGTGTACACAGGACCTTGGCTTTTTTCCCATCTGAACAACTAAACATCTGTTCTTGTCAGGCCCTCTGTCCTACATCACTGACAAAGGGGGGGGGGGGGCCACGCCAGAAAATCTGGATGAACTTTCTCGCCCAATGTAGGGATCGAACACCTGACCCTCCAGGTTAGCGAGCCAGCGTCTTCCCACTTAGCCAACGTGTCCCATTATACTAAAGCATTTATAAGATGATAAACCATGATTCAAGGTTAACCCATCTCATTATTTTACAATTCATTAAAATTTGACAAGCCACTTCTTTCCAACAAAACTATCAATAATCCATTTACATATATTTTAACCTGCTTAAGAGTGTAAAGGTGTGAAAAATAAGATATCCGCCAAAAAATGCAATTGATGACCACTGATTTTAATCTATATTTTATCAAGATTAATTTTGTTGAAAATTTGCAGTTTAAGTACATCCAATTAATTTCCTTTGATCTTCAACTTACCAGCTTCAAACTTAATATAATCCTTAATTTTTCCGGTTTCAATGTCAACCATAACCGAGTCATTTACTTTTATTGATGGGTCAGGATAGCGGATTGTTCTCCCGTCATGAGTAACTAAATATGGTATGGCCTTTTGTCCCAATTGTTGCTTCTTGACACGACATAACTTATACTGTAACAAATTAGAAAGATAGGTTGCCAGGCAACGAAACATACGCCCACAGCAGCTATATCGTCCGGGCAGTCAACAAGAGTTGTCGCATATTTTTACTTTTTTCGGTAATGAAACATTTATAATACATTAAAATCTGATTAAGAGTAACAACTCGTTAAGTAATTATCAGAAAACCATTAGAATTTGTTTGGTTTTTATAAAGTTCTGTCCCATGCTAATGTTTAGTATACAAAACTTTTAACATCATGGATTTAGCTGTTCAAGTCATAAAGATTCATTGAAAATCAATATACTTGTTCGTCTCAAGACCTTAAACTCTGTGTACCAATCTGAAGTCAATCGGATGATAACTTTAGCCTCTAGAGCGTCCACAAGATTTTTCAAAGTGATCAAGGGCCATAACTCTGGCAGTAATTATCCGAAATCGTTGAAAATCAATGATTCTTCATCTCATGACCTCAAACACTGTGTATAAATTTAAAGTCAATCGTCTACAGCGTCCACAAGATTTTTCAAAGTGATCAAGGGCCATAACTCTGGCAGTAATTATCGGAAATCGCTGAAAATTAATAGGCTTCTTTGTCTCATGACCTTAAACACTGTGCATAAATTTAAAGTCAATCGGATATTAACTTTAGCCTCTAGAGCGTCCACAAGATTTTTCAAAGTGATCAAGGGCCATAACTCTGGCAGTAATTATTGGAAATCGCTGAAAATTAATAGGCTTCCTTGTCTCATGACCTTAAACACTGTGCATAAATTTAAAGTCTATCGGATATTATCTTTAGCCTCTAAAGCGTCCACAAGATTATTCAAAGTGATCAAGGGCCATAACTCTGGCAGTATTTATTGGAAATCACTGAAAATCAATAGGCTTCTTCATCTCATGGCCTTAAACACTGTGTATAAATTTGAAGTCAATCGGATATTAACTTTGACCTCTAGAGCGTCTACAAGATTTTTTGAAGTGATCAAGGCCCAGAACTCTGGCAGGAATTATCGGAAATCAGTGAAAATCAATAGGCTTCTTTGTCTCATGACCTTTAACACTGTGTATAAATTTGAAGTCAATCGGATATTAACTTTGACCTCTAGAGTCTCCACAAGATTTTTTGAAGTGATGAAGGGCCATAACTCTGGCAGTAATTATCGGAAATCGCTGAAAATCAAGAGGCTTCTTCGTCTCATGACCTTAAACACTGTGTATAAATTTAAAGTCAATCGGATATTAACCTTAGCCTCTAGAGCGTCCACAAGCAATTGTGGACGCCGGACCGGAGCGACGACAATATACGACCACATTTTAATGTGGGCGTATAAAAAGATTAATTGCATGTTCTTTAAGGCAAATAGAACTATAATGACTTGATACAGAACCAAACTAGAAATACTAAACACTAAGGATTTAAACAGGTAGTCAAGATTCAGTTACACATGTGCTAAAAATTGCTAATCGATTTTAGTTTTTATAATCTGTTTTATTTCATATCTTTAACAGTAAATCACAATTTCATAAAAAAAAAAAAAATTACTTTTTTTTATAAATTCCAGCTTTAATTTTTGTTTAAATATTTTAAAAAAGAAAAAAAAAAATCAAGAACTTTCACAAAAGGGTTTAAATATTATTGAACACATTAAGGCAGGCAATAGTATTATTTTGGTTACTAATTTGACACGTTTACAGAATTTATATCATTTGTGGCAAGGAATTTTTGTTCAAACTGAGTTTCTGTAACGGGTAATACATGTATGATAGATATCACATGCATTAGAAATCAGGATGTCATTTAGTTAAGATTTATTTTTCTTAGCTTTATATATAAATTAATGTAAAATATTACTATTAGGCTCACATTTACACAAAATATACAACTTACTTTGGCTTCCTCTGGTTTAATACGATGAACAACAAATCTCCCTTTTACATCATACAAAATACGGAAGTGTTCACTTGTCTTATTGATGGTGATTACATCTATTCAAAAAAAAAAATAATCATGGTTACAAAAATTACTTCTTTATTTTCACAAAATATAAGATCTTATTCTCTGGATACTAAATTCAACATACAACCACACGAGTAATTTTGTTGCATTTATGATTTTAACAAATCGGATTCAGTCATGTAATGATAGACAATTATAATAACACAATTTTTTCTACTGTACTGACATTTGGTAATGCTATAAAGTTAGAAAACTAAACAGCGACCGTCTGAAAGATTTTCTTTTGGCTTACTTTTGACCACTCTAAGTCAGGTAGACAAGAAGTGACTTCGATAAAGCCTTAAATTTGATGTTGAATTCAGTATAGAACAATCAACTTACCCATAAATCCAGTTGGAAAGGTTTTATCTGTTCTTACTTTACCATCTACTCGAATCAACCTTTGCATACATATTTTCTTGACTTCCTCATAATTTAGGGCGTACTTAAGACGATTACGTAACAAGATACACATTGGTAAACTTTCACGCAATTTGTGTGGACCGGGAGTAGGTCTTGGTGCCTGTAAATAGATTTTAGTAAATGATGGGTCATTTTCTGAATCTATCCATTTTTTATTAACCTTACACATGTGCAATACAGGTAATTATGCTTTTGTGTTGCCTTGAGTTGTGATATTAAGAAAACATTGTCACATTCGGACTGCTTTTTTTACAATGTACATAATTTTTATGATCCTACATGAAATATTTTTTTTCTAGTAGACCTATCTCTGCTGAAAATGCAAAATCTGTAGGACTTTGTTCTATTAAATCTAACCAATGTCACGTTTCCTTTCCCCCACATTTCATACTCACTTTTTCTTTAACGAAAACTTCTAAAAGTCTTTCAAAAGGCACAATTGAAAATGTACGAAACGCAAAATATACTTACAAAGACACCACCTAGTTTGTCCAACATCCATGATTTAGGTGCAGTAATGCGCTTCAGATGTTTACGAGCCCCTCGATAACCCTGAAAAAGAATTTGTAAGAATAAAGTATGGTGGGTTCAATTAATCAAATATGTAATAATGCGGAAAGTTGGGGGCAATAATATGCACTGCAAATGAATGAGGTTTAACAAATTAACACTGTCACATGTGGTTAGTTTGTGCTTATATGAAATCCTATGATGTATGAACGGCTGGGCTAGTGACATATGATGGACTGGGTCTAGACTTGAAAAATACTGATGGTTATTCTCGACCCACAACAGGTTCTAACTGAGCTACAATAAACTTTGTTTAGTGCTACAATTGATACAGTACAAGAGACCTCGCACGCGTACAAATAGGTATCACAAATAGTGAACACTAAACCACTAAAATAGTCACCGAATTGTTTTTCTTTGTGGTAATGCATTCTACATTTTCGAAGCAATATCTCTTGTAATGTACAAGTCGCCATGAAATCACTCCGGTGAAATCTCGCATGTGTTAACTCCGCTCATCGCTTCATTTATAAGGCAGTGTTACTATGCTTTTTTTCCTATTAAACTAATTAAAGCCATACATGGAAATTGACATCATCACGCGAGACGAGTGTGCATGCTATTTCTGGCTGGGTGGACATTTTAAGTTGGATAGGAGAGAAATTTTGTGTAGCAGTTGGGTTTCATCAAATCATAAGTCATAAGGCGTTTTTATCGACCACTGATAAGCCAAAGTGATTTGCATTCAATCAAATTTTCATCTTTAATGTCCATCTAATTCAAATTGGTTACCCTAATCAACGAATTTATCGACACCGATTTCCGAAGCGATTACATCAAATCGCCAAATCACTTCAGGTTGCGATTTGACGATTTAATCGGGTGATCATGTGTTTTTTTCAACTGTGTCCAGCCACAACAATTGTTTACAGCTAATCGGAGCATTTAACGAACTCGCCAAGTACTTTGAAATCGACTATACTGTCACATGACATCTCCACTAAATTGAAATCGATTTGGCAAGTCGATAAAAAAGCCTTTTTAATTATGCGGTAAGGCTTTCAATGGGAATTGATTTATTATATGTTAAACTATATGCTGTAGTTTTGGATCAGTTTATGTTGAAATTAAGGAAGCTATAGGCCAGTATGAGTACAGTTTTTATAGTCATTTGACTAAAAAAAAACTTGCTCAAAGAAACTGCTAAGACATCAGTAGTGGAACCATTTCTAGTTCTAACCCAGGTTTGTTCCAGTGACCTGAACTGTAGACCTAACAATGTGAATGTCGTAAGGATATCATTATTTTATCGTGGATTTAGGCCCATTCATTCCATATTGTCAACGACTCAATGTCAACAAAATGACGATATCAACAAACAACATTTTACAATATTAATCTTTATATTCGACTTGGTTTAAAAACAGCTTAGGTGGAATTTAGTCAGTTTTTATTTGTTTAAATGTTTTCAGATCATTTGAGGTTCAAGTAGCAATCAAAGTTTTGGAACGAAAATCCAAACTCTCCGCGACACGTGAGATGAAAGTACAGTTTATCGACAACAATTCTAATCGAAAGACATAAATACACTTAGTGCGTCTTGAAAAGATGTTTTTTGTCATAGTAATTTCACTTTATTGGTATTTTTAGAGGATTAAATGCAGCTGATTATGTAGATTTATTACGATATTTTGTGAGATGTCTTACCATCTTGGATGGCTATCGGTAAAAAGGCCTTCCCAGCGTTCAATATTTTCTGACTTCCGTTTCCGTTATAGAAATTGGACCAGAAAACATAGAAAATTGCACGACGATGTCGGCCCACTGTTCTGTGCCGTTCTGAACAATGTATTTGTATACACGACTTCGTGGGCGTGACCGTTCGCTACCTTTTATAAAAAATTAATCTCAAAATTAAATTTAGTTAGTATACTACTCTGGCTTTAATAAATTGAATTATGGCTGAATGGCATTATGTTCAATTTTGATTATCTTTTATCGAACAATTATAGCAAGAACGGCCAACGCTTTAAAAAGTGTCACAATGATCAACAGATTCGCTAGTCGCTACACAGTACAATATCGATAAGGATGACATAAATGCGACTTAATGAACCCCAAATATTTTTTTTTCCTCCGACAAATTAAAATTCTAAAACCTTTTTTTTTTTTTTTTTTATGTATTATTAGAAAAATAAATAATGACGTTTGAAGTATAGGTTAAGCTAGAGCTATATTTACAAATATATTTTAGGTTAAGCCATATTTACAATTTTTATATAGGTAAATCATGATCAATACCTGATGATTTTTACGTGCCGATATAAAAGTTAAAGGAGAAAGACATGTTTTCAACCACAAGACAGCTGGCTTTGCTTGCTAAATCCGGACAATGGTTTATTGATGGGACTCTAAAATCGTGAAAAATCCCTTTTACCAACACTGTAAATTATGTATTTAGAAATATTATGTATGTGAAATACTATTGAAATAAATTAATAGTTTGTATGTTTTATGTTTTATACAATGTATTATGTATGTGAAATATTATAGTTTGTATTATGTTAAATGTCTATGTAAATTTACGTATTAAATTAATGTATGTATTTATATTATGGTATTATCTGTTATAGAGTTATGCAATATTTATGTTAATAAATATCATTGCGTACATGTAATAAATGGAATGTTATTTTTTTTTTTTTTTTTTTTTTTTTTGCCGTTACGACCAATTTGTGTGGCCGTAATGACCAATTTTTTTTTGACCGTTATGGTTTAGGGCCGTTATGTCTATAACCCATATCTTTTACAGACAGGCCTATTGTTAGAAGACTTTCGTAATCCTCCTTGAAACAGTTTATCTAAATCGTAATTATTATACGCACATCTTTAATTAAGTCCCTGTCCTTGAAATTAATTAGGCCTATTGTTCTTTGAATTTATTTCAATTAAGAATTAAGATGTACCGTTTTCCCTTTTTTAGCATGAACTGACTGTCGTATACACGACTGGATAACCGAGCATATTATTAATATAATTGTATACACGACTATATCCTGTATACAATTTCAGTAAGAAATTGACGGCTCCTACTATTAATCCCGTACACAATTCATCGATTCCATGGCATTTGAGGAGGACGACAAACATGTAATATCGTTTGCTGATTACATTAATTTTGAGGATGAGGACGGAACCGACGATACGAGTTCTATCACTCAAGTGTTTATGGAATCAGATCCTAAACCTACTACTACCTTAGAAAGTGTCCAAGACGAAGTTCTTTATTCAGACGGAAGGAATGGTCAGCAAGAAATACCGATATCAAGTAAAAGAACAAGTGCGTCCGAGTTTTCCAATATGCGAGAAATAAATCAGAAATTGCAACCAGGTTCACTGTCAACCACGAGATCAGATTTAGAATGTGGATCTAATATCGGTGTTAATAATAATCATAATTGTACCAGAAAATGTACCACCAAGAACAATACTATCATCATGAATGATAATGTCAATGAGGCCAACCCATATTCAGATGAAGGATTAAATCTAGATATTTCTACAAATAAATCTACCAATAATCCTGGTCACAACAGTACCATTGGGTTAGTATTAATACTTCCCTTTTAATTATACTTACGGTGAATTATTTCAGTGTTTGGATGGCCGCAGTATGGATCAGTTTCTTATGCAAATAGAGTAGCCTACGTTACGGTGTAGAGAAATATTTTTGCCAAAATTATTTGTTCAGCTAAATTGAATTATTAAAATGTAAATATTCGATCCCTGCATTGGCCGAGAAAGTTCATCCAGATTTTCCGGCGTGGTACCCCCTTGTCAGTGATGCAGGACGGAGGGCTTGATAAGGACAGCTATCTAGTCGTTCGGATGGTACGAAAAACCGCGGTCCTGTGTACACATTGGCGTACACATAAAAGATCCCTTGGCAGTTGGAAGTCGATATAAGAGTAGACCGTAGCGCCACTGTCTGGCCCAAATTTCCCTCATAGCGCACTTATGGTGTAGCCTATGCCTGTCTTCATTAGCCCAGTTCGCAGCAGAACAGTAGGACGTTAAAGCCCCGTTCGGAGCAGAACAGTAGGACGTTAAACCCCATTTCATTTCATTTCAAATTGTAATGATAGACAGAAATAATAATAATCTGTTTCTTTTACATCACCAATTTTACAAGGTGTTATAATAATATGACTAACTCACCAAGACACCGTGACTCACATCTACAACAGATTTTAATATTAGTAGCCTACCTGGTAAGCTTACTGAATAATGACTGATTATTGTTGTCTTGAGCCACAGTGTCTTGATGAGTAAGACATTGTTTCGCTAGCCTGGAGGTTCCGTGTACGATCCCTGTTTGACCGAGAAATTCATCAAGATTGTCAGTGGTGCAGGATGGAGGGTGGGTCTTGCAAGGGACAATGTTTAGTCATTTGGATGGGACGAAAAACCGAGGTCCCGTGTACACATTAGTGTGTATGTAAAAGAACCCTCAAGTGGAAGTTGGAATTTGATATAAGAGTAGGCCATAGCCCTCCTGTCCAAGCAAAATTCCCTCACAGTTAGAACGTTAAACCCCATTTTATTTCATTTATGTTGTAGTTATAAAATGAACAATGAATTATAGAGACTCTATAGATATCCCAAAAATGTTAACTAGTAGATTGAATTTTAACTTTGAATTTGAATAGAAATTTCTCTTGAACAAGTTCTCAACGGCCGATAAGTGTTGCAAGTGAGCATACTAGTCATTCAAGGGAATCACATTCTGGCATGTAGAACATGCTGACATACATAACACCAGCTGTAACTGTAAGCAATCATTAAGAATTTGTAGTTGTTAACTTCTTTTTGATGAAAAATGATATTGCAGATTGGTGGACTGTATCTTACAGTATTAACTACTGGACGTCTCAAAGTACGAACCGCAAAAGACTTAATGTATCTTTGTTCATCTTGTTTTGTTATTAACCGAATTCTTAGCTTTGTATTTAGTCCTATTTGTTCCCCAGTAGGCCCTATATATAGTCACACCCCTCCCATACTATGACCATATAGTTGTATATTGAACATTACATAGATAAACCATTTTTGGACTGATGTTCCTGTCAGAGATTCAACTTCCACAATATTGTAGTTTGCAAGGGATAAAAATCTCTTAAATGATCTTCAGAGCCTTTTATATATGAGATCTGAAAGCTTTTTTTTCCTTTATGTATTTTTACTGCAATAGAAATACAATAGGGGTCAATGGCAAAGATTACTCCTTGACCATCTTATTGAAAGATAGTGGATTTCTTTGATGCTTAATCCAGACTGACTGATAATGCAAGGGAGACAAATCTAGAGTGACATCATTTGTGGAAGCAGACCACCATTAATTTCTCTTTGCCCAGCTCCCAACTTTTTCCTAAATTTTCTTTGGGCTGAACTCTTTTCCCTAAAGACAGAGCAACAAATGGCCATGTCTTTGCTCCAACGTTTGTATCAGTTCGACCATTGTAAGTTTGAGATACACAAACTTGAATTAATATACTAAAAACATGTACGTATGTAACCTTCTGCTGTACATCTGTACATATCACCATAGCCAACCTCGTAGCCCTGTTATCCTTCTGACGCTAAAACCTGAATATTTATCAAAACCTGCCAGAAAATGTTAATTCAAACCCTCTACTACGATTCCAAAAATGCAAAAAAAAAATGTCTGTGCAAAAGGGGTGAAAAGGCAGAGCAGCGAGTGGCTATATATGGACGCCAAGATGTGGAAATTAATGGTGGTCTGTCTCCATGTGGTGTCGGACTGGAAATCCTTTCCCCATATTCAGTTAATCTTAATCTTTAGAACCAGAGCTCAACTTCATCTATTGAAGGTATTGCCATTTTGGTTTTTTTTTGGTTTTTTTTTTTTTGCTTCACCCAATCAAAAGAATCAATAGGCTGTGATGTCATATTTGTACATTGTTTCCCTAATTCATGACTGTTTACTTCCTGATCCCTCGGCCTCAAAATCATGATTTCTGTATTCACCAAAACCTGGCAGATATATTTCAATTCAGACACTCTTCTTCAATTCGTAACCAAAAAGTCAACAAAATGTGCCATGCAAAAGGGGGGATAGGACAGAGAGAGGTTTGCTACACACATTACATTCATGTATTATGAAATCAGAGGAAGCATTTACTGGTCTTAGTCTTAATTCATGTCTCCCATTTAATTGATATTTGAAGTCGTATTCAACCGCTACGCAGTTTAGTTTTTCAGGATGCAATTCAAAAATTAAAATGTTTTTAAGAGGGATTTGAAGCAAAATTTTAATAGATAAATTAGTTTGAATATGTTTTTAGTCCAAATATAACATCAAATCACACAGTTTGTAGGTGGGAATGTATCTTTAACATTTTATGGTTTTCTAGAACAACTTATAACACTATTTATTTCTCTGGGTAGTAGACATTGATACAAATTTGATATACATTTGTGTTCAAGCTCATTACCATTACATATATACAGCCTGTTTATGATCAGCACACAAGCTAATGACAAGATAGACTCTATGTTATAACAAATGTATTAATGTGCCCAGATGTTGGTAATTTTAAGATTAATGCCTGCAGTACAATATGTTAGCATTAACAAGGCTAATTTCAAACTAGTGCAAGATTGAATATTCTCCTTCATTTACCCATCATTCACCAAGAATACAACAGTGTATATAACATTGATTAGTCAATAATATTAAATTGTTTATTGACTTTAAATTAACTTTGGAATTATTCAAGCTAACAAAGTTAGAGTAGGTTTCAAGAAGAGTTTATGTGTCAACAATTAATAAGCTGCAATCATAAGCAAACTCGTTTCTGCAATGATGTCGTTTTCAGACTGTACAGGTACTTAAAGACTGTGAAGATAGAAGATCATTGATGAGGAGAAATTTTTATAATTTATGTATTAATCAAGCTTATTTTACTATTAACAGTTATATTCAACATACTATATCTGAAGATCAAATATTAATGCAGATACATCCTGGAGAAAATAGGATGCCCTCTAATCCATCACATGCAACATTAACAATTGAAAGTAGAAATCCAAAAACAAAGACGAAAGAAGTTAAAAGGTAAATTTGTACACATTATCTATGATTGATCAATTCCATAATTTGCTATAACAATCTTACTAAATACAAAACACAAATACTATATGTATGTGTACGAAATAGCTTTATATATAATGTCTGCATCCACTGAATTGATATCGCCTCTACTATTTCATTTTGTTGTACGTTTACACAACCCATTCTATTTGACTTTAATTGACTGCCAGTTCAGTCAAAATACGATATGTCAGTACGGAATTCTGTTAGATGGTGAGTTACAAAACAGAAGTTGAGACCACTACAAAATTTGAAGTGACAGAGCATGCAGGAGATATTCATTTTGTTTGTTTGATGTTTTAATTGTTAGGTTTCGATGTAATTATCAAGACTGTTTAAGAACATACAGTACTCCAGGAAATCTAAAAACACATCAAAAATCGCATAAAGGTATTGTAGTTATTACAAAACTTATAGTTTGATTGATTTATTTATATATTTATTTATTTATTTAATCGTTATTTTTATAGTAAATGAATAAAAAAAGAAATTTCAATTTATTTATTTATTTATTTATTATACACGATTAATAATAATTTTATGTTTTCTACACTTTAGGAGAATATACATTTCTGTGTGATCAATCCGGCTGTGGTAAATCATTTTTAACATCTTACAGTCTTAAAATACATGTCCGAGTTCATACAAATGAGAAACCATATGAATGTGATTTACAGAATTGTGAGAAAGCTTTTAATACCCTTTATAGGTAAATATTAATCATACCGTTATCACAGATCAACTTTAATCATCATTAGTTAGTAGATGAGAAATGTCTAATTTTAATGGTAACTCTCATCTCTGAAATAGCAATCACAATCAAATCTTAATAAAAAAGAAATAAACACATTTCATCTTTACAATCTGTGTAGTATGAGCCAAGCCCCCAACCCAACTATATGATGCTATCTTCATTAGTCCAGTCGGTACAGAAAAGAGAGAGAGAGAGAGAGATAGGGTTTAATTCCACTTGACACAAACTAGGTCATTTCAGGACTAACATAATTCAATTTTATTTCAATAAATCACTTGCGCGTAGGTTCTTTAGCAGTGAGATGAAACTGGAGGACCCAGAGAAAACCCACGAGGTTGGACAGGCGACCTTACTCCTTGTCACGTACAACCTTGGAATCGAAACCAAATGGTTTAAGATAGAAACATAATGTATTTTATAATCATAATGTATAGTGTTAAATTAAACCTACTTTGACATAAATATATAACATTAAACCCCAATTCAATTCATTTAATTTTTACGTGCACATCAAAGAATTCATAATGTATAGTGTTAAATTAAACCTACTTTGACATAAATATATAACATTAAACCTCAATTCAATTCATTTCAGATTACGTGCACATCAAAGAATTCATACTGGTGATACATTTAAATGTGATGAAAGTGGATGTACAAAATATTTTACAACTTTAAGTGATTTGCGCAAACATGTTAGAACCCACACCGGTGAGAAGCCATTCCAGTAAGTATTTTATATGAGGCTGACCTTAAAAATATCTTTGTTTCGCCTAACGCGACCTACTAACTAAAACCACCCCCGACTTTAATTATTTTATTGCACTTTTCCACGATCTTTTTATTTTATTTTGTGTGTCAACCTGAAATATATCATGAGAGTTATTTCCCTTTACTATGGCTATGGTTTGATACATTATTGAAACTGGTTGATCAAGACGAAAGCGTCATAGGTGTCGTTTCTCAACAAAATGGTTGCAGACGAATACACGTCCATTCCCACAAAATGATTCTGCCTCTATGTTTGTGGTGCGTAGTTTTAAACATGAAGACGATATTTTCAATATCCGTTTTCGAGAAAAATGAAGGCACAACCCGCACTATCGTTAAAAACGTGTTGAAGGAGTTTCACACTTCAAGTTCGTGGCAAATCGTGTGCGAGTCGGGCATCACGAAAAACCCGATGTCATTACGAATGTTTCCACCCGGAAAATTATTAAGCTGTCAAATTAGCTCTTAAATTTAATAAAAACTTTCAGTTCGTTACTTTTTACGTCAGACCCCAAATTCATTAAACAAAATTAATGAATCTGTAGTATACAGCTAATAAGTTTTCTGTATTGATTTCTCTGACTTTAAAAAAAAATCTGAAAAAAAACCCGACCTACCGACCCTTCTCCTCGATTGTGGGTCGGGTTTGGTGAAACAAAGATATTTTTAAGGTCAGCCTGATTACTTTCACACAATGTAGCACTATGGCCCTTGAGACAATTTTGGCTCTTTATAAAATTGTCTCTTCAATTTGGTCTATAAAGTCAAATCATAAGTACTAAATGAACGTGGTTATAGTTGTTCGTAAAAAAAACAGTGATGTTTTAGTTAAATTATAATCATTGTCAAAATAGTCCACAAATTCTAGCTGTTTATTGACCTATGGTCGGTTGACCAAAAATAGGTAATGTTGCCTGTCTTGGTTGTGGGAAATATAGAGTTTTATTCCTTATATGGCGTGGAAATTCACGTCAAGGTTATTAAAGACCTGGGAAAGTAGGGGGTATAAATTAGGGTGTAGGGGAGAGCTAGATTAGAGCTCACCCAGAGATTCTTACCAGTCATTATATATTTGAGAACGAGGAACCTGCAAAGTTATTTCCAGTTTACTAATAAAGCTGTGAAATCAATGTTGCTGTAGTATTATTTACGATCACAAGGAACACAACAAATAAAGAAGTCCGGTAGTACTACAACAATCAGAAATCATTGTTATATAGGTAAACTAGACATAATAATAAAAGCACATAAATCTTATCTGGTTTCAGTTTGGCTTTGTGTTTTACATTTGAGTAGCCCTGTAGATGTATCTTCAAATTTTTTATTTGGTTTGAGTGACAGAATGATTTATGATAATCTGAAACTGTACAGGAACATAGCATAGACATTGCAATTATGTACACCTTTCTAGATCAGACAAGCTGCTTATTTGTGAAATATAGAAGGTTTTTTTTTTCAATTTTGTGATCTGTTAATATTTATACGCCCATATTTAATTTGGACATATAGACATTGCAATTGTGTACATCTTTCTAGACAAGACAAGCATCTTATTTGTAAAATATAGAAGATTTCTATTTTTCAATTATGTGATCTGTTAATATTTATATTTATTTGGACATATATTGTCGTCACCGCCATCCTTCATCTGTTGGGTCATGGTCTAATTTTTGTGAATTTTTTGCACCTTACGTTTATGGTCAGATTTGAAGGGGATTGATCAGTTGACTGCATGAAAGAACCCTATCGAAATTCAAAACATTTGCTTGCTTATTTTATCTTTCCAGTTATGTTCAGACATAATATATGATACAAGACAAAGCACTTGCTTACATTTCATAATATTCATATTTTGACAATCAATAGTTTTGAGAATGTAAATATGTCTTCGTATCCTGACAACATGACAACATCAAGATTGTGCTCTTTGTTTACCTAATGTTTCACAATGCAACAACCTTTATGGAGTGCTTGGACTACTAAGCATCTGTGGATCCATTGTTCTCTGGCAACCTGTCTTTACCAAATTTTCTATATAAATGACTTTATTTTGGTGGGATTGGTAGATTTTAACTGTTGAATTTTTTATTTTAGCTGTGAAGAATCGAATTGTGGCAAATCTTTTTCAGCAAGTCATCATTTAAAGACCCATTCTCGAACACATACAGGTTAGTTATTCACATCAACCTCTTCTATTTATACATATACTAACATTTCACTTATCTTTCTGCACGCATCATAATAATTTCATATTTTCTCTTATTGTTCACATTCAGTACCAGTATGAGCAAGCCCAGTGTAGAGAAAGATTAATAAGAGAACGAGAAACATTAATAATATCAGATTCAAGATGATCATTATATAGTCAATACATTGTATGGAAAAGATTAAACAATAATGTACCAGCCTGTCCAGCTTTTCTACTGATTTAATGGAGTGTTGCCGTACCCCTCCTCGTTTTCCAGATAATGAAATAAATTTAATAAATTTGATAAATATTAGTATTTTGCCTAAAAATGACCAGCATGGGACATAATTCAGCATAATTTTAAGCTCAGCAGTGAAAGTAATTAAATGTAGTTATTATACAAGATCTAAATCTGCCTATTGCAGGTCTTTCTTTAGGCCTTAAATGCTATGGTATATAAATTATCAATTAGACATAATTAACTCACCTAGACCATAATCAACTCTCAATGACATCGTATAGTCTAGATTTTCAACAGATTTAAATCTGATCTGCGGTTCAACAGCCGTTGATGATTTACCATAAAAATGGATAATCAAGACTTTGTTTATTATCGTAACAACGATAGCAATGACAATCCAGGCTAGACTATAATTGTATCGCTGATAGCTAGGCTCAGAGTGAAGTAATTTGACTGAAATTTTTAACATATTCCCTTTTAATTATCTTTTTTTTAACTATTATAGCCAGAACTGTCAGCTCTTTTTATTAATTTAAATGATTTTTTGCAGGTGAAAAGCCTTATACATGTGCACAAGATGGTTGCCAAAAGTCTTTTACAACTTTATACAGCTTAAAATCACATGTTAACCGACACGAAAATCAAAATAATAATTGTAAAAATACCAGTCCAGGAAAACAGTCAAATAATGATGGTAATATAACAATACAACCTATAGAATCTATATCTTCTACATCTGGAGGACATCCTTGTAAAGTTGAGGTAAGGCATAAAATGTTTATTATCCCGTGCCGAACGAAGTTATGGAGGGATATTGAAATGGGGTCCGTCCGTCTGTTCGTCCGTCCGTCCGATTTCATTTCCGGAGCATATCTCATAAACCGTTCAAGATATCTTTTTGAAACTTTGCACTCACATCAACCTATTACAGTAGTTATGCCTTTTGCTATTTAGGGATTTCTGGGATTTATATTTTTTGTGTTTCCATGGAAACAAATTTTACTTAGTTTTTGGTGTATAATTTTGTTTCCGGAGCATATCTCATAAACCGTTCAAGATATCTTTCTGAAACTTTGCATACACATCAACCTATTACAGTAGTTGTGCCGTTTGCTATTTAGGAATTTCTGGGATTTATATTTTTTCTGTTTCCATGGAAACAAATTTGACTTAGTTTTTGGTGTACAATTTTGTTTCCGGAGCATAGCTTATAAACCGTTCAAGATATCTTTTTGAAACTTTGTACAGACATCTACTCATTACAGTAGTTGTGTCTTTTGCTATTTAGGAATTTCTGGAATTGATATTTTGTGTGTTTCCATGGAAACAAATTTGACTTAGTTTTTGGTGTACAATTTTGTTTCTGGAGCATATCTCATAAATCGGTCGAGGATATATTCTTGGCACTTATTTTGAAATTCTCAGATTTGATAATTTTATATGTTTCCATTGAAACACATTTGGCTGTTCAAGATACCTTTAAAATAATTTTACCCATTATTTTATTTTCTGAAATCCAGCCTTCCGTCCTGATTTTGTTTCTGGAGCATATTTTATAATGTGTTCAAGAAATCTTTTTGAAACTTTGTACAAACATTAACCTATTATAGTATTTTATTTTCTGATGTATAAGTTTATTGTTTAACATACAGCAGCTGATTGAGGTAGGCAAAGGTTGTTGTGCAAACCTTACAGGGAGTAGCCACCCTGCCTTGACGAGCTACTGTGATCAGAGTATGAATTTCTGTGAATTGATATTCCATGCGTCGGAATATGAGATTTGTCTAAAGCTCCAGTTAACTTCACTTGCAAAATATCTCTATTTTCTATGTAGTCATGTCTAATTTTTAAAACCAGAGCTTAATGTCATAAATGATCTCAAATCTTCTAGTAAATATCAATCAGTCATTTGTTTTCAGAAATAGAGAGCAATATCTACTAAACAGGGCCACAATATTAGGACCAATGACACTGTTTGCGAAATCTGATACATTTTTATATTGATTACCAATAGCATAAACAAGTTACTTTTCCTTATTTCTTCCAAACAAGTGCAAGGGCGCGGGATGTTGATGACTAGTCATCTTGTTAAAATTCAATCTTAAAGTGTCAATAATTTGGCAAAGGATTGACACAATCAGCTTTAAACATGTCCAGTTAATGTAGGAAGTTAAATTTTGGATCAAGTGAATTCTTTTTTTAATCTTTAAGCAACTATTTGGGTCCAGTCAGCAAGTGGTACAAATGTTTTAACCATGTGCTAAGAACATTTTTATACACCCACATTTTCCTGGTCATTCAGGGCACAACCCTGTCTAAATCATTAAACAGAGGCTTAAGATAATCGTAGAAAATTTGGGTTTTTGCAATGGCCAATGCTAAATCAATTTTCTTGGGAGATTCTAGTTAGAGTAACATTAAATAACTTTGAGTCGAGTCATGAATAATTATTGAAATTGTATTTTGTATGATTATAGGAAGGTATATGTTGTGCTCATGGGAAGGAGATTACAGATCAAACAATACTAAATACCACTACATTATTACCTGATACATCCCATAATACTATTAATGTACAGGTGAGAATCAATATTACTGTAGTAAAACATAAAATTGATGGAACTGATCACAGGGGCGATTCACAGGGGTATGCCCGGTACCGGAGACAATGTATCTTTTGGAAGGGGGTCTGAGGGGGTCCTCACCACCCCCGACCTTGAAAATTTTGGCATATATACATACCGGTACCCCCTGAGTTTTTTTTAAGAAAGAAATCCAACACTGTGATTCATTTTTATTGATGCAAAGCATTAATTGCAATATCACATTATGCCTATATTATTATGATGATATATGTTAAAGCACATGACCGTGACACTCTTCTCATAGAAAGTGTTGTTTTACAAAAAAAAATTTGTAGCTGTGCAGGGGGGGTTGACCCCCGGAACCCCGCTCTGGATTCGCCCCTGAATCAGCATTGATTATAGTATTTGATAAGGTTTTAGGGTTTTTGGGTGAGAGGGGAAGTATGAGTGGTCTGATCTGTCATTGAGTCAAGTGGCATGGTTTCGATCTAAATGCTTGTAAGTTACAAAGTATATAGTTTTCCCCAGGCCCTCCGGTTGCCTCCCACATATGCAGGCAAATTATTGAAATAAAATTATACCATGTGTTAGTCCTTAAATAGCCTAATCTGTGTCATGTGGCCGTTAAAGTACATTTATAACATGGAGGGAACAAGCCTTTTACCATCTGTATTAATCTCTGACTTATAAAATGGTAGTTTCAGTGATATTATGTCCCTGTGTTTAATGGTTTTGCCGTTGTTTTGACCCAAGATCTATTTGTTATATTTTATATAGGATTTGAGGAATGATGAATTAACAGCGGAACAGATTTTAAATTCTTTATATATACCAACAGAGTGTGATAATATTTCAACAACACCAGAAACTTCTGCCAATAATGCAGGTAATAACATGCTTTACAATGGTTGGAAACAGACTGTGTTTCAGTATACGGCATATTTGCGCATGGCCACTCAATCTGTTTTACAGAGGATTACGAAAGTCTTCTAATATCTCTGTAAAAGATGACTGCCTTCAACACATGACGTCACATCACGCGACGTCAATCATTGGCTCAATGGCGCGTGTATTGTTTACATAAGACGTTACTGAATCAGGCAGAATGCTGCCTTTTACTCATTTTAATACCCATTTACACTAAATATGAAATATTTTTTACCTACAAATACTTCAATCGTCTTTATTTAGTTTTCTAATACATAAAAAAATTTAAGAATTTAATTTGTCGGAGGAAAAAAGTTAATATTTTTGGCTCATTAAGTCGCATCGATGTCATCAGTGATTGTAGCAGCCTAGCGAATATTCACTGCTGATCAGTGTGATGGCCGCTGTCTAGTCAATATTTCCCCTCATAACACATTGTATGCTTGTCTTCATTAGGCCAGTTGGTGCAGAAAATTAGGACGTGTAATCCTCATTTCATTTTTTTTCACTTCAGGTCTCTTCATGGGTAACCTTGGTAACGAAGAAATAATGCAGCCAATGATATCAGTAATATCAAACACCCAACAACAACAACAAGAACAACAACAACAAGATCTGATATCACCACAAGATTCTATGATAAACTCCATAGTGTTAGGTACTGGTATGCCTACCACCGTAACCATTTCTGGCGACTCTACGCCTGTATTTTCAACTACCACCCAGAAAGACCAAATAATGTCTTCAGCTATAGAAGCCATCTCAACCAATGAAACATCAACTATGAATCCTTCCCAGGTGCCTGTTCAAAACACACTTCCTGTTACAATACAGACAGGACCAGACGGCAAATCCATCGCCATGAATCAGGTTTATGTACCTGTTATTAATAATACAGTATCTGGACCCAGAATTGAATTGGTTCCTATAGCAACAACACCATTATAGAATAACACGACTTGCAAGGTGTTCTCCCTTACCCAAGTTTCAGAGATGTCTAATATAGTAATTTGTATCTTTTGATAATTAAATGTGATATTGATATGACTTCAACATTTTTTATTGTTCCAAAAGGGGTTTAAATGGGTAAAGTTGTGCAGTTTGAACTTGTGACATTAGAAATACATCAAAATCAAAATTTATTGCACAAGCCCCTGTTTATATGAGATGACATGGTTATTATTTTGGCCTTGTTTTGCATGACAATAGTATACATTTAGATCTGAAATAGGGGAGCTAGTTGTCAATAATACTGTTTGTATAATCATTGTAATGTCATATTATTCATATTTATTTCATAATCATAAAATTATGACAAATTATTAATAATAATTGTTATTTAGCCTTGCCTATTTTCTACCATTTTTAATATCTGTATGTAGTGGGTAGATCATATCAGATCGTAAAGCAAAGAAATCTTATTTTAAACTACTGTAAAACAAGACATTAGCGGGTTGTGAAATTAATGCAAAATGAGGGGGAGGTTTACATAGATATGTATTGAAATTAATGTGACCACGTCATATCCTTATTTATTGATAATCTTGCCACATATGTCCATCAATATATAATTTGTGTATATGCTCTACTGTTTAGATTCTGTTTTTATACTTATTGGGATACCTTGGCTAGTCTAAAGAAGGAACAATATCAAAATTCAGAGTTCTCCAATGAATTTTACCATGTTTGTTGCCCCTGTTACTTTCATTGTTCAAATGTACTTTGATTTTTCAGCTGGTACCAGTAAGGCACCACACCCTTTCAAAAGTTAAGAGTCACCCAAGAGTTAATTCTCCTATCACCATGATTTTTTTGTACAAACTAACTAGGAACCCGATTGAAATTGAGAGTCTTGTAAACCTTTGTCATTTTATGTCTGTTTCCACAATAGTTCAAATCTATGTGTAGTTATGCCTCGCACCCAAAAATCTTGTAATCCACCCTTCAAAAAGCTGCTGTGGGTGTAAATATTTATAGCCAGGCAATGCTATGTTTCTAAAATGAGAGCTAAGTGTATTCTAGTCACTAAGAAGTAAAACTCCAGCTACCATCTAATTAAAATCACTGATTATGGTTATCAGGAGAGTTATATTTGATGATACTAATGATTTATTTGTAACTAACCACACAGTACTTAATACAAAATAGAAATGGATACAAGAAGAGGGACGGCAACACTCCTGTAACAAGGTGACTAAAGCTGGACAGGCTTATACATCTGCGTGGCTACTGGATCAAAAAAAGATACCGGAGGGGCAGAGGAGTAAATAAAAGGAATTTAAGAATCCCCACTCAATAGTAGCACAATAGACTTGGTAGAAGTGAAGATTGTTTAATGAATAATGTTTCGGGTTGTGATACCCTTTTTCTGTTGAGCTACTGTTGAGCGTGAATTCTTAAATTTCACAAAATAGGAATGTTTATTTAAATTATGTGAGTGATTATAGGTCTAATTAAACAGATTAATTTCTTGTTCACATTTAGTATCTTGTTTTACAGTATAACAAATCTAAAACAGGTCCCGAATGGTGTTTAATATTTTGTGATACCTATAGTAACATATGTATCTCTGAATTCGATTATTTATTTGACATCAAATTTTGCATACTATTTGATAATAAGCAAGCCTGAAGTAGTAGTATATACTAATTATGCTTTCAAAAAAAAATAATTTTTTACGATCATGTTTGAATCAAATCTGACTCTGGGTAACGTTAGAGTGTGTTGGCGTAGTATTTGATATGTTTACAACAAAACAAAAGTAAAAAAAAAGTAAAAAAAAAGTCATATCATTGTAAATGAAAATATTCTATTGATGTAAACTTTTTCTTATGTCTCATGTGTTAAAATAAGAATTGAAATAGGAATTGGTCTAGAAAATTATAGAGGGTAAAAATCAGGTAAATTTTATCTTAACTGCCAAGTATAGACACAAGTTTCACATCCCCCTTAATTAAAGGTTGTCTTGAGAACTTATGCTAACAATAATGTGTTCAATGAATCATCTTGATCCACGAATGTTAATTTTGAAAGTAAAGATGGCTAGTACATGTATCAAGAGATGATAATCATACGAGTGTAGTGTAGAAGCGATAAATAGAGTTATTAAATATAGATCAGGACCTTATTCACAAAATTTTAAACTTAAATAATTTAAGAATGATGCCTTTTCATTGGTTAAAAGCTACACTTTGCACTAGGATTTTGATTCTTAGCCAATGAAAATGTTGAATTGTTCAAATTCCTTGTAGTGTCATGATTTTAGATGCAGGTAGAACTAGTTGATTTTATAACGAGGGCTACCAAATGTTTCAAAAATACCTTGTGAATACACCGACTTAGATGGGGTGGTGGGGAGATATGGCCAAATTCTCATATTGTGTAACCATACTGGTACAACTTTTGAAGGAAATAGTAATGTCACAAGGTATTTGACGTTAAATAATGTTTCAGTAGTTTAGCACCTAATGGCATGATAGATTGTCACTTGCTATAGGAGATACATAAACTGTTGACATATTATAATTAAAATGACTAGACCTTGTTAATGGGGATCAAAAATAAAATATTGATTACTCTGGACGATCCATCTATGTTCAGAAGTTGACAATCAAAGATAAAGCCAGTGTTAATAAAATCAGTTGTTCGTTCCAATGCATCGACTTAGTAAGACAATGAAACTAAAGGTAGTTAACAGACTGGTTTCGGCTTAAACTTACTGGGTAGTCATATTGAGCGTGTTCTGTCGTAAATCAAAATAATATCCAATTCAATACTCTGTTTAGTCAAAATTTCAAGGATTTACTTCATTAAACATTTTGTTTGTGAAGAATTATAGTAGTGTGAATCCAGATGAAATTTGCAACCATTTAAAAAGTAGAGAGTGCCATCTTTATTCTTTATTACTTACATAAAATAAAATTATAAATGAAATATTATGGGTTATTTACAAAATGTCATGATTTACATTATTGAGTAGATTATTTATTAATTGAAGGATATTTTATTTGTTATATTGATTTTGTATTATTCGTTAAATTGCATAAAAAAGATGATTTTTGCTGTGATAAATTAATTAAGATTATGAACGATGAAATTTGTATAGTTGTTTTGTTTATTATTAGTTAAATTTCCTATCATTAATAGTTAAAGATACATTATGTAAGATTTAGATAAAGAAGTAGCCATTCTTGCTATAAAAGTTCGAAAATAGATAATGTTAAATGAATAATTTGAAAATTTCATTCAAATTACTCTATATTAGCCTTTGAAGGTTTGACAGGACTTGTGCAATAATTTCAACCACAGTACTGGTTGTTCGAAGCTAAGTCTCGCTCCTCCATTTTTAGTATAATCAAAATATGGCTGAATTGTTCTAATTTATTTAATATTGGAGAAATCCGATGCCATCGAGAGTTGTTTATGGCCTGGATAAGTTAATTAATGTCTAATTAATAATTTAGAAAACATTTCAGTCCTAAAGAAAGACCTGCAATAGGCAGATTTGGCTCTTGCATAATGTATGTTTAAGTAGCATTGAAATATTTGAGTTTCATATGTATTGTGATTGTAATAATTCTATAAATTATAGAGCGCGGTTTGCGTGTGGTAAGGGAACTGGACAATTGGTAAGGATGCCTAATCATGGCTCAGGTCTAGATGAATTGTAAGAATAATTCAAGCTCCGACCCCATGATACCACCAAGCCACCAATAAAAGTTGTGTCTAGTATATCCCCCCACATAGTTACCTAGTGGTCTTCTTGGGGATATTATAAAAAAAAGTTTCAGAAGGTTCATGTTTTTTAACATCCTAGGAATGAATTGTCTTAATAGGCCTTTAGTCCAATATTTCATGTAATAGGGGGTGGGGAGGAGATGGCCGACTCTGTAGTGATGTGTTCATTTTATACTACAGCCTGTGCCAAGGTCATTTATATACAGATAAGCATTTAGGCATACCTTGCACTATACTCGTACATTACATTAGTATAATAGCTATTTCGAGTGGTGGGGTAGGGTTAGTGTCGGTGTCTCTGTCTTAAACTAACAGTTAAAACACCTTCAAATTGTGTACCCTGCCATCCACTCCCCAATCTTTTGCAAATCCAGGCTAGGCCCGATATAGCTGTAGACATAGCCATTAGCCATGTGTGTGTATACATATAGAGTGATTGTACAGCGATACTATTACTTCTATTGTACGAATGACAGGAATCGCTTAATCTAACATCAGTTAATATAATAATTTAAAATTACTCAATTCCGATTTCTGGACAATTATTAATATCGAATTGAAATACATTAAGAAACTAAGAAAGGGTGCAGATTAATTGATCTGGAAATATTATTCGGGTCGTTATGTGACGATTCCCTGTCCGTGGTAGACTACCAATATCAAGTGGCGATACAGGGCCAGAAAAATTCGGACAGTAGAAATATATGGTGGTTTTTAACGAAATTTGTAACTCTGTCTCACGATTATATAATGTTGATGAGATCTAATCAGTGATAATCTCTAGAAGAATTTCGATTACCTATGATTAATTTAGTTTTTAGGAATACAACAATAAACGTTTTGTTAAAATTAATATTGAATGTGTTATATGAATTATTAGACATTTGATATATTACTGGAACTTACTAATAATATTTATTCTATATAAATCTTACTTATTTTTCTGTATGAGAAATAATAAATAGAGGATAAAACATAATTGTGTGTTTACTTTCACTTTATTGAAAGTTTAGATATCACGATTCTCAAAACAATTCTTTCGTTACAATATTTTTATATTCCACATTTTCACGTGGACGTAGTAAGTTGTCACCCCCGTTCGTCATTCCAGATGTCTGTACACAATTTTCACTCGGTTGTGACGAAACTTAAAATATATGTTTTGGCACATATCTGAACCTAAATTCCTTTATTATTGCTTCTGATTTTACGAAAATCACCAATGTAGCTTGTGAACCATCTAAAGGTCATGATTTTAATGAAACTTTACAGAAATGTTTATGAAACAAAAATCTCGTCGCCCCACGCTTAAAGAAAGCCACAGGTGGAAAATCTCATGCAATTCTCTATAAGTTTATTCGATTTCAGAATGAGTTCAAAGCCTTATTTCTTTGGGTTTATACAGGGACAACAGTGATAAAAATTCCATTATTAAAAAAAAATCAAAAGTCTTTAGAGATACTTACGTACTTAACATTATCTTTTTTCTCGCGTATTAAACTGTTAAAAAAAAATCTTGCGATGCATTGTACTTACACCTTTCCGGAAATAAGGATAATGTGAATGAAATAAAATAACAGAGATTAACAAGGAAATGCAGTTTATATAAAATATAAAAAACATTAATAAAAACAATATTTATCATTGATGTATTATTATTATCAATAGATTTGCTAAAAGAAATACATCCTTTCTTTAGAAATATAATTCATTCAAATCATTAATTAAATGAATGGGCATTCAGTGAATCTTGATTTCCAACATATCAACTTCATTTCCGTTATTTTTTAAAAAAGACTAAAGGGATTAGGATACATTGTACACATTCTTAAACGCCGTTGAATTTTCGTCAACCATATCTTATTTTTTAAATTCTTTACGTCGACATCTACGTAGAAATATTGTTTCGACCTCGAATAATGAGGAAACGTGCTTGAGTCATTAATATTAGTATTTTTATTTCTTTTAAAGTATCTTAATAAGATGTGTTGTTAGGCCAACAGTCGTGACACGGCGCTTCGCTCGCAATAAAAATGACCACAATAAGAACATTTGTAAAAACTAAAAACCTTTGATGGTATTACAAGTGTTGTTTAAACATGATCAAATTTTCAGTTTGAATACGTCACGATTGCTGGTATGTTTTGGTATTTGATAGAAATATAACAGATACGGTTCTAGTGATAGACTGTTGCCATAAATTACGTGATATAATATTCATAATAATATAGGATATAATGGTGGATTAATTAAATCAATTTATTGGAGATATGAAAGCTTTAGTCTTTATTATCTGTTTGTTATTTATACAAAGAGATGCAGGTAAGTTTTCTTAAAATGTTAAAAAAAATATTACATGTATTATACGAGAACCATATTAAAACAGCATTATTCGCTGTTTTTTTGTTTGTTATAGTTTAAGATCAGTTGTGTCATTTTTTATGGGATTTAGTTAAACTGATATTTTATTTAGAATCATAGTTGTAAACTGGACGTATATTGTCAGCGTTTTGTTTATTTTCGTTCGGTTTTTAAAGTCGTAACATTCAAAAAAAATTTTTTATCGAGGATTGACCCTTTATATCATCTACAGAGGATATCAAATGCTGACAAATTTTCAATTCACCATGTCTTTGTAGATTTTGAACTATGCTTGGACTGATATGTCTTTTAGAGTCGGCTTTATTATATCATAGCATCTGTAGTATGCTGTTACCCATAGCATCCGTGTAATCTTACCACGTTAAGGGTTGTACCTTTTTATTTGGGTAGTAAAGGGATTTACAGTCCAAATCATGTTGAAAGTATGTCGTTGATTGAATTTGTATTACTCACAGAAGGCGAGACTCTGTTGACGTGTAAATAATGTGGAAAATTCCACCTAAGATTTGATTTCTGCTCAAAGACCACTATAGCTACGAGAACGTAGCTAAAAACGTTGAGATATACTTATGTGCTTGTTTTTTAGCTAGGATTGGGTGCCTTTAGTTCCAAGTGGCAAACTCAATTTCTTTATTAATGCATGTAACAGCTTAAAAATGAGATAATTGTATACTCTTATGACTAATTAAACTTATAAACAGAGGCCAATGTAGTGGCACAAGTATCGCCTAACTCCAAATATTCGCGTTTAAATTAATGAAGCGTTGTTTCTATCCGCCATACATCTCCCGTTTAAAAATGGCGTTCCTAATAACGGCTTAACGCCTCGATTTTAAATACGATGATTTATACCCGTTTCCGGTAGGATTATCTGCTTAATTTTAGTTGGATGTGACAGAAATATTATAAATAACAATAATCAGTCGTTGTTTTGATGAAAAATATTGTCAATTTTGATTACTGAGGCACGATGTGATTTGCGTTGGGCGTTGCTACGTGGAACTATATAGCAACATCTCTTATCTCAAAACATGGAAGGTTGGGAGATGAGGTTTGTTATCTAAAAGACCACAACAACAAAACAACCAACAAAAAACCCCGATCAAATCAGCACAACTAGTATTTCCATATAATATGACTGAAAGCTATAGTCTAGAATGGGGGTCGACATAATTATATTTGATTGTAGATTCCTAGTCGGAAGTTTATTTAAATTGGTTTATAGACAAACTTTTAGGAGCCACGATGACGCAGTCAGTATGTCGCTGGCCTAGAATCCAAAATGTCCCGGGTTCGATTCCGATGTTGGCGGAAAAAATTCCTCGGAATACCTAGCAAGGAAAGAGCGTTTGGTCATTCGGATCGGACGAAAAGCCTACGTACACCCACGAGACTCGTTGGTGTGTACACTAAATAAACCTTCACAGTTAGAATTCGATGAAAAATAGGCGGAAACGCCACTGTCCTGGCAGAATTCCTACACATAAGCACTCGACATGGCGTAGCACACGATTTCCCGGCGTGGTTCCCCCTTGTCAGTGATGCAGGGCAGCTGTTTAGTCATTCGGATGAGACGAAAAACCGAGGTCCCGCGTACATATTGGCGTGCACCTAAAAGATCCCTTCACGGTTGGAATTCGATATAAGAGTAGGCCATAGTGCCGCTGTCCGGGCAAAATTTCCCTCATAGCACATTGTATGGCGTATGCCCGTCTTCATTAGCCCAGTTCGGAGCAAAACAGTAGAACGTTAATCTCCATTTCATTTCATTTCTGGTCATTGATCAATACCAAAATGTATATTTTGCCAAACAGGGGTTGTCAGTAGGACCAAATGAACACTCTTCCGCAGCAGAACTTTTTTTCCATTTTGGAATTTTATTGATAGAGACAATTTAGAAACCTTATCATCGATAAAAGCTTACTAAAATCCATCTTCAATAGAATCAGTACATCTTATCAAGGCCAGATGTTGTGAAACTCACAGTCGTTGCTTCAGGAACATGACTAAAATCATGAATGACTGGTATCCAAACTTTCTCTTTTCCTTTTCAGAAGCACAACAATGGCCCGTTAAGATGACCAGTGCCTGTTATGGACTAAGGTCTCCATTTCTGAAAGCATCATGTCCCAGAGGCAAACACATCGTCGTGAGAAACGTTTTTGCGAACGCTAAACCGAGATACACCAATTGTCCCGAAGAGACACAAGAGGACGTCCCTGTAGACCCAAATTGCTGTGTCTGTACACCGGATGATTGTTTGATGGAGTATTCGGGTGTTTCGAAGATGATGTATTATACGGAATGCAATGGAAAGCAATCATGTAATCCTCGTGTGTCATGGCAACCCATGAATACATGTCCACACAGAAACTATCTCTTACGTTCAAATTACATGGTTATGGAATATTATTGTGTTGACGGTATGTAACCTATTTAATCTTTTACTTTGATCTTATTTGTCTACGTGTGTTTATATCATTGTTTATAGTATATGTTATGATACACATGTTACATACAAATATATCTACCCTAGTTAATATCACAGAAACTGCTTCAAAATAACATTATAAAATAGTTTATTACTATAACTAGAGAGAGAGAGAGAGAAATGGGGTTTAACGTCCACTCGATACAAACTAGGTCATTTTGGGACTAACACATCGTTAAATTTTATTTCAATAATTCGCTTGCGCGTAGGGGTCTTTAGCAGTGGGTGGAAACCGGAGGACCCGGAGAAAACCCACGATGTTGGACAGGCGACCCTACTCCTTGTCACGTACAACCGGGGAATCGAAACCACGCCAGTTGACTCAATGACAGACCTTATGATATAGCGCGCACGTGCTAACCATTCTGCCATCCAACCCCCCATCAATGAATGGCGGTCATTGCTATTCCTTCATCTAAATGCTTGTCATTCTATCATCTAGTGTACCTCGTTAAATATGGCTGGTATAGCGGCTTTTTTTTGAGATAAGTCCTCTGATAAATTCTAAACATTTTAACTTATATACACACAGACAGTTCTATTATCTATATATAGCCTGTTAATTTAACCAGCTTCTCTAATTCTGAAATTTAATTTTCCTGCCAATTTGATTCTCAGATTGTTTATGCGTTTTGAACAACACGCTGTAGACTAACCCTACTGTTTCCTGTCTCGCTCCACATCCGACATTTCGGGCTTGGCTAGGATGCGACCTCTTCTGATATTGGACGTTCGCATCGTTGATCGTCTATAATTGGGTATGTTCTCCCGTTGGGTTAAGTTGGTTAGCTAAAACGTATCCTGATAAACAAATTTATTGACTAGCAAATATTATGGTCATAATAGCCTATGTACATACGCCATAAGAATGTCCCGACGTTTTAACGTTTATGTTTTTAGACACTATGTTTTCTCAATTTCAGGAGTAGGAGTTATGGGCGACAATGATACAGCAATACTAGACAATCGAATTGACCGAATTCAGCAACCACGTTTAGTTAAAGCTGATTCGTTATCAAATTCAACTCTCCAGAGAAGCGCTGTCGGTTCTACTAACAGAACTAGTGCTACTATTCCCCCAACTACTAACACCCCCACTACTTCAACTACGGCAACTACCATACCACCAACCACAAAAAACACTCCAAAAATAACAACGAAGACCATGCAAACAACGACGTTTCGAACAACTACAACTGCCCCACTAACCACAACTACCATCCCGTCAACCACAACAAATAATCCATTAACCACAACAACGACCACACAAACAACTACGACACCAATAACTACAATCAGATCACAAACCACAACTACTACCCCACAGACAACCACCACTCCACCAACCACAACAACCACTCCACAAACCACGACCCTGTCTTTAATTATTATACCGATTAATTCCAGGACATCTCCCCCGGTCAAAATCCCGTCACAAGCCATTTCATTCCCGCATCAATTAGGCAGTGCCACCAATAAACCACGTTTAAGGACAAGAAAACCTCAACCCATTACAACCACTGTAAAATCAAACTTGACAGCAACTACACCCGCAACGCGACTGCATCTTTCCCTCTTGCCCACCGAGCGAAGTGACAAGGCAGGGACTAGTACAACCATTTCATTCCGGGCGTCTTTGAAACAGAAGTCGACAGCAGCTACTTCTAACGGGCATTCCTTTTCAGAAAATGTGACTAGCGCAAGCAATATTGACTTTGCTTCTGCTAAATGTATAGTAACCACAGAGTGCCATACCTCAATTATTATAAATATAATTGATGCTGGACAGTGTCCGTTCAAGATGTTGATAAGGAATTTGAAAGGAGACAGTTGGTCCCTGTGTGATATTAATAACAATGGATTTGATACGTTTTCCAATGTTCTATTAATCTATGGAAATGATAGTGGTGTTGATGTGGAGTTTGGAAATCCCTGGTTACAATTTATTTGTGAGTATTATGTAAATCTGATTATTATAAAGATAGATATCCATATTTCTTGCTTTATTTAATTTGAAGCAACAAGTGATTTTGTGTGCACAAACAGCCGTGTGCCGTACGATTAACTTTGATGCACTATGGCATATACTTTGACAAGCAAAGGCGCTCCAGACCAGGGCCGTAACTAGCTCAGAGCAACTAGGGGGTGGGAAGTGTTCTCAGGGGTGCTGTAAAATTGAGGGACAATGTATTCTATGGTCGACAAGTTTTTTACGGGGGGGGGGGGGGCAAACTTTTCACGGGCCTGCTGCAGACGTTGTCTTTATTCATGATGGTTTTTCTTGATCCATGCATAGATTCGAATATTGGTCGCTCTGTGTAGGCTACAGTTTTGAATATAACTTTTAATTTGAGAAAAAGAATCAAAATAGTTTAGGGCAAGCGCGCATAAAATTTTCACAAGATTTTTTCATTCTCCCGCCAAAACTTAAACTAAATATTATGAAGGCGAATTCCTTAGTATTTCGCTATATATAGTGACCTGGGGCCTGTTTCACGAAATTTTAACTAAGATAAAATCCAAATTTTAGTAATTTGATTGGATAATATTAGATTGATTTTAGTGCTTAGCCAATAAAATTTGGATTTTATCTTTTGTTAATATTTCGAGAAACAGGACCCTGGTCTCGTTTGACATTTATACACGTAAGACTAATGTATACGCAAACTGAACATTTTATTATAAAAAGTTTATGTATGCTTCCTGAATCCAGTCCCAGGTTAATACCTTTTTATGACGTCATGTTTGAAATGATTTTCTTTCTATATGTGCCTTCTTTTTCTCTTTTTTAAAGCTTCAGATCATTTTACAGATGTATTTTTATTGTGTAATAAAATGAATAGTGTAAACGAATCCATCAAAGATTGTTTTACTCCAGTCACTAAAGCCACCAGCCCAGCAGGAGATTACGGTAAATTTTTAAAATGAATACGAACTTCATATAGTCCTGTATACTCGTTATGAACAGCATCAGACGTATCATAAACAGATACAACAATGCCTTGTGTTCTGATGATCATAAGTGACAAAACCTTTTTATCTTTTTTTCCAGCTGCTTATCCGGGTTTAAAAAATTGGGAAGTAGCTTTAATAGCTGTTGGGGTTCTCTTTATATTGACTTTTTCCTCACTGTGTATGTGGGCGATGGTAAGTAACATTTTTAAAACAACCTTGAAAAATAAAACCCTCAGTATATCAGAAACTTTCACAATGTCGTCATCATCTAGTAGATAGACTATAGTCATACTGGTATTTGAAATGCAATGGAATTCCATATTACTTTTGTTATTGCCAAGTGGGGGGTTGGGTGGTCCAGTGGTTTAACGTGTGAGCGTGAAATCATAAGGTCTGTCATTGAGTCAAGTGTTGTGGTTTCGATTCCACGCTTGAACGTGACAAGGAGTAGGGTCGCCTGTCCAACCTCGTGTGTTTTCTCCAGGTCCTCTGGTTTCCCCCCACTGCTAAAGACCTCTCCATGAAGCGAATTATTGAAATAAAATGGAACCATGGTTGTACAAAAATGATGTAGTTGTGCCATTTCTCTCTCTTGTTATTAGTAAGTGTATATACATGTATATTAAAATTAAAATGTTGAGCACAGTATTATGGGGGGGGGGGGGGAGAGAGAGAGAGAAATAGGGTTTAACGTCCACTCGACACAAACTAGGTCATTTCGGGACTAACATATGGTTTAATTTTATTTCAATAATTCGCTTGCGCGTAGGGGTCTTTAGCAGTGGGAGGAAACCGGAGGACCCGGAGAAAATACACGAGGTTGGACAGGCGACCCTACTCCTTGTCACGTACAACTGGGGATTCGAAACCACGCCAGTTGACTCAATGACAGGTCGTATGATACAGCACGCACGTGCTAACCATTCGGCCATCCCCCCCCCCCCCCAGTATTATGGGACTAGCACTTTCAATTCCATTGATTGGAATATCATCGGGCCCCTAATACACAGTCTCCATTACATAACAATAAGAATTTAAATGTGTAGCTATATAATTGGGTTTATTTTTACAGTATAGCCGACGGAAAAAGAACCGAGATAGACGTTGTAGATTTAGTTTGCCTGTTCCTCAAAGAATGGAACCAAGACCTCAACAAAGATTACAAACTCCAACAATTGTTAGAATACCAGATACCGGTGCTGGTGTAAATATTGAAACTTCACCCAGAAGAAACTGTGGTGAAAGAAGTATGTTACCTACCATTGTATCTATAGAGAGAGTTAACCCTGGTGGTACAGCCAGACCACAATTACCACCTATACTACATAGACCACGTTTTACATCATAAACTTGTTTTGTTAAACCTTACATAACTTGAAATATAGATGTATGGATTACCGTATCTGCCAAAATATGTAATTTTGTTCTGAAAAATATTTAAAGTGATTTGAAGTTTCACAAATATGCCTAACTAGTATCAGAATCGCTGTACTATATAGGATGTAGCCAGATAGGAATTACATCTGGTACTCAAACTAGATGTGAATCAAAGATTGAAGATTTAAGTTGGAAATCAAATCGTTTTTGATCATTAACAAACAAGACGTCAATAATAGTTAGAACTAATGTTGCGCCTTGCAGGAGGGGGGTGGGTCAAGGTTAGTTTTTCTAAATTTTGGACATTTGTCTCATGTTGTTCTGTTAAGGGATAATTGAACGATATCATTGATATCAGACAAAAGAGAAATCTTTTGTTCCATTAATCATTCCACTAAATCCTTGGAACCGAAATAAAATGTATCTATCTTTTCATTTTTATCAATATGTTATTTTTATAAATAAGTTCCCATTCAACTGTAAATGTATGGGTGATTAAAGATACTTTATGTAAGATTTAGATAAATAGCTAGCCATTCTTACTATAATAGTTTGAAAATAGATCATGTAAAATGAATAATTTGAAAATCTCTTTCAAATTACTCTATTGCGAGCGAAGATATTAGCCTTTGAAGGTTTGACAAGACGTGTGCAATAATTTCAACCACCGTACAGGTTGTTCGAAGCTAAGTCTCGCTCCTCCATTTTTAGATTAAATCAAAATATGTCTGAACCGTTCTAATCTATTTAATATCTGAGAAATCCGATGCCACCGAGAGTTGATTATGGTCTGGATAAGTTAATTAATGTCTAGTTAATAATTTAGATAATATTTCAGGCCTAAAGAAAGACCTGTAATAGGCAGATTTAGCTATTGCATAATGTATGTTTAATTAAAGAAATAAAACTATAAAATATGTTTGTATACATTTATTATGATAATTGTTGTGACTATTATATATTATTTATATATATATATATATCAACACACAAGATGATTACATGATTTTATGACAATAATAGCATGATGATTACACCATTGTAATAATAATAATAATTTTCACTGAAAATAATGTTGCATTCCTTGCAAATGAGACCAAAATGCATTTTCAAAAACGTGATTAAGTATATGTATTATCTAGCCTCAAGTTAAGAGCATATAAGTAAAAGAAGCAGTTCATTTGTTATCCATCAATTTGACTAAAATGTAACAGTTGCATATAAAATTCAGTAATAAGCTCTATTTACATATACAATTAATAACAATGTCATAAATATACTGATCTGTGTATACTTAATTGTCTAATATACCTTTTTGGCTTTGGAAATTTAAATTTTCCGTTTTAAGTAAAATGTCCCCCCATTTTCAACTAACAGCATAATTATTATATTAATGCTGAGATTTCCTACTAATTGCATATTATATTCATGCTGAGATTAGGTACAGATGGATATCATGCCTAACCAGTTATCATGGATATGCATTTATTGGAATTACAGAGTAGATATATTATCCAGCTGATCTAACACCAATATTGTATATTAAAAACTGTAAATATATAGTGGTATTTTAACACTTGCTATATGAGAAAAGGTTAGAGATAAAGACTTTATTAATGTATTTATTTATAATAATGTATAATAGCATAATACTTATATAATTCTAAAATTTGTTACACTGCTATAAAAACTTACATTGATGTTTTAATATGGTGTCAACAGAACTTTCATTAAGATTCTGTTTTATGAAGTTTATTGTCAGCCATTTATTTTCATGTTCTGTCCAGGCAAGAGCATTAAAAAAGCTTATTAAAATGCATATTAAAATGTCCAGTTTGCCTGTTTTAATTATTAATAAGTAAGTATGATATAAACTACTAATTATCATAACATGAGAAGCTTTGACGTTAAATATGTTAAACATTTGGCAATGTATGGGATAAATTTAATAAATAGAAAATATGACACCGAGTATCTTTTTCACTCTGTTATAATTCACACAAATTTCACATGCATAGATATAAACTAAATAGTATATATGGAGCCATGTTGCAATATAATGTAGCTAAAATCACATTGAGACACCCACGACCAGAAACACACATAGAATATACATAAAAACTTATATATTAAAATATTATATACACTAATATGTATAGAAACTATTATTACTAATAATACACACACTATCAACTATAACAATAACATTCTACTTTATATATATAAAATATATAGGAGAGAGAACAATAAGATCTGAGATCATAGGAAAAGTTAAAAACAAAACAATTTATTACGAAGATCTTCCTTCTTACCCATTCATCCTATAACACATTAGTCATTTCAAAAATTAATCTGAACATTTATAAGTTTGTGGTGCCATTCTAATTAAATCATTTAGCCATTTTAATCTTCATGTGACTTATTTATACATAGCTCTGATACTGATATCAGGTAAGTCACTTACCATAAGTGTCATATTAAATATTCTGTTTTTTCCTCAAGATAATTTCTAATTCTTTTAGTAGATTATTATTATGATTATTATTATATTTTGAAAAAAATGATTAAAGATGGATTTATTTAAGTTGTTTTTTTTTATTTAATCATTATTATCTTTATCAAATACATCTCAAACACAACAGTATTATATTGCTGTACACATCAACATTTCCTTGCAATAAAATCAATTAGGGCTATTCCATTTAAAAATTTCTGGGGTTGTGGGAAGGCCACTCACTGATGCTCAGCATGCTCTACAGCAATTTTCAGAAGAAAAAAAATCTCTCTGTTAATAAATATAACATATTTTGTTGCGTAAGGTGGTCATTAAAAATTCTGAACCCACCACCGCAGTATTTTTAAATGGAATGACCCTTAGCACTATGTGCTGTATTAAAATGTTTTAAATAATAAATATAGTAGTACACATCATTATATATGGACTTACAATTTTAATAATATTAGCACATGTTAAAGTTGCATTATGTAAGAACTAAATCTGCCTACTATTGCATTTTTTTTTTCTGGATTCAAATGTTATATAAATAATTATTTAAGCAATTATTTACAAGACAACGTTGGATAGCTTAGATATTGAATGGATTAGACTACATGTACCATTTAAAATGGACATCACTCAATAAAAGGACTAGTACTTGATAAATTCAAACACTCATAACTTCACTCAGAATGAAGAACTTTTCAATATATTCATTATCATTATTTACTTTGAAGTATTATAGCGTGAACGGCCCGCCCTTTATCTAATTCCTACATAATGCATCTATATATGCATACATATATTATCACATTTGACAAAGTAACTAGTAAAACTTAATTCATTAGAATTAATATTGAACAACAATTTCATGTTCAATAAATTATTTCATGATCAAAATATTAGATATTACACAGATATACCACATAATAACAGTAATAATTTCAAATATTATACAGGATATTTTTGACGGCTAATATTATGCTATTATGATGGATAATTTGAACAATATATAATAATATAACAAATGACAAGCATGAGTTAGTAGAGTAGAGGTCCTTAAGAGGAGGGGGGGACCCCCAATCAATTGACAAAAAGTTTTGCAGACAACCAACCAATTTCTTTCACTCCCTTTAGGTTCAATTTTCTGACACAATTCAGCTTTGGTCCCCCCCAAAAAAATTACAAATGACAAGCATGAGTAGAGTAGAGGTTCTTAAGAGGAGGGGGAACCCCCAATCAATTGGCAAAAGGTTTTGCAGACAACCAACCATTTTCTTTCACTCCCATCAATTTTCTGACAAAATTCAACTTTGGTCCCCCCAAAATTAATTTTTTCCTAAGTTCTTAGGTCCTTGGAGTAGAAATAAATAGAACTATAAAATATACAACTACACTTTATCTATTACATTTATAATTGCTTTAGTTTTAACCGATCGGGTTGGAGAAGATAATTTACTGCGAACCCATTCGATGGCATGAAGCAGACGTTTTAAATGTCTACTATCAGCACCAGTGATCTGGTTAAATTGACTTTCCGTAGTTTTCAGGAGTTGCTCAATTGTTGTAACACCACCATTTACAATATCTTCTGTATACATGGGAAGACCAATAGAAATGAAGAATTCGTAGATCGATGCGATTTTCAGATCACAGGCTTCACTACATGATTCAGCTAACTTCTCATTGGGTATCTAAAAAAAAAAAAAAAAATGATGAATATTACAACATTACAAATTTGTAAACTTGACCATGATCCTCTTCTCATTTTATATTTCATTTCTGATCAATTACAGAAATGGGGTTTAACGTCCACTTGACACAAACAAGGTCATTTCGGGACTTACACAGAGTTCAATTCTATTTCAATAATTCGCCTGCGCATAGGGGCCTTTAGCAGTGGGAGGAAACCAGAGAACCCTGAGAAAACCCATGAGGTTGGACAGGCGACCCTACTCCTACACGTACAACCAGGGAATTGAAACCATGCCAGTTGACTCAATGACAGACCTTATGATACAGCGCGCACATGCTAACCATTCAGCATCAACCCCCTAAATTATAGTAAACCACAATACAAAAGAAGACTTATAAACATTCCTCATATACCACAATATTTGGCCTGTTTATTGGTCTCTCATTGCATGACTTAGACTTATAACATGAAGGTTATTCTTTTGTCATTAAAATAGCCAATCATATTACTAACGAATCAAAGAGGTATTTAATTTTCTGGCTAGACTTTAGAATCTGACCATAACTTAGATTAACCCTAATGCACATGCAGCGAAGATTTGGGTTAGAGATTGGGTAAGATATATAATGTTAGAAACATCATTTGAGGGGCACACGAGGGAGATTGGATTCTGTAATCACTTTGAAGTTTAAACTTCACTTACACAAACTCTGTCTAAACTTTGTAATTGAATGATGCGAACTTGTTCCAATACTAAAGCTACACTAGTGATGTCTTGACGTAACTCTTCAGCATATCTCTGTACTAATAGAGGAGGTATTCCACAATATCCATTCTGTAAAATAACCATTTCATTTTACATAAGTTATGAATAGATTAAAATCAATCTGATTAAAATACAGATCTATATTTCGTTTCGTTTTTTTATACTTTTAATGGCCTACACTACATGAAGATCTGACCGGTTGTAGCAATAGGTTGCGTCAGAGGTCATACGAGCGGCTTTCGACCCTATGACATCAGACATTTGATTAACCAATCAGCATTGATGTTACTAGTAGATTACCCACAGTTCCGTGCAAAACACGCCTAAAGCTCGCCTTAACAGACCGTTTTATTTGCTAATAGCTCACATCATTCAGAACACGTCAATGATAACAACTCTTGCAGATCCTAGTGTAGTACTAGTAAAGACAAGTTCAATGAAATTTTGAACTATAAAAACGAAACGAAATAAGATCTGTGTTTTAATCAGATTGGATTAAAATATATCCTCACAACAGACATGATCAAGGTAGTGTTAACAAAAACAATAGAATACAAGTTTCATATTCCATAATTTTTACGTCATAAATGAAGTCATAAAAAGATAATGTAAAAAAAATTCACAACTACTTTTTATAATGTTATCTCTGAAAATAACAGATCTTATCCTTCTGCAGCAATTTTCCACTTGGCTTTTAAATTTATTTATTTTTTAAAATAATGAACCTACCTGTGTTGAATATGGTTCAAGACTAAAATCTATTTTCTCTGCTCCAAGTTTAGTTGTAACTAGTGGTATCAACGATCGACTAACATTTTTCAAAGTTTTTTGTGATGCAGCATAAATAGGTTCCACACTCTTTCGGCCATCTTTTAATATGGTGGATTTATAATTTGGTGGAGGAGATCTGGTATCACAACCAAAAGATTGTGAGTTCGACATAATTTGGTTTGAACGAGGTTGATGTTTGGAAGGAGACATAATTTGAGATTGGGTCCCTGTGGCTTTACGATTATCTAAATAAACAGAAGTGTCTTGAGCACTAGAGATTCTAGGTGGAGGCACAGGTTTAGTCTTTTTATGTTTACCATATATGGCATGTTGTCCTGACTGTCCATATACTGATTGGCACATCATTCGCGGATAAATTCCTTCATATATAACATTGCCATTAGACGCAGTTTGATAAATACCAGATGACATAAGTGAAGAATTATGTTTACAGATCTGACACTGGCTGTAGCCATAGTTACTGGTTTTAGCACAAGAACTTGTTCGCGGAGGATTGTTCTGAATTTTTGTATCACCACAACATTTTGTAATAGCCGAGACCTCCCTATCCTCCTCTGTATATTCACGATCACTTTTATCTGTATCCATACTATCATCTCCGCCTTCTGCTTTGGGTTTACCACAATTTGTACATGTTTTACAACTAGAGTTACTCCCCTTTATTCCCCCCTGTCCACTGGCCACACTTTTGGTTGTCAGTGGAGATTTCTTACAAGCTGTTGAATGTTTCTGTAATTGTTCACTACTTGCGAAACAGCCCGAGTCACGACTAACTTTAGGTGTAGGTGATGGTTTATTGGCCATGTTAGAAGGAGAAAGACTACATGGTGTATCGGATGCAGCACCAGAGTTATCACTCTTTACATGACTATCAGACGTGTCTGTTGCTGAAAAGAGGAAAGAAAATGTCATAAATACTTTGGCCATGGAATAAAAAATACTTGTTAATTTCAGCATAATACTACTTATTGTATTAAAAACCCAATTGCACAGGTGTTTTCAGCATGCCTTTTTGTCACTGTATTGACCCTTGAAGACTTGAACTGAAGACCTACAATATGTAGCATATTGCATCATCTGTCTAAGATTTCAGTGGTATTTTTAGATAAAAGTTTGCATATGGTCGGTGAAGTGTCAAAAGGGTGTATTAGTCAAATACACTTTTTTGCATTTTTAAAACCTCTCAATTAATGTGCACATTTCTGTCTAAGCTGTGTATCTCTACGCCAATTAGAACTGTTCTGGGTATCACGTGTCCTAATGTTGTATCTTGATTTGTGGAAATTTTGAAATGCAAAAAGTTCTATTTCTTAATCTTTAGAAATACTTAGATACACCCTTTTGACACTTCACCGACGATATGTAAATCAAATTGCCAGACTAAAGAAATGGCCAATATTTATCTTGAGAAATGAATGCCAACTTTGCTTCAAGTGATGTAACTTATGACGTCAAAAATTGTGATCTATAATTGTTTACATGTCCTGAGTGACATGATAAATGCAAAATAGTATCAGAAATGGTGGGTAGAGACAATATTTCCCATTGTGTATACACAGACAGCCAATTACCATACAGTCAATTTATGGCACTTTGTCTAGACTAATTATATCAGTCGAACTAAACGAAACAGGGTATTACATCCAACTATGTAGTAGTCGGAAGCCGAGACAATTTAGTCTGAAGTTCTCAACAACCTCACATGCGAACTGAATATTTGTATTTCTTTGGAAATTATTACAGAGCTTCAAACAAACGGACAGGTCTTTCACAATAATATATCCAAGATGGCTCCTTTAACAAAATGAAATGAAATGGAATGGGGTTTAACGTCCTACTGTTCTGCTCCTATACTGGGCTAACGAAGACGGGCATACGCCATACAGTGTGCTATGAGGGAAATTTCGCCCGGGCAGTGGCACTATCGCCTATCAAATTCCAACTGCCAGGAGATCTTTCACGTGCATTCCAATATATACACGGAACCTCGGTTTTTCGTCTCATCCAAAGGACTAGACAGCTGTCCTTGTCAGGCCCTCCGTCCTGCATCACTGACAAGTGGAAACCACGCCGGAAAATCTGGATGAACTTTCTCGGCCAATGCAGGGATCGAACACCTGACCTCCAGGCTAGGGCTCCTTTAACAAGTCCATCCACTGGCCTATTGGAATTAATTAAGTCTAAACAGAATTTTTTAATCAAATTACATTATTAAAAGACTACCTTCTACCTTTGGTTTACAATATCAAAGATATTGCTCTCAAGTACTGACAGTTTCAGCATAAGGCAGATTATGCTCTCCTAACATTTGATACCTCTTCCCATTTATTTGGAAAGTTCACATAGCTAACGATTTTTGACGTACTTTGGTATTAAACTACTTACAGTCAAAGTCAAGAAGTAATTCAGCAGCAGTCAGTAATTTAGCTCGTTGCTCGGGATCAGAAATATTCAATATATTTAAATCTTCTTCATCTATCTCCGAAAATATCTCCAGTTGATCATAGCCATTGAGTAATAATAAACTTGTTAAATGCTGTAATAAAAATAAAATATAATTTGCAGGAATAAGTGACATGGGAATAATCCTACTTTCTTGAAAACGTTGAAAGAATACTCTTCGAAACACCACCCAAATAAATTAGCAATTGTTTTAAAGTTTATTGACAGACGGATACTGATATTAACTCATTGTCAACAAGTCAATGAACGTCTCCCTCAAGTTTGTGTGACCATGAAAATATCTTGAGAGACTGTAATGTATCATGAAACTATCGTTATTAGTATAAAGTGCCTGCAACATTAAAATTACCTATTCTATTCGACATTCGCCTTCATTTTGTCAATTTTGCAGTCAGAAAATGAAATCTAAACCAACCATTCAAATGAAAATAAATAATAAATCATACCTCTAAACCAATCCTCTGCATTAGTTCTTCTACAGACTTTGGTTTGGATTTTTTAGAATTCTTGCGTCTCGGATGTTTATCTTTTCGTTGATATAAGGGAGCATCATCAACTATAACTTCTACATTACAGAAATGAAAGTTTCCAACTTGACCTTTAAGCGCACCTCTCCATACACCAGATTGAGCCATATTAATAATATGTATTATATCACCTTTCTATAATAATAATATACACTACATATTAATAATATGTATTATATCACCTGTTTTGTATAATATACATTACATATTAATAATATCACATTTCTATAATAATAATTTACATTACATATTAGCTTCAAATATCAAAAGATATTCACTTTCAACACTAAAAATACATCAAACAAAATAAAAGAATTGAACAATAACTTTAAGACTAGAATTTCATTTGTTAGTCATTTTTATACCCATCTTAATCACCTGTATTCTGGAAATCCTAATAAGTCAAATTTTGGTGAACATTGAATTAGACCCATATTTGGATTTGATATAAAATATAGGTATTTCTCCTTCACTGAAAAGGCTTCTAATTATCTTCATCTTATAAATAGCCAAAATAAAATTTGTTTTATATTCGGTAGCTTAATACTGAAACAAAACAGTTTTCCTTTGTTTTCTCAAAACTGCATTCAACAGACTTACTAGGTTTTTCCAGAAAGTGACGTGTAGGCCTACATAAATTGTACAGTAAAATATTCGAATTATGTGAAAGTAAATCTTATGAGTCTTTGTAAAACAGAACCCAGGACAAGATTCTTACAATGTTCATCATAACAGCATACAGAATTTTGTCAACCATTCTCCACCGTAGTACCTGCAACTTGTTATGAAATCACCCAAGTACAACTACACTAAGTGTATTGTACATAGTCACATGACAACTTATTACTTACTTCAATATGTAGAAAGTCTACTTCTTCTTCACTTGGTTGAAATGATTTTGTAACCCAGGCTTTACCTAGAAATGGACCTGAATAAACAGCCGGTTCACCAGATGGCTGAAAACATCCATATAAGGGCATCTGACTACATGCTGCTGGAGCTGAAATAAAAAGATAATTGATTCAACTACACTGACAAAGATTCACAAACATCTTGAGCTCAGAACATTACATATCATTATCTCGAAAAGTATCGCCCAAGATGACAATTTAGACTTGATCTTTTGAGATGGTAATTATCTTCATTTATCTACAGAACATATAATCAAGACATGTGATTCCTGGCAGTCTACAAGACATTTTGAGAAATAAATATAGCAGATGTTCTCCTCTTTTTAGGTCTGTTCAAATAAATGACACCAGAAAAAGTTGATGGCTGACATAACTTCAAATAGTTTTATTTTCGATGATGGTAAGTCAATCTTGGAATTGCTTGGTGTTAGTTTCTCAGACCACCCCTAAAGATATTAACATGTGGAATCAATTAAAACGAATGGAGTAAAGTTTTTTTTCTATTTGTAGGGTAACTACAGACTAGACTTATTGATGTACCCTAGAGCTCTTTGGAAATCTTAAACTGATTTCTCAATATTCTTTACAAGTTTGAGTAAGAAGCAGCTTAAAAAAACAAACACCTATTTTATTTGAAACTAAACATAGCCAGAGACAATCAAAATATAGATTTACATATTTCAACATGTGATGTCGATATACCTACATACCTGGTGGCGGCATATAGCCTCCCTGTGATGTTGTTCGTAATAATGGTGGTCGACTGACGTTCATTAACTGTGTATTATTACATGTTGCCTGAAAGAAATGAGTTACAGGTTTACAGAAAGAGACATATTTTGAAGAATTAAAATGTATGCATTTAAAGTCTACAATTAATTTCAAGAAAACAGCAGTTGGAAGATACCTGAATGTCGAGAGAAAACCTGTAACTTATGACAGCCACCCTACTCAGTGTCTCACCGCTTGCATAGTTAACAATCCTGAGATGAGTAGTCCAACACATTAAACCACCAAACCTTATTTATAAATTGTATAACCACCAAACCTTATTTATAAATTGTATAACCACCAAACCTTATTTATAAATTGTATATGAGAGAGAGAGAGAGAGAGAGAGAGAGAGAGAGAGAGTTTAAGGTCCAAGACACAAACTAGATCATTTTGGGACTAACACATGATTCAATTTTATTTCAATAATTTGTTGCGCATAGGGGTTTTTAGCAGTGGGAGGAAACCGGAGGACCCAGAGAAAACCCATGAGGTTGGACAGGCGACCCTACTCCTTGTCACGTACAACCGGGGAATCGAAACCACACCAGTTGACTCAATGACAGACTTTATGACACAAGGCACACCTGCTAACCATTCAGCCATCCAAACCTTATTTATAAATTGTATATAATAGAAGTAATTGTTTACCTGTATGTTTTGTACATTATGTGTATGTTGAGGTCTTTCATCTTTATTCTTCATTACCTTCTTCTTTAATTCAAATCTCATTTCACGCAGACGTCCACCTAATTTATTTCGATCTCTACTCCATGCACCTAATAAATGCTGAAAATATCATAAAATAAGATTTTAAAAAAACTCTAAATAAACAAAATCTTCATTATTATATACTGGTTGTTATTAGAAAAACATGTCTTTAAAAATCAGATTTAAATAAGTTATTAATTCCCCACAACCGCATCCGTTTTTAAAATCTTATAATGTAGTAAACTCACAGCATTATCATGTTCATCATTTTCAGAAGATATACCATCATCACCTGTACTGTAACTAGCACTTCTATGCCACTGTAAATATAGCAATTAAACATACATTAGATAAAAGAGCTGGCAGTTCTCATTATAATAGTTAAAATCTAGATAATGTAAAGGGAATTTGCTAAAAACTTCAGTCAAATTGATCCACTGTGAACCAAGATTTTAGCGATTGAATTTTCAGCCTAGCCAACTTAAGTTGGTACGATAAAAAACATAGTCTTGATTATCCATTTCTTGATTAAATCATGAATGAATGTTGGACAGCAAATTGGGTCCTAATCCAGTAAATATCGCAGGCTAGCAATGACATCGAGAGTTGATTATGGTCTGGATAAGTTAATTAATGTCTATTTAATAATTTAGATAACATTTCAGGCCTAAAGAAAGACCTGAAATAGGCAGATTTAGCACTTGCATAATGTACGTTTAACATCATTTATCACCCAATAACACATTATTCAGTAGATATCACTTGTGTGATAACTTTCATATTCTACTGTGCGATATCTCTTAGGGATACCACTTTCCATGAATTTAATTGGTCAATTAAACAGGATTTATCTATTTGTGTGTGTAAGGGTTGGTTGATAATTGAAATCTTCTACTCATTATTTTTGACATAAAATAATATTAACACTCGTCAATAAAGATAAAAAAACAATCGCCACAGCTCCGTTTTTTTTCACATTATTGACTTTTGTTGATATATTTTGATATCAATAAAGACGAGTAGGAGATTCTCTATACACCAATATTCTCTCATCTATACTAATAATATAATCTTCTGTAGCCTACATTAAAAAGCTACCCCTACTGAACATTCTAGAAATCTCCCCCGAGACATTCCATGACAAATTATGCATCTACTAAATATACAAATATCTCCACCAATCACCACAGCTGAAACATGTTCATCATGTCTGATTACTGTGAAAGAATTTGAATCTACGTCACTCGAGTGCAATTCTGTCAAGTTGGAAGAATCCTGATTGACAATAGAGCACTTTCCCATTATCGAAGTTGTGACAATGATGGATACAATTTTGCAAATGATAGACCCATAAAATTTTAAGTTTTGATATATTTCATTCTTTTGATAAATGTAACAAAAGAAATTTGGCACGACTCCTTTAATTATTTACATTCTATTGCCGGCAATTTTTGAGCAAGAATCCACCCTATGTCATATATATCCATAAATCGTTGCATTCAATTTTCTCCCAAATAAAATCAGCCAGAAATGTCTAAATTGGATCGTTGTAAGTATATAATAAAACTAGATAAAAAGAGATATATATAGATAATTATAGTGTAAAATATTGAGAGTTTTATAGAAATGATTTCAAATCTGAAACTAGACAGTAAGATTTTAAGTCTTCAGCAATCAACCATAATATGACATAGTATGAAAGTCTAGGAAATATAATATATAGCTAAATCAATAGAGTAAATATAGGCAGTATCCTTTCTTCAGGCTTTATTAACAGTATTTAATGTGTCTATCTGGTAACTAGGGAGAAAGACATGTAAGTAAAGCTATATAATATGGAGCAAATATTCCCCAGACTTTTTCTCCTGAGATCAATTTAATCACAGAAAGGCTATTTGTCTAGAAATAACGTTACTGGGCTTTATAAATTCTACACAGTCCGCCCATTTTTTTAAAAAAATATCTATTAATCCACATAAATAGAGTGAAACAAATGTGCAAACATTAGTTTCAAAAGACCAAGAAATACAATGTTAAATATAGATTTTTTGACTGTAAAGAAATTAAGTGTAATTATGTTATTAAGGTATGAAAGGTAGATTTGGTGGCCCAGTGTTCTATATGTTGATTGCAGAACATCATTTTGTCATGAATATTATGTTGGAAAGGAAAGAAACATATTTAACATCTTGTCAACACAATATTAAATCATTTCGCACTCATTGCGTGACTAATATACAGTTATTTATTTCTATACTAGGGAGTAAAGCTCTGCCAAGACAAAAGCTCAACAGCATTTCTGCCAACTGCCATAGGTTCTCTTTTACACGCACAATAATGTGGACATCATGTTTTCGTCCCAGTCAAACAACATGGCAATACTTTTCATGTCACTCCTGCAGGTGCTACTTATTGCAAATATTAAAGATGGGTTCCCAGAAAAGTATTTATCGGGTGGTTATTTCCAATAAAAGTATGGTAATTTTGGTATATATGGAAAGTAGAGATATCCAATCTTACTAGACAAATACTGAACACTCATGGAGCGTATACAGGACAAAAATGTAAGGGTTCCCCTAATCAACAGCCTGACGATAAGGAATTTGTGCACGCGTGATGTCAAAGGTCACACGCGAACATTGAGCGCTTGATGTACAAGTTGATAAACTTTATGAAGAGTTAGACGTACAACACTTTCTGAGATAAAAATGACGGAAAAAGACGCGGGTGGTGGATAATCCAAGAATTTAATTAGGATTCAATATTTGTAATAAATAGTAAGCGATTAAAGACAACATCGTCTTATGTATACAATTTATTCTCCTCTGACTTCCAAGAGAGGTAAGTCACGTGACGTAAACATGACCTGGTTTGATCTACTTTTTATAGCAGGACATTCCTTCGCAATTACAATGTTTGAGGAGGATTTCAAGCAAAGTTATGACAAATTAATTAGTTTGAATATGTTTTTAGTCCATATATATCATTAAATCACCCAGTTTTTACGCGGGAACCCATCTTTAACCAGTAAGGAGTAATAAATTCTGCTTAATCCACACAGGTTTTTTTTCTAGTTTTTACCTACTGTTAAATAAAACTAAATTAAATCAATATCTCATTACCCCAGGTAAAATACAATCATAGTTACCTTTTGACCTTTACCCTTTACACCCAATTCTTGTTTCTTTCGTCCAATGGCTGGTGAATTATCTGAGCTCATAGAAACAGTTGAGTTACTACAATAGTTTGTATCATCATTACGTGATGTCAGAACTTCTGATTTCAATAGTCCATGTTGGCTACACTCCATAGAATGATCCGACTCAGATGACAGCAGAGAAGTTCTTGATGTTGTTTTATGCATAAAATCTTTTGATTTACCAGAGAGTCTTTCTTTTATTGCCTCCATTCCTTGAGGTATTGACGGTTGCATAATTTTTGGTGAGTGAGCTAAGATAGGAGAGTACAGGCGATTGTGAGCGGGAGATTGTCTCCCTTGTTCAGGCATATTGATGGAAGTTATCGCAATATTTGGATTACGAGACGGTGAACAGGACATTGCACGAGTAAACAAGGGCGAATGAACATGATGGGGAAATTCAATATGTCCTACACTATGAACTCGTTTATGTCTACAACACACGTAGAGTTGATTATCAGGGTCGTCATTTATTATATGTTGATTATCTTCTTGTTCTTCTGCCAATATAACATGTTGACATATATGACATCTAGGACCAGCATCTGAAATTACATACTGATCAATAACAAGTAGGCCCAGGTGAAATATTTAATACAAATAAATTCTCCTTGCCTATGCAACATGAAAAATGATTCCAAATCAATGAACAATTTATATGCAAGACACTAAACAATCTGAAAATAAAATCAATTTGTTCAATAGGAAAACTATTTTATTGTATCTTTCACATGTTCAAGCTAATGTTATTACATGTAGTCCTCTGGTATATCTTCGCTTCTGGCATGTAATTTATTGACAGTTGATAGAAAGGAGAAATATTGTCAATACACATGGAATTCTGAAATGTAATAATTTGCAACACTTTCTGTGGTCTTGACATTTTTAAGTTTAAGTTTTCACCAAGAGAATATCACATGTAGTGTTGATTTAATATTTAAACTATGTATTTACCGGCATATATAGCAGATTGCGATTTCATTGGTTTTGAGCCAGGATTCTTCTTTTTCTTTGATGAAGGATTATTGGGATATCCACCCTAAAAATAGTTATAACAAGGTAAGTGCTTCAGTCTAATGGTGATGTTTGAACATAACTGACCAAAAACACATGTTTAGACATTTATTCACATGACAAGCCTATAATCAACACTCTAGACCATCGGATGGCGGAGATTTAAACAGATTAAAACATGGTCGCCATTTAATGGGTTAAGAATAAAGTCATTTGAATGATATTTTCAATATATTCATTTTACATTATCTATATTGGAACTATTATTATAGCAAGAACAGTCAGCTCTTTATCTAAATCTTACATAATGCATCTTTAATATTGGTTTAATCATCTATTTATTTCACTTATCAGTAACAAGTTATTACAAAATTCCACATTTACAATCATTGATTTGATAACAAGCTGAAGCTTACGTTACCTTGTATCTCCCTCCCACTGCCATACATGTAAGTACTAAGTACTATTAATACTAATCCAGCAAATTTAGAAAGAAAGAAACATTGCTGGAATTTTAGAAAATGTCTTCAATTATAATTTTAAAGGCACGAAGAATCAATTTAAATTAAATGTCAACTTATTTTTTAAAAAAAAAACCCAACCCAAAACGCTCAGTTAATTTCAAAATTATGATAAAAGTATAATGACATTGTCAAGCAACCTGATGCAATAATTATTACAACTTTCTTAATTAAGATCCTCAAATAAACTTCAATGATTGAATGAATGACTAAGTCAATTGATAGAAACTGGACTTCATTAAAGAAGTGTTGACAGAAGAAGAGTTGGGTTATTCTCCAGTCAGTAATGTCAATAGAGATTGATAATTAAAAAGATTGAAGTTAGAATTAAGAAAAGATAAGGCATGACTGTTGCTGCTATAATTAAGTTGATAAAAGTCACATGATAGACAAAGATAGGTCGCCAGACAACGAAACATACGACCACAGCAGCTTAATCGTCCGAGCACATCTTTAGTCCTTAAAGCATTCACAAGGTTCAACAAAGTGAAACAAGGGCCATAACTCTAGCAGTAATTAACGGAAATTGCTGAAATTCAATAGACTTCTTCGGTTTACTAATCTAAATAACGCATATGAATTTCATGCAGATAGGATGATAACTATAGCGTTCACAGGGTTCAACAAAGTGAAACAAGGGCCATAACTCTAGAAGTAATTAACAGAAATTTTTGATATTCAGTATACTGTTTCGTTCTACTGATCTAAATAATGCATATAAATTTCTTACAGATCATATGATAATTCTTTTTGATACAGCGTTCACAAGGTTCAACAAAGTAAAACAAGCCCGGCCATAATTCTAGAAGTTACTTACATAAATTAAATAGGATTCTTCATTGTATTAATTCGAATAACACATGCAAATTTAATACAGATTTGATGATAACTTTTGCCGATAGATTGTTTACAAGGTCCAATAAAGTGAAACAAGGGCCTTAACTCTAGAAGTTATAAACAGGAATTACTGAAATTCATTATTCTTCTTCGTTTTACTAATCTAAATAAAGCATGTAAATTTAATGCAGATGATAACTTTAGTTGTTTGAGCATTGACAAGGTTCTACAAAAGTGAAATAAGGACCATAACTCTAGAAGTAATTAACGGAAATTGTTGAAATGTCAATACTGCTCGTTTTCGTTTTATTATATTTATTGACTGGTTTTAGAAAAAAAAAAAAAACATTATTATCACAATTTAGTGCCTTTCCCCCCCAAAACCTATACTATTCTTACAAAAGAAATATCTATCATGCTAATAATCCATATTTGCTTTAATCCCGCTCATCTTGAATTTTTAATGGCAAGAAAATACCCAATATTTCATTTATAATAAAAATATGGCATCATATTGAAACCTACTGGTAACCATAGCAACCATAAAGCTAAACTACAAATATGCAAAAATTACATAAGTCATATATAATGGATATACCGGTACATCTGCAATTTTACAGTTGTGGTCGCATTCATATTCAAGGTATGCATAGTTTTTCACAACAGGGTCTAAAGCTTGATTTGTACTGAATATTTGCATAGTCGTCTATGGGTATGAAGTGGTTAGCTCAGGAAGGGTTAATATTGTTTCTACTAAAAAAAATGCCTGGCAAAAACTGTCATTGCAATAGCTTTCCATCCCCACACCTTCATTGTAGAACAACTAGTTTTTCCAATGAAACCTATTATTTCTCTTAAACAAATTAGTCATAATAAGCTATACATCCCAATACACCACTTATCTGGTTAATGCAGACAAAACAATTAGCAGTTTAAAATAAAAGCCTAGTAGGAGGGCTTCAACTGATTGTCTGTGGAAGCAGAAGTTAAACCAACAAGAGACAGACAGTTTTCACTGACAATTCTGAACCTAGTTTGTAACTAGCTTCTCTCCCAATAAAATTGTCGAACTTATTTGTTTGCTTTAAGGTTGCCAAACGCAAATGTACTATTGTTTATTTACCATATTTTCTTTGCCTTCAATATCCACCAATGATCCATTGGAATCTCGTAATCTCTCATCTTCAAACCTTCTTACCTAACAACAAAAGTTAAAAAAACATTTCAATGTCTTTCAAATAGTCTCTATAATATTACTATGACTAAAAGATATCAGACTGATAGACTCAAACAGCAGCTAAATCATCTGATCAGTCAACAAGGGTTGTCACATATTTATGCTTTAGTTTGAAATGGGAGCATTTACAAGACACTGATATCAATTTCATACAAATCGAATGTTCACAAGGTTCAACAAAGTAAAACAAGGGTGATAACTGTAGAAGTTAATAACAGAAATTGTTGAAATTCAACAATAATGCATTTAAGTTTAATACAGATCAGATGATAAGTTTTGTCATAAGGAGTCTTCACAAGGGGGTCAACAAAGTGAAACAAGGGCCATAACTCTAGAAGTAATTAACCGAAACTGTTGAAATTCAACAGGATTATTCATTTACTGATCTAAATAACAGATATAAATTTCAGACAGATCGGGTGATAGTTGTTGTCGACTGAGTGTTCAAATGGTTCAACAACGTGAAACCAGGGCCATAAATCTAGAAGCAGTTAACGGAAATTGTTGAAATTCAATATCCATCTTCGTTTTAGTGATCTTAATAATGCATATAATTTCATATATATCGAATGATAACTTTTATTGATTCACAATGTTCAACAAAGTGAAACATGGACCATAACTCTTGAAGTATGTCATTATGTAATGGAAATTGTTGAAATTCAATAGGCTTAGACTTTTTAATGCATATAAATTTAGTCCGTAGAGTGTTCACAAGATATTGTTGATGACGGACGGACGGACGGACCGACTGCCGCGACGACAATATATGACCATATTTCCATGTGAGCGTATAAAAGTGAATGACAATGCATGTTGATTTAAATGCATTTTACTGCTATTCCTAGTACAATAAACTGTTTAGTATAGTAATAATATGACTCTTCAAATAAATTGTCATTTTTAGGAGAACAGAAATAAATACTAATAATTGAGCCTAAAGTGCTTCATAGGTACAAGTCGTGACATGGATCATGCATGATGCAGGGTATGTTTACACCTTCTAGAAATTCTGATACCTTTGAGCCCTCTGGAAGGTTTACCTAAATAAAAAAAATTTCAACCACAGATTTTGGCTATCATGCTTTACATTTTTAATTTCATAAAGAGAGAGAGAGAGAAATGAGGTTTAACGTCCACTTGACACAAACTAGGTCATTTCAGAACTAACACTTGGTTCAATTTTATTTCTATAATACGAATATTACAAATTTGTAAACTTGACCATAATCCTCTTCTCATTTTATATCTCATTTCTGATAAATTAGTTAGCAAGAGAGAGAGAAATGGGGTTTAACTTCCACTTGACACAAACTAGATCACTTCGAAACTAACACATGGTTCAATTTTATTTTAGTAATTCGTTTGCGTGTAGGGGTCTTTAGCCGTGAGAGGAAACCGGAGGACCTGGAGAAAACCCACGAGGTTGGACAGACAACCCTACTCCTTGTCACATACAACCAGAGAATCGAAACCACAGCATTTGACTCAATGACAGACCATATGATACAGAGCGCACGCACTAACCATTTGGCCATCCAACCCCCCTTTAATGTCGTAAAGAGATTCGTCATTCACAGTGACACCTGTGCTGTATGTGTTTGTATGTTTTGCTTCAAACTTGACTGCATTTTGAAGAGAGAATAAGTCTTCTACAGCATTGCAAGAAATGGTAAAAAGATCATAATTCAGCAGTACAACATTACACCTTTTGTCCCACCAAGAAAATACAAGTGACAAATACTGATGGCGCGCTGACAATAGCAGCACTAAGTATTCACTTAGAGACTTTCAGGAATCAAAGTAGCGCCAATTTAGACTATTACTCAATAAATTGACAGTGAACTTATGACACTAGCGGTGTAATTAACTAGGTGACACGAAGCCAATCCTGGTACATGAGTAACAACAGTCCTCACGGTCTCAATTGATGATCTCTTTAGTAAGATGCACAAGTTAATCTGTGTTTCTCTCCACCTTTCTACACTTATTGATTTATAGTTAACTAGCAATCCTTCTCTACAGCATGTCTCTCCCTATCACTAATATACACTCTCCTACTACAATTGTAACGCTGCTAGTCATATTAGTCATATCATGAGTAGAATCCCTAAATCTATTTCCTAGCCAGAAGGCAAGTATCCTGATAACTGGTTTATTTATTCCAATTTCACAATATAGTACATAAAAAGATATCCCAAAGCATCAAAAATTCATTAAAATAGAGAATGTATATCCATTCCTTTCATTAAAAGAAATGTTTAAAATAATGGATGACACAACCCAATGATTTGCTCATTTGAGGCTTTCTGTTTTTTGAGAAAGAAGGACAATTCCTTTGATATCAGTAATTTTGGTTAAATTTGATTAATTTGTTTTGCCAGATGGAAACCTTTGTCAATTAAATATCCATAGAATTACCCAATGCTGACATTAAACTGACTTTGTGTTCAACACTCAAGTTCAATAGTAAAACAACAATCAATTGCCATGCAAAATACGCCCACATTTTGCAAAAGATGGACAGAGAACGAGGTAAATTTATTTTTTTATTTTTTGTACAATCAGGCGCCATAATCGAGGAAGTTACAGTCCAATATGAACAGTCATTTTGTCAGGGAGATTCGGTCCACTTTTCACTTAATTTAAACTCAACCATCATTAGGGTGTAACAGTGATATTTTCAAACGTTTTTTTTAAATTGGATAAAAATTGTGACCTCTGCAGAGACCACAAGCTAAAATGTTTGTGTTATAAACATACATTACAAGTTTCATCAAAATTTGATAAAAATTGTGACCTCTAGAGTGTCTACAAGCTAAAAACATGAATTTTTGTACAATCAGGAGCCATAATCCACAAAGTTTATGTCCGATACATGCCAAACCGCCAAACCAAAAGGAACAAGATCTTTGGGAGTTAAACCTATATTTCAAGTTTCGTCAAAATCAGATAAAAATTGTAACCTGTAGAGTATCGTATAATGTGGGAGTATAAAAATAAGACAGAATTCAAAATATTCTGCCAACCTTAAAAGCAGATCAACTAAATAGAATGCTTTGAATTTGCACAGGTCAGGGTTTTTTGGAATGAGGGGAAGGTGGGGAGCAATAGAGAGGGAGGGATGTATTCGTCAAGGAAGTTCCTCAGGGTTGTTCAGAGTGGTTTCCTCTTGTCAGTGGTGCAAGACAGAGGAGATTTTTTGTACATGGCATGCATATAAAAGAACCCTAGAAAATTGTAATTTGTTGAAGAGTAAGACAGAAGCATGGTGTATACCCAATAACTCACCACAAAAGGGGTAAATATTTGATTATTTTTTCCGTTACTTTAACATGTGTGGATAAAACGGAGTACTTGACCTGTCCTTAATTAATCAAACAAGTTCTGCTCCCTTAATTCTATATTTCATCGTTTAAATGAAAGGAATAAGAATGTAGCCAGGACGAGTTTAATCATCTCATAATTCATTGAGACACTAGAAATCGTAAATCCTCATTCAAACAAGATAAGCCCTTTTCATTATAGGTTTAATCCATTTAGATAATATTTCACATACATCTCTGTCACTAAGAAAACCTGAACAAGATACCAAGCGGATGTTTTTACAAAGCAGAAATATTTATATGACATCATGCACCTTGTACAGAGACATTAACCTTATTGTGTGCTCATCAGATTAAAACTGTTTTAACTCGAAATAAATTAACCTTGTGAAGCAGGTCGGTAAACATGTGCAACTGTTTTTTCTCATGAAGTAAGCAATGCTGTGAGAAATGCAAGCTTAAATTGGAAGTCATTTAATCTAAGTAGCAGTGAGTAAATTTACATTAGATAAATGGGAAGAAACAGAGGGGGTTAGTATCTCGTATCTTTATTTATATAAATAATACTAAATGTCAAATTAAAAACATTAATGTAACAGCTAGGTTCTTAAAATAGCTTGAATTAAATTACAAATAACTTTCTAATTCATAAATAAAATTAATTTTATCTCAGAAATATCACTGGAACGACTTTTATATATTCCACTGACACTGTGTTATAATCCATTGACAATTATCATGGGAAAAAAACCCAAACTGGTTATTGTGCTACTTTAAATAAACTGAAGACTAAAAAACAGAGATTATTACTGGACAAATATAGGGTTCAAGTGATAAGAATGGAATAGGCTTTCATGTCTTGTCAACATAATACTTCTGTTATTTTCAGATAAACATGGTTATTCTTATTTCTGTGACTAAGTGAGCATGCAAGGTGGGAGAATTTTGCCTGGAGAGCATTGTTTCCGTTACTCTTAGTAGATTTCGACCGCCAACAGTTCTTTTTATGTGAACAGACTTGGACCTAGGATTTATCCTACTGAATGAGCGAAGAGTTAACGATTTCTTTCTAAAAATTGCCATACCATTACATTAATGTGATTTCAAGGTGTGTTTGACAGTTTGGTTTCCAAATTTGGACTCCTTATTTACATTAATGATGCTTCACGCTAGAGAGTTGGTATTTGTCATCCTGGAGTTCAGAGTTATATAAGATACTGGAACGAGGTCTTGAGTTTAAATTGTCCAGAAAGAAAAACAGTTAGAGATAGATGTCTATCAAATATGGCTAAACAAATGATTGTCAAATATTTCATACCCTCACTCTAACACTGTCGGTTGCCAAAGTCGCAATTTGCGATAAAAATATGTAAGTGGCGATTAAAATTTGATTTTGGCTATAATTTTGGCAATAATGTTTTGCGGCACTGGCGATTCTTTTTGGGAACTGGCGGAAAAAAAATTTCAAATTCTAATCATATTTATCCTGGATTAACCATTATTAAGTGTCAATCACACGGATGGATACCTTAAATTAATCAACTGGCTGAAAATCCGGATCACGTCAATGAGTAATACCAATCAGTTGTCTTAGATTAATGATTAGTTGATTAAAGATACATTATGGGAGATAAGATAAAGAGATGGCAGTTCTCGCTATAATAGTTAAAAACTAGATAGTGTAAAGGTAATTTGCTGAAAATTTCAGTAAAATTGATCCACTATGAGCCGAGAAAGAAGCCGGTGAAATTTTTGCATAGTCTCGATTATCATTACTAAAATCATTAATATAAACAGCATAGTCTCGATTATCCACTTTTTCTGATTTAATTATCTTTGGCCGTTAGCGGCATATAGGAATCTAATCCAGTCTACATCGAAGGCTAGCCTTGACATCGAGAGTTTATTATGGTCTGGATAAGTTAATTAATGTCTAATTGATAATTTAGATAACATTTCAGGCCTAAAGAAAGACTTGTAATAAGCAGATTTTGCTCTTGCATAATGCATGTTTAATAATTGCCAATGACATATATATTAAAGATACATTATGGGAGATTCGATAACGAGTTGGCAGTTCTCACTATAATAATTAAAAACTAGATAATGAAAAGGCAATTTGCTGAAAATTTCATTCAAATTGATCCACTACGAACCGAGAACTAAGCGAATAAAATTTCTGCCTAGCCTCGGTCATCATTACGATAAACCGCATAGTCTCGATTATCCATTTAATCGTTTAATGGAGAAGGAAAGTTATGCAGTAAATCGGCTCACAATCCACTAAAGATCGAAGGCTAGCGATGCCATCTAGAGTTGATTATGGTCTGGATAGGTTAATTAATGTATAATTTATAATTTAGATAACATTTCAGGCCTAAAGAAAGACTTGTAATAAGCAGATTTTGCTCTTGCATAATGCATGTTTAAGTAATATATTCCCATTTACCATTCTGAATCAAAACATATAAAATACAAGCCAACAGAGAGGCTGATGTCCCCCGCCGAAATCCCAAAATAAATATAGATGACACATATTAATTAATCACACATTTATTTTTTTCAAAAGTATCAAGCAATCAAATTATACACTAAGTTTCATCACTCTCTATCAGATAGAATCAAGATTATCTTGTCCCAAAGCATCGTCCAATGAATATTAATTAGCTCTGCTTAGCTTCAGCTCGAAATGTTAATCACTGAAATCAGTCAAGATATTCACCTAGTGAACATCTACATCAAGTTTAAATATTCTACCTCAATTAAAAGCAGAGTTGTTATGTTCCAAATTCTTGACCAATCAAATTCCTTATCGCTCCTTAGCCTAAGCAGAAAATTCTCATCAACAAACTTAGTCAAGGTAATGATATAGTGAATCTATACTCAGAGTTTCATCACTCTCACTTTAATTAAAACCAAAGTTATCGTGCCCCAAAGCATGAACCAATCAGATTTCTTATCTCTGCTTACCGTAAGCATATCTGCTTATCTCTGCTTACCGTAAGCAGACAATGTTTATCATCGAACTCCATCAAGGCATTCATCTAATAGGCACCTACATCAAGTGTGAACATTCTAACTCATTTAGAAGTAGAGTTATTGTGTTCCAAAGTCTCGACCAATCAAATTGCTTATCGCTCTGCTTACCCTGAGCACAAAATGCTCATTATCGAACTTAGTCAGGGTATTGATGTAATGAAACTATACACCAAGTTTCATTACTCTCACTTAATTAGAACTAAAGTTATCGTTTCCCAAAGCATCAACAAATCAAATTGCTTATCTCTGCTAATCTAAGCAAAAAATGCTCATCTTTGAACTCCATCAAAGCATTGACCTAATAAACATATACACCAGGTTTGAACATTCTAGCTCAATTAATAGGAGAGTTATTGTGTTTCAAAGTCTCAGCCAATCAAGTTTAAACATTCTACCTCAATTAGAATCAATTAGAAGCAGAGTTGTTATGTTCTAAAGTTTTGACCAATCAAAATGCTTATTGCCCCTTAGCCTAAGCAGACAATACTCATCATCGAACTTAGTCAAGGTATTGATGTAATGAAACTATACACCAAGTTTCATCACTCTCACTTAATTAGAACTAAAGTTATCATGTCCCAAAGCATCAACCAATCAAATTGCCTATCTCTGCTTACCCTAAGCAGAAAATGCTTATCTTCGAACTCCATCAAGGCATTGACCTAATAAATACCTACATCAAGTTTGAACATTCTAACTCAATTAGAAAGAGAGTTATTGTGTCCCAAAAAGTGTGACGGACAGACGGACAGACAGACGGACGAACCCATTTTAATAGTCCCCTGCTTTCTTCGAAAGGCGGGGGACAATAAAAATAAATGCCTATCACATCAGATTTAAAGGTACTGGAATTCCTTAAAATAGTTTGTACTCGATCAAAAAGAGTAAATACTTACCACTTCAAGAGCTGTCTCGGTGCTGATTTTCCCCTCTTTTACCATAACCATGAGGGCAATTCTCTCCTCATCACTCATAGTTATATCAAATGCATTAGGGTCACCTGACACAGAAAATTGATCTCGCTTTATCTTGGGGTCACCTGTCAGAAAAAAAACTTGTGTGTCCATTTAATGTCCAGTATGAGGGTTAGTTACCTTTAAAAGTTAGCGTCATGCTGTCGTATCACCCATAGGAAGAATATTAGAAAGTCTAAAAGGGGTATTAATAGGTGTTTAGTAGGAATATTAACAGAGCGGGAAGAAACATGCAATTTAGTCAGCCATATTATGAAAGATACAGAACCCAGTCCATGTTATAAATGGAGAAATAAATATGGTTTGATTAAATATAAAAGCATTATAAAAGAATATTCATAAATCAAGTACATTTCATACAATAAATAGAACATCATATTAATACATTCATTGAATAAGTTATTTAAAATTTAAAGCAGGATAGAAATTTGCACAAATCAATCGAAGAATCTTATTCTTACAAAGACTTTTCTAATAACCAAAACCTATGCGAAAATTCAGTGTCACTTTTCAGACTTTAAATCACGCAAATATTCAGTAAAGGAACTTCAGCTATTCAATACAAAATTGATTTTCAAACTAATTTGAATAAAAAAAAAAAACATCTTTGAATTCACAAGATGACTGGCAATTTTTTAGACCTGTTTTTTTAAGAAATAAAATTGTTTTCTAGCTCAATGTGGTTCACTGGATTTTTAACTGTGTTTATCATTAAACAGTTTTTGTGAACAGGAAACTAGACCTTAATATCCCACACACTGATCTAAGTGAATCTAGACATCTAAACATTAATGTCAAGTCAACAGCACTATTCATTTTGTCTTATTCAAATAAAACCAATCATAAAAGTCTTATTAAGATCAAAAAAGTCACAAATCAAATAACGTTTCCATTAATCACAGTGAAAACCTTTAAATCATGACTTTAAAAATGGATTCCTCTGGATGTCTGAATTTACCATGTTCACTGTTGTATATTATGTTATCTAATATAGAGTCACAGGAATAGTGATAAATAATGTTATATTATTGACAAGAAATGATCACTAGTCTACCACAGTATATACATAACCAATCAACCTTCCTACACTATCTACTAAATACTTGTCTATTCTATCATCCACAAATGTCTGTAAATTCATTCATTTCAAGACTTTTTTTCAGATGAACGTAAACTGTGGTACTTGAAGCCCACTGACCCGAACTTATAATTCATACAGAATGACTTTCAGGCGCCTTCAAGTACCAGCTTGTGTTGGCTTCCATATATATTTGATTGACAGAGCACCCCGGTTATTATAGAGTAGAGCTATTGCTAAGTAGCAAATATCTAAGAAAGAGTATCAACTAATTGCTGTGTCTGGTGTTATCAATTAGACCTTGCCATTAACATACCTTAAATGTTACAATTGGCTAAAAATTCTCATAGTGTCATTCAAATATGTAAATTAGTGCACACCTGTCTACACAGAAGTACAAATTGAAAACCATAAACTTTAATTCTTTGTGAAATTTGGAAGTTTTTCATTAAAATTTTGTTTATGGCTGAAGTAAAGCATAAAATATGCTATATTTAATTTCACAATCTAGCAATCTGGAAAGCTACTCTATCATTTCTTATCTTTAATTCGAACTTGACATTCTTCAAATCTTATCCTAATTTTAACTTAAAGAAGTTTTTTTTTGTTGTAAAAATTGGGTACCAATTTCCAAAAGTAAGCATTTGTTTAAAATCTTACCGGAATACTGTTTGTAGCAATGCTTCTTTCCTGATCGCCTAATACCAATATTACGTAAGAAACGACTTAATGTAGATGTCTTTTTCTTTCCTTCATCACTGACGCCTTTCGGATCTGAAATTGCATTGAGTGTTATTAATGATAATTGTACGAAGTTTGTGTTATGTAAGAGTATTGGCTCCAAAATATTGATTTCCTATAATATTATCAGTAATCTGTGTACATCATCAAGATAAACACCGCTAGTTATGCACATTAATCATTTATCTCCATATCATTTTATACTATACATTTGTATGAAATGTTCATTGTATGAAAATATTCCAAGATATGCATTGCATCAATCATGTACTAAAAGATGCATTTTATACAAGATTTAGATAAAAGAGCTGACAGTTTTTGCTATAATAGTTTAAAAATAGATAATGAAAAAGGAATATATTGAAATTTTCAGTCAAATTACTTTATTCTGAGCGGAGATATGAATGATTGTAGATTTAACAAGAATAATGTAGTTTCTATTTTCATTGCTACCATTTTTTATGATAATAAAGTCTTGATTATCCATTACAAATCACGACTATCCAATGGTCATTAAGAACTGCAATAGGCAGATTTAGCTCTTATATAATGCATCTTTAATTTCAGTTAGAACTACCATAGTATTCATGTCTGTCTTACACAGGAATTTACCTCCTTGGAGCATTATATTTGACAAGACTTAATTAAATTTCAAAGACTTAAAATTAATTTAAGAAAATTACAATTATAAAATCATCTCTAAAAGTTAAAGCCAACCGGTTCCAAGCTTATTTGTTAAGCTCTTATACAGTTTCAATTGTTATCACCATTTAATATGAAGTTAAAGTCTCTGAATGTCATTTGAGTCATTTGCAAACTATATTATATGGAAAGCTGAATCTCTAAAAGGAATATTAGTCAAAAAATGGTTTAATTTTATTCAGTATCCATAAAGATATCATGAATTGAAAATTTGTCAGCATTCTGGGGTTTTCTGGTTTGGAAAAATGCTAGGTATGCACATAAATGGACAGTCTATTACAGTCCTTTCACAGTTAAAAAGTAAGTTGGTTGACCATCAGTAAAATTCCTACTGAACAACAGGTCATTTTTTTCCTTGATCTTTAAATCCAATACAGATTGTACATATATATGCAAAATAAGCACAATTAAAAACAAAGATATTTTACTTAATCTAGAAAGCAGGGTTATCTACAAGCAATTACATTGTATTTTTGCTTTGAAAAAACATCATTTACCATTGGGTTATAAAAAATATTTGTATTACATTTATTCTGGAGATTTTCATAAAACAAAATGCAAATCTTGCTTCTTAGTACTAATGGTTGCAAAGTTTGTAAAATTAGATCTGATTGGAGTTTATGACTCTCATGCTACAGTATTTGTAAAATTTGATCTGATTGGAGTTTTTGACTCTCATGCTATTCGTAAAATTAGTTCTGATTGGAGTTTTTGACTCTCGTGCTATTTGTAAAATTAGAGCTGATTGGAGTTTTTGACTCTCATGCTATTTGTAAAATTAGATCTGATCGGATTTTTTGACTCTCATGCTATTCATAAAATTAGATCTGATTGGAGTTTATGACTCTCATGCTATGAGAAAAACCTTGAAGAAATAAGAACAAATATTTGTTACATATTTAGATATAACACAATATAATGGATAAAATAATATTACAGATGTCAGCAATAAATATTAAACCCTCACCATAATATAAACAACAGATATTATAAAAAACGTGAACAGTAAAAACTTGAATATGTCTATTACAATATCTGCAGCAACGGGGAGCCCATAAAACAAATGAAGCATAATTGTTTAGGAGCATTGTTATAATCCATTTAAGATATAAATATTTATAAAGCAGCTACTGACAATATTGGGTATTGTTTTGTCGACAAGAATCTCACTTATCTTACTATCCATGTTTCCATAACAACAGATAATCATTGACACAAATCAACCATATTAGTATATTAAACGAGGATACAGGCTTCTACAATATTATGGACATTATTAGATCATCTATATGAATAAACGAAAATCACCATAGTTGTGGTAGTTTTCTTTTTTCTTCTACTGATTAACCCTCTACAATTTCTCAGCATAAATAAATTTATGGCACTACATGAAAGGCACTACATGAAAGGATTTATCAAAAAATTATATGGAAAAATTTATTAACAGTTAGGTCACCATCACCTTTTCCTTTTTTACCTCAGTAAATTAACCAAAAATTTATTCCAAACACTTGTATTCTGTGCATGATTGATTGACATATTGTAATACAATAGAACCAAAAAAATTTGTTAGCTTTGTGCGAATTCTTCAAATGAGAAGAGGTATCAGGTGTTCTAGAAAGTGTAAGTATATCTTGCCTCATATACGAAAAATGTCATGTTATGAACTGTCGGTACTTGAGACAGATGTATGGGTAGGAAGTCTGTTTTTAATTTCGATTGGATCATTAGCTAATGTTTGGCCAATCACACACAGAATGTAAGGTTTGTAAATTGTGGGAGGAGTTGGGAAGGGAAGATCATATATGAATCAACTAAAAATCTTTTGATTATGGTAACAGTCTTCAAATAACTGTCTATACTGCCAGTATGGTCCTTAATTTCTCTTACTATTTGTGCAGTTCCTTATATTTCAGATAAAGAGCGGTTGTCAAACAACGAAATATCGGCGAACTGGTACGCTGGGTTACTATCTGAATGCATCTTATTTTGAAAAAGAACTATGTAGACATCTGCACCAAAAACCTGATCTAAGTCTTTGCGAGTATTTAAAAAAATATCTCTGAAATTCTATCCCATTAACCGTGTTTTGTGGACAAGGGTAATAACTCCAAAAAATGAACAAATGTCGATGCACAGTTGAGTTATCTCTCAAATGCTTTGAAGTTTACAGCAAATCTAGGGTAAGACAGGGGTAACGACAATATACCAGCAAATTATGAACATCTGAGCTACAAAAACCAAATAACAACCCTGAGCAATTAGTAATAAAATAACATTATCATGCTATCTATTAATAAAGCTTAGGATTAATATTAAAGAAAGTGAAATTGGTAAAATAAGCCAGTTTTAAACAGTGCAGGGTTAATTAATATCAAAATACTGCGGTTAAAATCTACCTGTTTTTATTTTTCTTGAAAAAAGACAACAAACTCCTGTTAAAATATTGACACAGTAAAACATTAAATACAATAATCTAATCATATCTACATATTACTTTTAAGAGAAAAAATAAGAGATTTAGAGAGAACATTAGAAAAGAAGGATATGTACATGAACTTCAAGTGATGTTTCATCTTATGTACTCAGTTATTTCTCTTCTAATGTGCATGTATACTTTGGTGCTAGTTGGCTAGGAATCGTATTGACATGCTTGTTAACCAGACAAATAAGGTCACAAACATCACAGTTGTGCATTCAAATACATTTTTTTTTCTGTTGAGAAGTTAAATAAAAGTTGACACTTTATTTTTGTGTTTTTTGGAAGAAAACATTAATACAATTGATGGTAAGTTATTAGGTTAAGTTGCTATGTTGTTAAACAACAGGTTGAACAAGTTGAAGTGTGTCTCATTAAAAGAAAAGTTGTGAGTGTTATGATGAGTGGTTAAGACTGTAAGAGGAATTATATCTAAGACAGTGTCACTAATCAGTTACTATTAATGTACATGTAAGAGCCTTGTTGGAAGCTTTGTTCTATTAATTTTGTCTAGCCAAGTAACATTATTATCATCTGAGGTGATGCGAGGTCTTACTGGTCTAGTAATATTCTGACAGTTTAATGTCTATCTAATAAGTCATTATTGTCCATGTGGATAGACTGAATCTGTTTTCACATACATTTAACCAAACCACATTGCTACTGTTCTCAAGATCGGCAATCTGCTTGTCTAATACTAATTCGTTAGTAGGACCATTCACAGATAATCGAAAACAAAATGTCATCTTCCAATATCAAGAAGCCGAGCCATGTTTCAGGTAACTTAATGTTAATTTAGAAAATAGTAATCCCAGATTTCATTTGTTTATATCAAGAAGGGGATTGAAATGGTTACTGTGCATAAGGAAAATGACTTTTTGAGAGAATTTTGGTGTTGAAGGTATACTATTCCTTTTCCTTTACCCATTATCAAGTGGGTATTGGCATTAGGAATTGTGATCATGTGGTTCTCAATATTTCATGCGAGTCACTATCTAGACAAATAGTTAATTCAATAATCTCAAATTTTCACATATTACCATTTCCATGGGTTCCATGTCGGCTGTAATGTCTGTAATGTTGTGAAATGAAATGTAATGTTCTGCTCCGAACTGGGCTAATGAAGACGGGCATATGCCATACAGTGTGTTATGAGGTAAATTTTGCCCGGACAGTGGCACTACGGCCTACTCCTATATATCGAATTCCAACTGTCAAGGGATCTTTTACGTGCACGCCAATGTGTACACAGGACCTTGGTTTTTCTTCCCATCCAAACGACTAGACAGCTGTCCTTGTCAGGCCCTCTGTCCTGCATCACTGACAAGGGGGAACCACGCAAGAAAATCTGGATGAACTTTCTCAGAACACCCAACCTCCAGGCTAGCGAACTAGCGTCTTACCCACGTAGTCACTGTGACCCCCCTGTAATGTCGTAAGAGATGGTCTAAAACTGATACATGTGAGAAATACGCTATGGATAATTATTTATTTTTCTTAATTACGAAGTTATTGTATTATCAAGGTTAGTGTGTATTTCAATATGAGGTAGTATTTGTGAGCTACTGGAATAATTTTTCTATGGCCAATTCAGCTCTTTATTTGTCTTTAACCAAATAAGAAATTTTGATAATAAAAGCTATCTAACTAGCCAAAAGGGAACATTTCATTAATAAATAATTATTATATCTACTAATATTTCATTTCTTAGTGCAATATATAATTTTTTGTGTACAACATGCTGACAAAGTGATATAGACATGTGAATTCAAGATACTCTACCATAAATAAACAAGATGAAATATGAATTTAATTTGCAAAGTTTTTGTGTGTTATCAAAATGACCGACAGTGAAAGTTTTGAAGTGAAAGTCCTGGGCCCAGTTTCTCGAAATCTTAACTAAAGATAAAATCCAAATTTTAGTAGATAATTCAATTTTGATTGGCTAAGTACTAAAATCAATCTAATATTATCCAATCAAATTACTAAAATTTGGATATTATCTTAGTTAAAATTTCGTGAAACAGGGCCCTGTTGTGTTCCCTTAAACCTTTTGGTGGTTATTTATTCGTTTCAGAGAATTATGTTAACAACTGAATTGCATAGTGACACCTGATAGGAAATTATAATACTGTTTACAATCGTGTAGGATCATTTCTTGCATAATATACACTTATAACAACTTTTTAAATCTGAACTTCAGCGAACAAACTGATGACCATATTATTTCCAATAATGTGAACATAGCCTTAGTTAGGTGGAAAAATCTATGGAACATTGCAAGCAAGCCATTTCAGTGATGCAGCTGACATTTTCACTATTTAGTCAATGCTGATTTATTATGAATTTTCAATTTGAACAATTTTTTGCATCACTGTGAAACATAATTTACTCTACTCACAGCTGCCTGTAATACAGAAGTAAATTTCTCACACTCCATCTATGCAGCACTAACCTGTCATTTATTTAGACAATTTATCGGTTGGGCAAATATCATTTTAACCCCATCATTTGTCTTTCAAATTAAGTTTTCAAGCTACCTGCCAAACGAGTCAAAGACATAGTTAAAGGGGCATTATCGCTCTGATCAAGAACATAAATGTAATTAATCTTGAATATTAGCACATCAAAAATAACCTTGCATGTCAAAATATAGGAATCTCAGCAATTGTTTGGAATATTGGTCTCAAAGTTTGATTACAATTTTATGTTCACTTCAAAAGTTGAATTTAAAAAAAAAGAAGAAAAAAAAAAGAAAATTACCAAACAGCGAAATCCTCCAAAGTTGTCTCTTTAAAATACACACATATGTCCAGACAAAAATGTGAACCCACAGTAAGGATGTTTTTGTGCAATCTGTCACTTTTTCCTTATCCTGTGATTAAATTTCTGCCTTTCCCGTCAACAGATGTATTGAATGATATAGAGACTGTTTTTACGGCACATTACCTACTATTTTAACTCAGTAATTTTGCACCAACCATATGTGGTTTTTTTCCTTGGCAAATGATATAGCTTATCAAAAAGTGATACAACCATTTAAGTTGAAGGGCTCGAACTGGGTGAGAAGTCTCCCAAACATTTTGAGAAAAACAACCATTCTTATTTAGCATTCAAACCATCTAGGGATATTTTATGAAAGATTTGGAAGGTTTCTCTTTATCCTGATGGGGATATAAATTTCAAACTCAGAGATGATTGGGAAATTAAATCTCAAATTTCCTCAGATTGTTCAGATGACATATGCCATTTACATGTATATCTATGACACGTTCTGATATCATCTGAATTCCACCTTATAGTAATAGTCTTATACAATGCACTCATAGAATTATTCTCTATTCACTTTAACCCTTTGGAAACATAAACATGATTTTTCAGGATACTCAGAATTTATATCTCATAAACCCAACAGGCATACTTGGTTGGTAGGTTCCTGAAATTGTGATCTGCCTACCGATTTCCAGACCAATAGGGATGAAATTCTGAAAACCTAGCATTCTGGGGCTTTTTTTTTGTAAATATCATAGTCACTTTTTGTAGGATGAGTCTTCATTGTAAATATTTAGTTATTCTCAAACTGATCACATACCTCTAAGTTTCAAATGAGATCGTTATACATGTCATGACAATCCATGTGAGAGATATAAGTGAAAATAATATGCTGATATTAATTTTGTTACATTTATCACCCCAGGATAAATTTATTTATTAACAAAATATAATGGGGATGCAGCTCATTTCATGGAATCGGCTTTAATGATGGGACTATTTACCATCAGGAAATTAAAATTTAAAGGGTTAATGTAGTTTTAACATATATTTGAAATATTTCAATCTGATACTTTTAGCTACAACCCCCTAACTATGATATTTGTGTAAAATGATATTTGTTCATTCTGTCAGAGTAAATAAATGAGACTAGTGATAGAGTTTTAATGTAAATAGAGAATTGATAAATGAGGTATAACCTTTAAAACACTCCATTTATCATAAACACTAGATCTTATACATCAGATAAAAACTAATAAGGTTTTTACAAACTCTGACTGTTTATTGTAATTTCAGGGGTTTATTAGTTCTGTCAGTCTGATTAAAATACAGATCTATATACTTTCGATGGCCTACACTACATGAAGATCTGACCAGTTGTACTGGGAGGTTGCAACAGGGGTCATACGAACGACTTTTGCCCGTATGACATCAGTCATTTATTAATCAATCAGTTGACGTTTCTAGGGGTTTACCCACAGATCCGTGCAGAGGACTCCAAGAACTTGCCGTAACAGACCGTTTCATTGGCTTATCTCTCACTTCACCCAAAACGCCTGTTATATAACAACTCTTCCAAATTTTGAAACTATAAAAAAACGAACGAAACAGAATGCGTGTTTTAATCAGATTGTAGTTTTGTCCGTTTATTGTAATTTTAGATGCTTATTAGTTCTCTGAATAAATGATGATCATTTAGCTATTAACACTGAATCAATGAATGGGTGTTTAAGTTCTATTTTTCTGCAACTACCAGGCTAATGAAAACGTATAGTTGGCTATGAGAGGGAAATTTGCCCAGACAGCGAATGAATTTCAACTTTCAAGGCTTTTAATTATGTGTATGCCAACATGTACACAGGACCTCTGGTTTTCACCCATCCAAATAGACACTGTCCTTGGCAGGCTCTCTGTCCTGCACCACTGACAAGGAGAAATCCTAGAGAACTTTCTCAACCACCACTATATGATCAAACACCAGTTCTGCTGGTTAGTGTGCCAGCACCTTACTTGCCGAAACACTGCCTATCCCTTATAACAATGAAGTAACTGACCTAGAAAAACTATATACTCTAAGGAACCTATTGTACACTAAAAAGTATAAAATAAATAACAAACTTAAATATGAATCACACCTTATAAAGTAGAAGTTTTAGTCTCGCCCAAAAACATTATAAATGAGTTTTGGATTGGGCTATAAAACAAGTCAATCCTTCCTGTATCCTGTACACCAATGTTTGAGGTCATAACATGAAAATACATTAATTTAACTCAAAATTATTAAACACACAAAAACATCTGTGTTTAAGCTACATGCATACAACATAGAATATTTTGAAAATAAATATAATAAATACACTTACCACCATCTACAGCAACGTAATTCTGATGAACATAATTATCATGTCTGAAATATACATTATAAACTTTATCATTTAAAATTAACAAGCAAATGTCTTCAGAAATGTGTTCCGAACGTGCCTCCTAAGATTATCTAAACAATAATGACAATTGCCAATTCTTATTGACAGACTTTTTTAAATATCTTATTTTTGGTTTACCAACTGTTTGCTTCAACATGTGCAAAGAAATGGGCATCATCATTGATTAGATTTAAAAAAAAAACCTCCAATTATCTAAAAGTTTCCAAGGGAGAGAGTTTATAATTAGTTTTTAAAATAGTGTTTTACATTAAATTTATGGTCTCTATAGCCAATGTGACAACGCCTACCATGCATGAATAGTTCTCCTCCTGGTAAAATCAGAGCCATTAGTCTGGAGAGTAATTTACAGCCAGGGGTGAAAGATGTTTCACAAAACCTTAAATTTCTGTTTTATTTTGAAATCTGATGCCACCTTGTATCCAGTTCAAATGGGTTTAAACATTTCAGACAGAGAGTAAATTTATAGTTCCAGTCATAATTCAAACAGTTTATTATGACAACAAGTCATCTGCTGTCTGTCTAATGAGTTAAAATAAACAGGCATGACATTGCAGCACCTCTTGTAATGCCACATTAACACCTAATACAAGCATAAAGGTAGAGACTATTTGATATACTAGAATGTTTTTATAAACTGGCAATAATTTGCTCTATTTCATATTGATACATATAAATCCTGGCAGGAATCCATTGGGAATATCAAGTAAGAAATGTATATTATGAAAGAGAATAGCAGGTCTCGCAGCTAGAGAGCCTTGTCTACATCGACTGACAGCCCATTAATCTGACCTACACTATATACTAATCATCTTTGATATTTCCTGAGTATTCTTGTTATGTCAATAATGGATTATATGGTATAATGCACATATCTTTCATGGTATATCATATATCATTCTCTAACTAGATATAGATAAGTACTAATATTTACTACTGGAAGATGGATGAATTGCCAAATGAACTTCCATCAGATAATTATCTAAGTTTTGTTCTATTTTTAAGTTTAAAAGAAATGATTATATTTATACGTTCAACGTAAAAAGTAATTATAGCTCTATGAAGTGAGAAAATACTTCTTCTTCAGAGTAAGTTATTTCTGATTATTTTTTTTTTTAGGAATAGCTGTAAGCTCGTTTGTCAAGAGAAAGGCAATCCCAGCCACCTGGCATTTATTAACAAAAAATACTTAAGTGCAGTAAACATAATTAATAATTGGTGAGCTCTTCTGTAAACAGTAGTGACTTTTAAATCAAAGGTGCCAAATAGAATCTTGTATTCAAATGAACTGAAAGCGGAGTGGTGCGTGGTGGTGTATTTTGGGTTTGGTGGGTGGGGAGTATTTGGTCATTATCTGGAGAATAGGAAATGAAAGAAGGTTTTTTTAACCCTAAAACCTGGCATTTTCAGACCAACATACAATAGTTGTTAAATTCTATGGTAATATGTGCAATTCCAAGAGGACAAGAATTTTTTTCTGATTTAGTTGACCTTTACTAAAAAAAATTTGAACATTAGAAAGATGTTACTTGTGAATCTGAAATTTTCTGTTCACGACCTGTGAAAGCACTTTTAGGAGCCTAAAAGTCGTGTTCACAATTCGGAAATGAAAATGAAATGAAATGAAGTTTAATGCCCTACTTTTCTGTGCCAGCTGGGATAATAAAGGTGGGCATATGCCATGATTTTTTCTCTAATGGAAATGTTACACAGACAGTAGCACTACGTCCTACTCTTATTTCAAATTCCAAATGTTGAGGGTTCTTTTATGTGCCAGCCAACATGTACACAGGACCTCAGTTTTCCATCCCATTCAAATGACTAGACACCATTCCTTCCCAGGCCAACATTAGAAGCAAAGTTAATGAGACAGCAACCTTTACCATAACAAAGATGGCGACAATGTGTGTTTTGCTATAATGATTTCATCTTGATATTATTTATTTTGTATAAGACTACATGTATTTATCATTAGATATAATATGTTGTATAATAGAACTGTTAGTTTAGTCTAGTGATGATAATATTAAATAACAACCCATTTATCATCACAGTAATAATATCATACCACCAATAATAACAGCTAATCATTATATTCACATCAACTAAAATACCCAGACTGAACCAAGCATGTCATCATTTTTTTCACATCTAATAGCTACATGTAAGCTAATCAAATTTTACATCATTTTATCTGATCAACTTTCTCCATTGGTCCATCTTTTAAAAAAGACAGAATGTTCGTTTAGAATTATTAATTACATTTCCTTTACGTCCCATAAATGTCATGTCAAGCAAATAATTTTAACTAAAACGGCTCTTGACATCCTCTGTAAGGAATTTAAAGTTTGAAATTAACAAAAACAGGTTTATTATTTTATTGCTTTATAAAAAAGCCATATTGTTCACTTTGATTTGATTTTACAGCTAGTAATATAAATATTGGCATACTGACGAGATAGGGTCAGCTTACCCTTTCCATGGAAACTCCTCATATTGCTTTTCATATATTATCATAATTTTATGTGTGGTGATTGAAATGACTGTTGCTCAATTTAGCTAATTTCTCTACTGGATTTTCTATTCTTCCATGACGGTACATGTCTTTTATTAATTGCCGACAAAAAAAACCTCACAATAATTATCACTTGGACTGTTAAAATAAATAACATGTTCTCACTATCAGTAAACACCTACTACTAGAAAATTCCTGTAAAACAGCCACTGGTGATTATAGATAATTTACCTGTATAAAAATAACTACAAGAAGATATACCCACAATTGTATCAAGATGGAATTACATACCAAATACCAACATACAGGTACTACAAGGTGTATCACAAATTGGTAATCAGTAGTACTAGAATTTGTGGTAGTTTTCAATTACCATAGTGGTATGTATCCACTTTTGTTACTTCATGTTAAAGCAAAATATTTCTTCACAAATTTAATTATTTCTCATCAATATTCCAGTGCTAGAGATAATGCATAGTGCACACAGTGATAATAGTCTTTGAACCACAACAAAAAAAAATAATCTGTTTTAAAAATTTTACATGCACACGGTCAGGATCACAATTTAAATAATTTTGTCAGATGTTTGGAATTGGTTCTTGTAATTCTTTTTTTTTTAAAGTGGATATACAAGTCTAGTTAAAAATTCTCTTCTTAAAATTATATGGAGTAAGGTTATGGCAGTTTGCAACCAAAAGTAGAAATCAACCAAAAACACAACAGCTGTGGTTAATATTATCATGTGTACTTTTCAAAGATAACTGTGTCCAAGCTCCATGAGCCAATTTTCTCCTTTCTGATTGAATTCAAGATGCAATTATTTCTGTTGATTATGTTATCAGGAACATTCTCTAAAAAGTGTATTTTGAATTGAATTGTGTAAAATTTTCTGGAGGAGGCGACCTTCCCTTCTGAAAAATCCTGGCACTGTCACTGCATATAGCCCAGTCAGATGTACATGTAATAATTATTTTACTTATCATAAAATAATAATCTAAATTTAACTTGATTCTAGGATTTCTTTGATTTCTCTTCATGATAAGATAAATGCCCCAGGAGATGTTTCATGTTGAGTGAAGGTACCTTTAAGATGAAACCTGTGTATGTATGAAGGTGGAGAGGGGTTTTGTCATAAGTTCCAAAGAACAGTGTCTACTCCACCTGTATAAACAAAGTAATCTTTACAAGTTCTATATTTTCAACAACCCATGGACATAGATTCTCAACAAAACCTTCAGTTTTTCTTTTGATTCAAATAACAGAGATCAACAGAGAAGGCTTAAAGTGGCAGCGTTTATTTCAGGAGAAAGAAAAATCTTGGAATGCTATTTAGCTCAAAGACAATGAAGACACTATGCTAGTGTTTGTTACTTTCATTCTGACATACAAATATTGATATATTTTTAAAATTCAAACCAGTCATTTTGTGTTATTTTGTATGTAATCAGTTACATTTATATCTATAGTTTTGTGAAGTAACAAACCATTAAAATTATAAACTATTTAGCTTAATTCTAGTGTTTATATTTATAACATAAGGTACATCAATTAATAATAGTAAGGCATAAAACTCTTTTGAGTTTTGACTAAGAAATAAAAATAAATAAAATAAGTAGTCTGATGAATAATAATGACTGTAAAGTGATTAAAAAAAGTGTAGCCTAAGGCAATTATGACAAATATTGAAGTGATCATATTGTTTAGTCATACATGTAGTACAACTGTGTTCCAAGCATATAAATCACTAACTACCCTTAATACATTTCATACAGAGGAGCAACTTTGGTACTTAATCCCTATACAACCATTTGGCTGTTAACATACAAATCTATTCAAATAAATGCCAAAGCCTTGTAAAAACTTAAAATTCTTTGAACTTCAAGGTGAGATTTCTGTAACCTATAAGAAGGCAGATAATAAAATTTCAAAAATACTCTAAATTTGAAACTTGTGCTTGGGTAAAACAATAAAGTGCTATTGAAACAATACTTCAGACATTTTGAAACTAACATATTGTCTATTTAGTTTATGGCCAAATGTGCAATGCTAAGAAGGAAAATCTTACGGGAACGCGAATTTCAAATGCTATGGGAGTTTATGGGTGGACCTCAATTTTTTGACCTATCCAAACAACCAGGAGACACAGTTTTTTCAGTCCTTCAACTTTTACCCATGAGAAGTGGGAACTGGGTGTGAAAAATCCTGACCTCATGCCGTCAGAGGATATGATTTCACAGATATGATATGATCACCAGCTATAACAGCAGCACAGGGTATAACATAATCTTCCACTCTAGGAGATATCGGCAGACAAAATATTCAAAATGAACTTACCTATGACCAATTTGTAAGTGACACTGTAAGTCTGTACATCTTTCTACATGACTAGTATTAGGCTGTAATATAGATTAAACAAACATGTTTAAGATGAAATGTACCATATCAAATGTTCCTATTAAGTATAAGAGCTTAATTAACTTTCCTTCACTCTCCTAATAAAAATCAGATAAATCTCACTGACATTAATTGTGATAGCTAAACCTACACTACATAATCAATAGTTTTTAATTTTCTCAGAGATAAACTCTTGATAAAAGTGATCTACTTTAAAAATTAAAAAAAAAATGTTCTACTTAAAAAAATAACAGTTATAAAACAGCAACTTACTGGAGGTATAGAGGGAAGAGGTGGTGGAACATGTCTTGGTGAAAAACCATACACAGATGATGAGCCATAAATACCATGCATTGGACTATGATTGACAGGCTGAAATAGACACCAGAAATTACACAGCTGATTTTATCATTTAAAATAGTATAAAGAGTGTTTAAATAGTAACTAAAGGTATTTTCAAGCCTATCTAATATCTGTTAAATAGCAGATATAAGGTAATGTAATCTATTGATAGATAAATTATATACTACAACACTTTCTTTAACTTATCACAGTTATTTTTACTGTAAAGTAAGATTTTTCTGTTGCACAACTTCATTATGAGTTACAAAGGTGAGGTATAAACTAGCTTCAGTCAAAAGCTAATCCTCATTTTCATAATTTTTATCCAGCTTACATAGTCTTAGACAAGAACGTAAATGCTGCATGAATTTAATGTCTTAAACTGGGGAGAGGCTAAAAAAAAACCAAACCCAAAACAGATGTTACTGTAACAATATTAATGGCATTTCAGAATCTACATTTTATTGAAGCAATGGTTGACCATGCAACACTCTCTAATACATGTACCATGGTAAAAATGGTGGTTCTAAATAGCTATCTTCCTAAGAGAAGAAAAGTGTGAAATAGCTTTATTTAATGTCTGCTTCCACTGAAGTGATATCGCAGACAATGAGAAGATGGAGACATACATGTAGGTTTATCTACTATTTTGATTAGTCTCCCAGTAGACCAATGAAAACACTCATTCATAATTGTTATCAAGGGTGGCAATTGTTACTGAGATGACAATGCTCGTTATTGATACAACATACTTCTACTTTCTCAGGGAGCTAACTTTACTCTTTTCTGGATCATATGATTAAAAACACTTCCAGAAACAAGATGACTAAAAAGTACCCTGCAATTTCATGGCATATTTCCTCTAAGAGGGGTTCACTAGTCCGCCGCTGTAAGAAATACTATAAATATGGGTGTCAAAAAACCTAATCTGAACCCTAACCCTAATAATAGATATCAGTGGACTAATGAGCCAGCGGACTGGTGCACCATAACCCTAACCCAACCCCTAATAATAGATATCGGTGGACTAATGAACCCGCGGACTAGTGAACATTCCCCATTTCCTCTATACTTCTGTTCTCTTGCACCATCACTTTTACTGACTAAAATTACTTATTAAGCCCATAATTAATCAAACAAATTAATTATTACTGTGCGTTAATCACTCAGTCAGACATTTTTACCTTTGAGTGTGCATGTTTATTTTGCATGTGTAATAAATAACGGCACTAGGTTAAAATCTGTAGAATTAACTTGAAAGACATTAAGTTTTTTGAAAAGAAATATATTTTAAAGCCCTGGATATTTTCCAATTAATGGTTAAGAATAGATCTAAAATAGATGAGTTTGCTCGTCTGTTATTCTTTGTGTAAACACAGAACATGATTTATCGATAAATATTAATAAACAATTGTAAAACATCAGAGAAGTACACATTAAGCTTTCATGTTTTAAGTCCCATTGCATGTACACATACACGAAAATGCAATTAAAATATAGTATTTAAAAATTTTACTTTTTAGTTAACCACACAAACAATTAAAGAGCTTATCGATCTGTTTATTTATTTAGTCTTAGTTTACTAGACTTATTTTATTCATCATGTCAAATAAATGTTCACCCTTGACTTAACTATCAATATACCCAGTTAGACCGACAATGTTGATCGATTATAAGCACAATTTAATCAGACAGAATGTCTCACAGACACATGGTGCTACCGTTAACAATGACACGGAAACTTGTTTAACAATAGGGAGTCTTAACTAAACAACAATACATCCCTTTACACGCTTAAATTCATCATACTGGGCAATGGTTTAAATCACCATAGGTATAATAGAATTGAAAGATCCAGGTGTATTGACGTCCAGGATACTTTAATCTGCAATTCTACAAGTTTCTCTTTATGGAAGCTCACAAATTACATAAGACGTAATATCCTCTTCAGACAGTTTACGAGTTTCAGACATCTTATACAAAGTTAAAAGCACTCTACATATAATCAATCAGAAATTGGCATCAAATTAGTAATTTTGCTCAACCGAGGGATATTTCTCATAAATTTATTTTATGGACCAGTGGTCTGAACAGTGAACAATTCAATTGTATATAACTACATGTAGTGAAAATTGTCCTGCCATTTCTTTAGGGTAAATGGAGTTTACAACCAGTTATTGTATATGAAAATTGTCCTGCCATTTCTGTAGGGTGAATGGAATTTACAACCAGTGATTGTATATGAAAATTGTCCTGCCATTTCTGTAGGGTGAATGGAGTTTACAACCAGTGATTGTATATGAAAATTGTCCTGCCATTTCTGTAGGGTAAATGGAGTTTAAAACCAGTGATTGCATGTGAAAATTGCCCTGCCATTTCTGTAGGGTAAACAAACTAAATGGAGATTATGATTCATTGCTCAGGATAGGATGTAGATTTAACATCATTATATAAAACATTATCACTCCTTATAAAACACCTGGTGTATTTTATAAAACCACACACGTGCAAACATTTATTTACATAACAAATTACTTGTCATATAAAAACATATATCTCTACCTATAAAAATATATTATATAAAACTGTCTTCTTAAGTTTTAAATATGAACTTTAAAAGCTAGATACACCACTCTTAAAATGCACGACATTTATCCAGGGTTTCTATTTCAAAATTTTGCCAGTCGGACATTTTAGTTGGGGTTAATTACTTGAATCATGAACTGAACGAGTCTACATTTGCTATGATGCCAATTTTCACAAGTTTTATTATTAAATCTTTGTTATTTATACCTGTCAGTGTTTATGCAATAGAAATTGTAAGCAAAATGTCTGTAATAAGAACAGTTCATTGTGTCTAAAACAATCTTTATCTTCTTTATAAAATTTTAGCTTCATGGCTCATCAAAACGCATGGCAACCTTCCACGTACATGTGTTATCAGGTCTTATTGCAGTTTTCATGCCAAATTTAAACTTTTTATGTATTTCAATGTTGATTTTCATGCAAGGTCGAATTCAAAATAGAGTTTTAACAAAAGTTGTTTATTGAAAATAAGTTAATTGGTGTTTTTTAATAGTTAATAATAGGGCCACTTTCAGATAGTTACAGCATAATTTTTTGCCCAGTGAAAAACCATTGTGTGATGGTATGAGGTTGCATTCGCATCAATGCTGATTTATACAAAAGAAAATGATTCTAGATTCAAATATTGTGATCGGGCGATCAAGATCAGCACCATGTTTTTGTATTTTCAAGATGATTATTAAAATAATTGAAAATATTAATAGTAATATTCTCAATATGGTCCATATTTTGGGAATTTTTAGTTTGATTCATCAAATGTTGATGTCTAATTGGGCATATTTCTCGTTAGAATTTTGTCGATCCAGATCGACATGTCCAACATACATGTATATGGGGAGAGAGAGAGAAATGGAGTTTAATGTCCACTCAACACAAACTAGGTCATTTCGGAGCTAAAATATGGTTCAATTTTATTTCAATAATTCGCTTGCACATAGGGGTCTTTAGTAGTGGGAGTAAACCAGAGAAACCGGAGAAAACTCATAAGGTTGGACAGGCGACACTACTCCTTGTCACGTACAACCGGGGAATCGAAACCACGGGTTTTATTCGTCTTCTCTCGTCTACGGCCATACGACGTTGAAAATACCAGTTCTCGTCGGATCACTGAAGTTAAGCAACGTCAGGCCCGGTTAGGACTTGGATGGGTGACTGCCTGGGAACACCGGGTACTGTAGACGCCTTTTTTCCTGATTGTTTGAAAAAAAAAAATCAATTTTCCGCACTTCAGGCCATTGTACGTCTTCTTTGGCATAAGCAACGTCGGGCCCGGTCAGTACTTGGATGGGTGACTGCCTGGGAACACCGGGTGCTGTAGACGCACGCTGTAGTGCACACACTAACCATTCGGCCAATATGGATGGGCAGAACAGAAACAGTGCATCTTACACTTATTTACCAGCTTCTTTTGAGTACAGTTTACCAAAGCTTAATACAAACAATCAGAAAGTAAAATATTTAGACAAACATAGTATATCTTATTATTTTGATTGTCATCATTAAACGGTGCATATTTATTATTGACTGAATTCTTGTTACATCCTTAATGTTTTTACTATACATGGACAGTAAATGTATTCATATTATTCCACAGCGCAAATCAGAACCAAACACATTTAGCCTTAGTTGAACACTGGGGAATATCTCCAAAAGAAGTTGATTGCTACTAGTGCCACTTTAAATTAAGGTTTAATCAATGATTGAGTTAATGATGGAATTTCTTTAAAGAGATATTTCCATCCATTTTTTTGACTGGGTAATCTTTATGTCACTATAACACTGAGAGACTCGAGAAACCAATAAATTTTCTATTTACCAGTGTGTAACTGTCCAATTCCCGCGCGATGTGCCATAATTCCTCCAGTCGCTCGAACACATCTTCAAAATGGGTCTTGAGCTCATCTGCATATTTAACAGCTAAGGCAGTTAGGCTGCTTCGACATAGTCCAAACTCCTATAAAAGAAAACATAAAAGTTACATTTTACTATTTAATGTTTAGAAGAAAGAAATAAGATACAGAAAATAAACCAGTTATTGATGATAAAATTTGATGATGGTAAACTTGACGACAGATAAATGTTTTTGGGTTATAAAACTCACACATTAACTCTGAGAAAAAAAATGCACATATTTTCTTCAAAGAGTTTCTGTGATAATATGCTTTCTTAGAAAGAAAAAAATTTAATCAAGAAATTTAATAAGTACACACATTTATTTTCTATCATGTCAATATTATTTGAGAACACAGTTTTGAATGTCCTTATAAATAAAATATGTAAACCGTATTTCTTTTGTGGTTAAAATGTTAGATTTTAAAAGACATGGGTGGATGACGACTGTATCTGGAATACATGTTCTACATGTACAACCAGTACGCTATTTAATGAAATCATTTTCCAATCATTCAGTTATAAAAGATATTATGAGGCATCTCTAAGAGTTTATTGCCAGTTTAAATCAACTAAACCTTGGTAGTCAATGTCAACTAAAATTGGATTAAGAGTTAGCCAGCTGGACAATTAAGGCAGATATGCTAACCACATAAAATTCAATATAAACCTATGTAAAAATATTGGAAAATCCACCTTATTTGATTAATGTAAACTGTCATTTAATTTACAAAGTGACCCCAATATACTTTACAAATAGTCTAATATTTTGTTCTAGATATGGGTCTATGTTCTAGGATAATGCTGTATATTAAAATGAATGAATCAATTAAATCATAAGTCACTGACTATAAATGTCTGAACATATTTCTATTTAATACATTGAATCACCGATCGGAGAAACCATTTGCTTTCAACACAAATGATTGAAATAATGATAGAGATGTGCCTTTAGCTATAGAAGATAAGATTGAAGAGTAAAGGCGGTTACCGGTATAGAGATGTGATGAGTTGGTAAAGTACGGTTGTATTATTGACTCTGGAAGATTTATTTACTGTAGTCTATAGTGATAAGATTTAAAACACTTGACCTATACCCAAACTTTACAAGACCAACTGATCAATTTACACACCTCCACAAATTTATAACCTTTCTCATTCAAATACATATCAATCAATGATCAGAGCAGCAAGTCACTGAAGTCCGACGGGTCTGATATATCACAAATATTGGAAATAACTACTATATATATTTAACAGTAAATTTTGTTACTGTACTAAAACATACAAGTACTTTTGCTTGTGTACATCTTAGACCATAAATTTGACTAATTTAAGGTCTGGATTTCAAAATAGTCATGGTGGTCTATTATGAGTTATCAATAAGTACATGGTTAGTACTAAATGATAAGGCCAGCTCAATTTTTTGCCAAAGGTCATAATATGTAAACCAAACTAATGCTAATCCCAACCTTAACCATAACAATGGACCTAGCCCCAATCCCAACCCTAACGTACAATCTCGCCAACAATTACGTGCCCTAACCTTATTTACATCTCAGCGACCTTGACAAAAATTGAGCTGGCCTTAACAAATAGATTTAGCCCTAAGTACATGTATAACATGTCTGTGATCATTTCAGATCATATTAGTCCACCCCTAATATTTCAGTTTTTATTTTTCTTGTTTAAATGAAAGCCAATATAACAGTCGTAATTAAGTCTGGCTTCTATACATTACTAAATAAGTCTGGCCACTATACATTACTAAATTTAAATGTAGGAGAACCGCGAAACAAAACAAAGATAAAGAACAAATGATACAATAATATGACACTACATAAAGAAGATATACAACATCAACAGAAAATATAAATAATTATGAAAGCGTAAGAAAAGTCCACAGTAGAGTTTACCTTTGTTGCGCAATTAGGATTGTTTGTTCTTGAATGTTACCCCTTTAACTACACTTTTGCTTACCCTTTTTTGAATATATGTAAATGATGTATTTAAATAATTTGACTTTTATATTTTGTGTGTTTGACAAGATGTTCATTAATCATAACCCAGTCAGCTTACTCTTGCGTTACAAATAAGGATATCTTTATATACATGTACATGTATAAATAATATGTATTGATTTTATGAGCTAACATGGAACACAACATGTCAACAAAAACCATAATTGAATGATGGAGTAGTCTATTAGTGACAATAATGGTACATATGTCTATAATATATTCATGTAGATAGAGAGGATGATAAATATAAACAATCATAAAAATATCAACTCAACAGCTGGTAGAAAATCTACCAGATCCAAACACAACAGTTGTAGATATATATTGGTGAAAGATATTCACATCATGCAACTATTTAAGTCCACTGGGGTCAAAGGCTACATTTAATATCTATTAACACCTTGGTGTTTATCTATGTTGATTAGTTAATTACTCTCAAACGTCTTGTATTTCTCTCATGTCTGACTGAGTCAAAACAGCTGATCTCGAGCAGGCTACTTCCTACTTTCCAGAAATAGTTTTGTCAATGTTTTGATTGTCAGACTTACAAGAAACACTTTACTCAAAATATTGAGATAAATTCGCAAATGTTATAATCTCAAACATTCGGCAAACCATATAAACAGTACATTTTTCAGAACATCACCAGACCACACTAATAATATTGGAAGAACCATATAACATATACAATGTATATTATACATTAATCTTTATTTGTATACCTAAATTAATTAAAGAAGCTAAATGGACACAAATGATGGGCCATAACTCATATGATAATGTAATATGAATGATATAAGATGATTTACATTTATTCGTTTCTGTTTTTACATTAATTTCTAATCAGTTATGTTTGGCGAAATATGCAAAGAGTCCAAATTGAATGGCAATCTTTGGCGTCTGGTTATTTCAGTCTACACTGGTAGTATTCTCCTGTGGGGTATGTTTAGCTTCGTTCATTGAGTCGCTTCATTACAAATGGTGCTCGAAAGCATTCTGGTACGCGATCCTTGTGCCTATTTTAAAATTTTCATTTTTTCTTAAATATCGGATTTCAGAAGCCCATCTTTTCCCGATAAGATAACAGCATCAATGTTGATTTAAATTGACCAATAGGTCTTGTTTGCAATGTCGAAGACTGTGGATAATATTGAGTTAAAGACTTGTCTCTTTTAAAATGATTCTTTCAAGCAATCTTAAAACTACATTCACATTAAAACCAACCAATATACTAAAATTTCTTTAAAATGATATACCCCCCCCCCCCAAAAAAAAAGTTACCTCATGCGATTTAAGTCATATCTCAGTGCCATTATTTTGTTCATTTTTCTAAGAGCTAATTTTGCAATGTTTGAGATAAATTTTAATATTGTTGATAGGAAGTAAAGCTATAAACAGACAAAACTGCAGATACTTGTAAATGGAATGGGGTTTAACATCCTACTGTTCTGCTTCGACTAGTCTAATAAAGGTGGGCATACGACATGCAGTGTGCCATGAGGGAATTTTTGCCAGGACAGCGGCGCTATGGGTTACGCTTTATATATAATGAATTCCAACTGCCAAGGGTTCTTTTATGTGCACGCCAAAAAACTGTAGAGATTATGGTAAGTTCTTTAGTACCACTGCCCTATACATGTACACACAAAACTTTAATTTCCTACATTCGTCCACATTCTATTTTATATATCATGTAAAATGTTAATCCTGAAATAGGGTAGGGTATAATGAAATTCACACAGGATGTTGTAAATCAAATTATGAAAGAAAATGTAGCTGAGAAGCCAATATATTACATTAAAAAAAATCTACAATAAATTTGTCTTTTGATGGAATTTCAATGCCTTGCAAACCACAATACTGTGTATCTCTAAAAGGAATATGAGTAGAAAACTGGTTTGATTCCATTCAATAGATATTATAAACTGAATATGTAGGATTAGAGCCTTTAGAGAAAATATAAGTATAATAAAGATATTAGATTGGTAAAGTATAATATTGATATAAGATATAATCTTGTGTTTATAATATACGATACAGTATTAACTACATCTGTTCTAACTCAAATATTATACATATTCCATATGTTACTTTCATCATGTCAAAAGTCTCTATTCATCCAGGCCAAAAACAACATATTAACAATACAAGGTCTACATGAATAAAATACGCCATTTATCAATGTCTCTTGAAACAGATTATTTTCAAATGCATTAATCTTTTGGAATGAATTCAGTGGAATGGATTCTCTAAGAATAGCTTTGTTGGTGCCTGAAAAATAACATCAGATTGCGTTTCTTTTTAATTCTATTTGTAGGAAAAAACAAAACGGTGCAAATTACAAACCTGGAATGAAACCAACAAATTGTGGTAGCTTAAACACAAGTGGATATTGTACTCAGTCCAGAACAAATGAAATGAAATGGGGTTTGACATCCTACTTTTTTGCTCCATCCGGGCTAATCAATATGGGCATACGCCATGTAGTGTGCTACAATGCTACAAGGGAAACTTTGCCCAGACAGTGGTAATACGGCCTACTCTTATATCAAATTCCAACAGCCAATGGTTCTTTTACGTACACGCCAATGTGTACACAAGACCTTATTTTTTCATTCCCTTTGGACAACTATAAGTTATCCCTTGTCAGATCCTCCGTCCTGCACCACTGAAATGGGGGGAAACATGACAGAAAATCCTAATGCACTTTCTCGACAAACACCAAGATTGAACACAGGACACCCCCAAATTAGCGAGCCAACATCTTACTCACTGAGCCACCACGGCTCCCCAGTCCAGACTAAAATATATCCCACAATAGGTCTCATCTCTGATATTTAAGTAAGGGTCAGATAAGTGTGAAATGAAACTGAGAGCTTGGTCTGAATATTTCTGATGATCTGAACATTTGATAAGTACTGACCATAACCTTATTAACTAGGGTACAGTATGCCTACTAGTGTAAATGGCGTTTCTCAGCCTTTCATTTGACTCCAACTTCTAAGTTGTCAAAAGCATATCTGAGATTTTTATTTTCCTTCAA